TCTGTAAATGAGCTCGCCTCCCATACACTTTAAGTTCTGAGTTAAACATGACCAACTGCACAACCCAATAGACCAGAATGAGAGCTACTTTATTGGTCAAGCTACTTCCTGGAGTGGGCAGTGCTCAGACTGATGATGTCATGTGCCAGGATTTGCTCTGAATTTACAAACTTTAAACATAAATCTCTTTTCTGTCATTCATTATTTTGGATTGATTGCTTTTGCATATTTTTTGAAAAATAAATATCTATACAGACTTAAAAAAGAATGAGTCAGTTCCAACCTGGTGTACCCCCTTAAATTAAATTTCTGTCCGTCTGTGTATGTATAATGACAATAATTCTGATAATAAATATAACGCTAATAATAAAACATAAATGTTTCTCACTGAGAGGGATGTATGATTGGTTTCCTCACAGATTCATGGTGTATATCCCATCTATACTATTTTAGAAGTTTCTATATTTATGCCATCAATTCTATTTTAATAGTAAAGAGAAACTGTGACTTGTGATATTTACGTGTAAGCTTCCACAAGCGGCACCCATAATGGGCGGATTTGCCTGGAAAGAGCATGCCCGACCGTTGAACGGTTGGACCCTTACCAGCAGGACCATACAAAGAGTGCTGCTAAAGTACTAGGGCCAGGTCCACAGTGCAAAGGTGTCCAATGATACGCTTGAACATGGCTGCCCAAGAATAGTTCCCGACTGTCCTCGGATGTAGAACCAATGAACTAAAGTGGGGCATTGGGACAGGACCCTGAAAGTGGAAAGGTTGGGAGCTATGAGAAATTTTGGGGTGGTAGGACAAGGAATTTCAGTGGAGGTGAGTATGTAACATATAGAAGTAAATGGTTTAACAATGTTTACTGGAGTGAGGAACTATCTCTTCCAGACAGCTTTACAATTAAAGAAGTCCTGGTGGGGAAACCAGTGGAAATGCCAAGTACAAAGTGATATAATAACACATTTACAGCAATAGAACCTCTATTACCCTGATTGATGTAGTTCCACTAGAGAAGGTAGTAACAATGTGTGAGTTACATGGTGGAGACAATAACGTGTATTCAGGAAACCAGGAGCTGTGGAGAAATTAAATTTAGACCATAATAGCCGTATTTGTGAATAAACACCTGTATTTTTTATTTATTTTTTATAGGTAAAGATTTATTCAGTGATATTCTCAAATCCGTCATTAGTGTATTGCATATTTTAGACCATAAAAGATCATATCTCTGGTAGGAAAAATAGGTGACGAAAATTATTTTTTACAATTTGGCTATTTTGGCCTGAATTTGAAATTCTCCAATCAGTTTCAGACTATTCACTGTTTAGTAAATAAACAGGTTTACCATTTTTCTGTCTATTTAAAAATGTAAGTTTTTTTTCTTACTGGGAAAAAAATTGCAGAGAGAAAAAAAGCACATTCTAAAATGTATTTGAAAATAGCCAAGTTAACGCAGAGGCGGAGAATATTACAAAAGCTGCTGTTTTGGCTAGATTTTGGAATTTGGTTTCAATTCACTGAAGTTTAATGATTAACTCCCACATCTTCAGAAGTAAAAGAACGGCGTGATGGAACATTTCTGTCGTGTGTCCTTAAGGGGTTAAAATCCTGAGTTGTTCATTTATTCATTGATCAGAGTGTTGTGGTGAATCTGCAGCTGTGCTCCAAATTTTGGACTAACTTGCAAGCTAAAACCTTTCAGACTAAACTCATATCAAGCCATTACAATCCATAATCTAGCACGGCTGTTTTATGGATGGATCAGCAAAGACATTTGTGATGAAAAACAGAGGTTGCCATTCTTGACCTTATGAATGGGCCCACAAATGACAGGGAGTGTGTGAGGGTGTCAGAACATCCATGTCTGATGTAAAGTGCAGTATATCAAGAGGGAGGAGAACATTGCTATATAGAGTACTGCTTTCCTGATCTCCCACAAGTCCAGTAAAAACCCACACCTCAACACTTCCAATGGATAGTTGCATAGAATTGGAAAATTCAGACCAAAATAGACGAACGGGAAAAATAGAGTTAGAGAATGTTTCCATGTAGTCAATTTGATATAAATTCACAATTTATTATTAATAAACAACAATAAACTGTGTTGAGAAAAACCCGGAGACTTAGAAATGGATAAACAGCAGCTAAAGTTTAAGTTTTCTAGTTTAATTTTCAGTTTGGCCTTTTACTTCTGACCTTAAATTTGAATTCACTTTGACGTCTCATTTTAGTAAATAATCCTGTAACTATAGAGATAGCAATCAGGCCAAACATATTCATGGTGCCCAGACTGCCAATGGGCCCCAGGCCTAATCATTGCTAATTTTACAATTGCATTGCATTCATGACTTCAAAATCAATATAGAAAATTAAAGGGACTCTCTATGCGCCATGAGCACTTAATTTCATTGGAGTGGTTATAGTGCCTGCAGTCACCTGGTGCCATCCCACTTAAATCAGTCATTGTTAAACTGTCCTTGATTGGTTTGAAACAGAATGATGGCCATCAAGAATCTGAGGCTCTGCCCCCTGCTGGAAGGTATAGTTAATTTGCACTCCACGTTAACGATACCATCTCATACCAGCGATCCTCATTCAGCGTCAAACTGATCGAGAGTAGTTTGACACTAAATAGTTAGGAGTTGCCAGGGCACTCCAGACACCATAACCACTCCAATATTTTGAACCAAATGGTGATGTCGTCTAGAATGGCCCAGTAAGGTTGAAAGAGTAACACTGAAAGAAACTCTCCAAAAAGCCTATACTATTTATCTCCGGTATTGTAGCCTAAATTTAAGAATCTGGTCCTCAAAGAGGGTTTATTCACTTAACAGTGGATTGTAGGGAATTGAACCAGAATCGCAAAATCTTGGCAAAATAGTTTATTTCCCAAAAATCTCCAACTCAGCTACACTCACGGAGCTTTATTATTCCAGCTTAAACATATTTTGTCAATGTATTGCAAGGCACTATTTAGTGAATAAACTTTATTGTTTAGTAAAAATATCCTATTTATAAAATATGATTCACATGGGTGTTTAACACACACAACTGTATTCACCATAAGGGGAGATTTTTAATTTAAGCAGCAATAAATCCAGGTCACATGACTAGAGGCAACAAGAGGCAGCACGTCAAAATTTGTAAATAAAAATGTAATTATGAATGGGTAGAACGTTTCACATGTTTTTAACTTATTATAAATATAATTATGTTAATCTTCTAAAAAAGGTTTTACAAGATACAGCAATACTCGTCATCTGGTATGTATATAGGTGTATGTGTACATGTATTTATATATGTATGTGCGAATATAATAATAATAAAATAATAATAATAACTAGTGCTTATATAGCACATTTCTCCCAGTGGGGCTCAAAGCGCTTGTTAGCGCACGCTCTCGGAATTATTTGAATCAGCAGCTGTATAATAGATGTTATTATTACCCAGTTGATGGTACTCATGTATTGAACTCGGAAGGATGAGAACCTGAGTGGATACTGTTGGGTATATGTATATATGTATGTATGTGACTATGTATGTGTGTGTGTATATAAATGTATGTATGTTTGTATGTATGTATGTGTATATATAAAAGTATGTGACTATGTATATGTGTTTATATGTGTAATGCATGTGTGTATATATGTTTGTGAGTATGCATGTGTGTGTATATGTATAAATGTATGTGAGTATGCATGTGTGTATATGTATACATGCATGTTTGTATATATGTGTGTATACATATATATTTGAGTATGCATGTGTGTGTATATGTATATATGCATGTTTGTATATATGTGTGTGTATGTATACATGTATGTGAGTATGCATGTATGTGTATATATGCATGTGTGTATATTTGTGTGTATACATATATATGTATGTGAGTATGCATGTGTGTATATATGTATATATGCATGTGTGTATATTATTTATTTATTAATGGTATTTATATAGCACCAGCATATTTCGTAGTCTTTTACAATATTATCAAAGGGGGAGAGTTAACAATAAAAGAGACAATTACAAAAGCTTACAGGAACAATAGGTTTAAGAGGGCTCTGCTCAAACAAGCTTATAGTCTACATAGGATATGTGTGTATATGTATAAATGTCTGTGAATACATATGTGTGTATTTATGTGTATATATGTATGTATGTATGTATGTGTGCATTATGTGAATGTATATATCTATGCGTATGTGTGTACATGTGCATGTATGTGTGTGTATGTATATGTGTGTGTGCATTATGTGAATCTATATATCTATGCGTGTATGTGTGTATATGTATACATATGTGTGTATGTATGTGTGTATATGTATATTTGTCTGTGAATACACATATGTATGTGTATGTGTATATATGTTTGTATGTCTGTATGTATGTATGTGTGCATTATGTGAATGTATATATCTATGCATGTATGTGTGTATATGTGTATGTATGTGTGTGTATATGTATACATATGTGTGTATGTATGTGTGTATATGTATATATGTATGTGTGTGTGCATTGTGTTAATGTATAGATCTAGGTATGTATATATATTTCTATATGTAAGTATGAATGTATGTCTGTGTGTAGCTATATAAGTATATTAATGTACTTTAACTTTTTGTATTGACATTTAATAAGGATGCTTTCTAAGTAATCCCTAGCAGAGATCTCTCTCACACACACACAGACACACATAGACACACACACACACACACACACACACACACACACACACACACACACACACACACACACACACACACACACACACACACACACACACACAGAGCAGAGAGAGAGAGAGAGAGAGGCTCCTTGCATTGTACAGTATGAGGCTCCTGATCGTCATCTACTATCAAAGCGAATGCCTTTCCAGCTGAGTGCATGCAGCCTATCGCAGGGCTCACATTGCTGGCTCTGATCAGCCTGGGAGAGAGAGAGGGCTCGCTTTATGCACTGATTTTGGAAGACAGTTAAAATGCCTCTAGGGATCAGCTCCCCTCTATAATGTGAATGAACAGTGTTTCTGGCTGGGGAATCCACCAAAACCACAAACCAGAGAAAGCATTGCCAGGCAGGCTTGGTCTGTGTCCCTCCCTGGCCCTCTCTGCCTGTGTTCCCAGCAGTGGTGGTGGTGGTGTCAGACTGCTTTCTGCATTGAGAGGTGGATTGGATCTGTAGCCCTCCATGTATGACAATTTGTACCTGCATGGATTTGAAGATTCGGAGGCGGTAAGCATTCTGTGTACCCCCATCCCTCCCTCCAACCCCCCACCCCCAATTTTCATTTTTTAAATAATATTTATTTATCTTTTTTTGTGCAAAATATTTATTTTAGCATTTCAGGTGATGCAGGAGAATGACAGATGTGTGAATGATACAGAGACTTGATTTTTTTGTGCTGCATTTTGAAGGTACATGCTGTCTTCTAAAAGCTTAAAATATCCCTTTTTTTTTTTTGCTCTACACCAGGCATATTAACCCTTTCAAGACCATAGAGCTGTGTAGTGCAATGTGATTTTCTACCCATGGTGCTTCAGAGGTTACACCATAATCATAAATAATTCCCTATTTATTATACCATATCCATCTAAAATGCATCCCCCATCCCATCCCAAAGGATATTTTGTTTAAATCAATGTGCTTTCTGATTATGTTTACATGCAGTGCAATAGCCTGCTGCATTGGATAGAAAATCTGGATTCAAATCTCATAATAACTGAGCTCACACCCTGGATGGATTCAGTGGAACCTAGATTCATTTTATTTAGTGTTACATTGTCACTCAACAGCAATCCTGAGCATTCTGTTCCTGAATGTGTTTCACCTTTGGCCAGGTGTTTGAAACATCAGGGTGAAATATTGGCAAAAATCTTTTTTTTTTTTTTTTTTGTACTGGTGTAACTTTATCAGGGAGGGTCCTTATATAAGGGTATTGTGTTTGACAATAGAAAAGGATTGGTTTAAAATTCTAACTGCATACAGTTGGTCTAATATTTGAGATGAAAAACCTATATATGTGACTCATTGTCATAAACAAGTTTTATTATATAATATGCAATGGGTTATCATGAAAAACCCCATGTAATACGTCATTGCAGATGTGCAAACCTTGTGCTTTGATCATCACAGGGGGAACTGATAGGGCTGGTTTTATGACAGTTCTTAGAATCTCATACTGTTACTCATTGTACAACAGGGAACTACAACTCCCATGATGATTTAACAGCCTTAATACTGGCAAAGCATCATGGAACTTGTAGTTAAGTAATAGCTAGTCATTCCTGCTTTAGCTATTTTACGACTGGTTGGCTATCTGTACTAAAACATGTGGCTCCTTTGAATTATGTGGCTGACAGCCTGGCAGACTGCTATACTAAAAACGTGACTGGCTGGCTAGCTGACTGGCTACCTCCTATTGAAATATGTGGCTGGCAGCCTGGCAGACTGCTATACTAAAAATGTGACTGGCTGGATAGCTGACTGGCTATTGAAATTGAAATATGTAACTGGTTGGCTGCTGCACTAAAATGTGGCTGGCTGTACTATACATTTGGCTAGCTGTATTATAAATGTGACTAGCTGTACTATACATTTGGCTAGCTGTATTATAAATATGGCTAGCTGTATTATAAATGTGGCTGACTGTATTATAAATCTGGCTATCTGTACAGTAAATGTGGCTAGCTGTACTATAAATGTGGCTAGTTGTACTGCAAATGTGGCTGGTTGTACAGTAAATATGGCTAGCTTTACTGTAAATGTGGCTAACTGTACTATACATGTGGCTGGCTGTACAGTAAATGTGGCTAGCTGTACTGTAAATGTTGGTAGCTGGACAGTAAATGTGGCTAACTGTACTATAAATATTGCTGGCTGTACTATAAATGTGGCTAGCTGTACTGTAAATGTGGCTAGATGTGCTATAAATGTTGCTGGCTGTACTATAAATGTGGCTAGCTGTACTGTAAATGTGGCTAGATGTAAGTAAATGTGTCTAGCTGTACTATAAATGTTGCTGGCTGTACTATAAATGTGGCTATATTGTAAATGTGGCTAGCTGTACAGTAAATGTGGCTAGCTGTACTATAAATTTAGCTAGCCATATTGTAAATGTGGCTAGATGTACTGTAAATGTGGCTGGCTGATACCATGTTTGACAGAGGGATTGATTGCAGACCTAGTCCGTGTTTTCGCACAAGAAAAGCCATATGGGCAGTGCTGCTGGCGGAGAGGGTGCCCATGACCCAGTTTCTCTGCCATCCAATGCCTGTGTCAGTGTTTGATGGTTCCAGTTACAGTGTATCAGCTCAGGTCGAGAGGCCCAGGGAGCTCCTTGTAAGCTGCCTGCAGAGGATGTGCAGAGCCTGTTAGAGACCATTTAATTCCATCCTTTCTGGAGGTGGAAGAGGAGGAGGAGGGCTGCTGGTAACGGAAGAGACACACTCCTCTCAGGGGGATGTATTCTTTGTGTGAAAGCAGCGACTCACATTGGAGGGAAAATCAGAAAGGAGCACACTGACTCTAATGTTATAGGAATGGCCACCCATGCCTGTTACTATAACGTGTTTCTAGCTATTCAATTCTCCATCTGTCCATTATCTATCTATCTATCTATCTATCTATCTATCTATCTATCTATCATCTATCTATCACTCTATCTATCATCTATCTATCTATCTTTCTATCACTCTATCTATCTATCTATCTATCTATCGATCTATCATCTATCTATCTATCTATCTATCTATCATCTTTCTATCAATCACCACTCTATCTGTCATCAATCTATCTATCTATCTATCTATCTATCTATCTATCTATCATCTATCTATCTATCTATCTATCTATCTCTCACTCTATCTATCTCTATCTATCTATCTGTCTCTCTGTCTGTCTGTCTATCTATATATCTATCTATCTCTCTCTCTCTCTATCTGTCTATCTATCTATCTATTATCTATCTAGCTATCTATCTAGCTATCTATCTGTCTGTCTATCTGTCTGTCTGTCTATCTATCTCTCTATCTATCTATCTATCACTCTATCTCTCTATCTATCTATCTATCTATCACTCTATCTATCTATCTGTCTATCTATATGTCTGTCTGTCTATCTATCGATCTATCTATCTATCTATCTATCTTTCACTCTATCTATTTATCTATCTATCTATCTATCTGTTTGTCTGTCTATCTATCTCTATCTATCTATCTATCTATCTATCTATCTATCTATCATCTATCTATCTATCTATCTATCTATATCTATCTATCTGTCTGTCTGCCTGTCTGTCTGTCTGTCTCTCTGTCTGTCTGTGTCTGTCACGTTAGAATGTTGCTAGTATTCATACATTATTTTGTTTGCATTTTTTGTTAATGACAGTCTGTTACTTTAATTCACAAATAAAGCCATGTTGCTGAACTGTGCTTAGTTTATAATATACTGTCAGTTTATTAAAGGACAATTGTTATTTTCCACGTTTTTTTTTAATCTTTTCTTTACTTACCCTCTATATAGTGTAACCCCAAGACCAGTTTAATCGCTAAAGTGTACGTTTTTGGGAATTCACAGTTCATTTAGAAAGTAGTTGTCAAGCCTCCTGTAACTTTTGCTCTTTCAAAAGAGCATCCAATTTCATTCTATTCAATCCTGTTCTAGCAAATGTATAGTTTGAGTAAAACTAAACTATTAAAAAAATAGGCCTGTGTTCCACCTGTTAGTCATATCTTCAGCATAGACTCTATGCCAGTGATGGTTAACCATGACACCATAAATTGTTTCTGGACTACATTTCCCATGACGCTCAGATAGCTTTTCGACTCTAGGAGCTAGCTGAGCATCATGGGAAATGTAGTCCAGAAACATTTTATGGTGTCAAGGATAGCCATCACTGCTCAATGCCGAAGAATTGACAGAGTAGAGAGAACAGAAAGGACCTCCCATTGACCATAGTCCTTCTGCTCTCCACAAATAGCAACCACAGCGCATGTACTCTGGTTGCTATGGAAACTACCTAACTGATGCTACTTGCGCTGCTACGGAGTATAGGAACATAGTGACATGATGTCACTCCGTTCAAATTCACACCGTCAATGAAGACAGCGTGTCGACGTCAGACACAGGAGGTCTGTCCTGTTAGGAATATAAATATGTATTGCAAACGCTATAGTGCCTTAATCACCGTTTAGATCACTGCGCCAGCACTGCCATGTTAAAAGAGATAGTAAACTCACCTTTTTCTCCCTCACCGCAATGGTCTCTCTGCTCAAGCTCCACCTCTTTGGCAGAGATCATTAAGATCGATGATCTCAGCCAATTCAATATTGACCCATAGGAAAGCATTGGGAGGCTAGCACGCATGCGCGGCAAAATGCCACGCTGTACCGGTCAGACGTCTCTCTGAAACCGTCTGATTAAAGTAAGCAGAGTTTTACGCGCTAATTTTATGGAAGCACCTCTAGTGGCGGACATATTGACAGACACTAGAGGAAGTTTAACCCTGTAGAGAAAACATTGCTGTTCAGGCTGGGGGATTAAGCCAAATTTTGATAACTCATCACAGGTTTTATTAGACTTGAAGGTTTAAATGTGAGATTCCCTGATTGGGTTATTTACTAAACAGTGAGTTTTGGGATTTGATCTTTGCATTTCATCTGTTAGGTCACAGTAAGTGATTCTGCAAAAAAGTCTGCCAGTTCCCTGTTTAGTATATAATATATGATACATACATCCAATAAATCATTTGACAACTAATATGGTACCCGCCAGAAAAGCATTTCTTACTCACTATAAGAGCGGCCTGCAGACCTAGACTGCAGAATTTACATTTTACCTTTTCTGTGGAAACAAATACTGACCAATATGTACTTCTTTATTGTTTGTTATTGACTCTGGTATGGATTATATTTTTCCTAATTTTTTGGAGAAATAATTCTTGCAAAATGCAAAATTTATAATAATCAAATTTTCTCCTGGTGAGTTATGTTTTCAATCTTGTATATTTTACAATCCTTAAAAAATATATTATGTATGTAAGGAAGATGTGTAAATGTGTTTGTAACAGATGCAGTAAAACTGCAACAAAATTAACATCTGTGTCTACAACTATCATCACCAGAAATAAATGACAACAAACTAGCAAGATTACATAATTCTTAAAGGACCACTATAGTGCCAGGAAAACAAACTTGTTTTCCTGGCACTATACTCTTAGGTCCCTCCCACCCTCAGGGAGCCCCTCCCGCTGGGCTGAAGGAGTTAAAACCCCTTCAGCCATTTACCTTAATCCAGCGCTGGGCTCCCTCGGCTCTCGTGACCTCTCCTCCCCCTCCGACGTCAGCTCCCGAGTGGAAATCATTAACCAATGCTTTCCTATGGATGTTCTGCGTGCTCAATGCGATTTTCGCATTGAGCGTCGTAGTGGCGCCTCTAGCGGCTGTCAGGAAGACAGCCACTAGAGGTTGGATTAACCCTGCAATGTAAACATAGCAGTTTTGGAGAAACAGCTATATTTACATCTGAAGGGTTAAAACCTGGGGGATCTGGCACCCAGACCACATCATTGAGCTGAAGTGGTCTGGGTGACTATTAAGATTATTATAATGATTGTTTTGCAGGCTATCCATTAAAAAGGCAGAGGCATTCACCATTTAAAAAAAAAAAATTTTTAGCAAAAGGTTTTCACTATACTCTAGCATTTCCTTACAAAAGTGTTAGATGTGCCCTTTTATGCCTACTGTACTTTGCGGAGGCTCAGATAAGATATATGGTATATGGGTGGGGGGGGGGGAGGAGGTTGTTTACTAATCATCACACTTGCAGCTAAAAATAATTAAAAATGCATTTAGTTATCTAACATCTGGTTTTGTTTGCTAAAAGTTTTCTAAATACTTTCATTAGTCCCTGGCCTTATCTTATAGTTAGGATAGCCTTATGCCTATCCCACGCATGCTTAAACTCCTTCACTGTGTTAACCTCTACCACTTCAGCTGGAAGGCTATTCCATGCATCCACTACCCCCTCAGTAAAGTAATACTTCCTAAAATTATGTTTAAACCTCTGCCCCTCTAATTTAAGACTATGTCCTCTTGTTGTTGTAGTTTTTCTTCTTTTAAATATACTCTACTCCTTTACTGTGTTATTACCATGCAAACTTGGATAGATTTTCACTTGATAATATCGATAGTAATATAATGTCTGCATTATTTGTGCAACTGACCACTCCAACACAGTTTCATAGAAAATCAGGGACTGTTGCCCATAGCCTCATAACACTATAAGCACTACAATAAGCTGTAGTGGTTGTGGTGCTTAGAGAATCCCTTGAATAATGTAAATTAGTGTATTGTTTTTGAACGATATTTAATTGTAATGATGATAATAATAATATAAAACTTACAGAATGAGATACAAACAGGGGCTTTTTTTAAAAAAATCAATAGAAAGATAAAAAGTGCTATTACTTTAACCCCTTAAGGACACATGACATGTGTGACATGTCATGATTCCCTTTTATTCCAGAAGTTTGGTCCTTAAGGGGTTAACAGAATAGGTACTCAACTAAATAAAAAAAAAAGCATGTGTGAAACACTAATTTTAAGAGCAAAGGAGGGGAATGTGTTGTATTCCAGGAATAGTGTACATTTGCTTCACTATGTATTGTTTAGCTTGAAAAAACATTTGATTTTCTTTTTGCTAAAACTCCCAGTGGACCAAATGATTAATGTGGATGAAGTGAAGGAAGAGATATGTGGGACGAGAAAAAATACAGTGTTTTCTAAATAGCAAACTGCGGAGAATTGAAAACCAAATTATATTTTTTTATACCAATGTAGCGGATTGGACATAAAAAAAAATATTCTTTTGCGTTGCTATTTCATTCTGTGAAATATTGTCCAAATTTTCATTTTATTTTATTAAAATTCACTGTTTAGTAAGTAACCCCCAAAAGATTTCTTTCTCTGGTAGATGGAGACATGTCATTATGCAGGCGTGAAAAAAACAAACCCTACAGTGAATGCACTGCATTAGGAACAACAAAATCCTACAATGAATGCAAAGATGCACAAAATGTATCAAACACATTTTTTAACATTTTTTTCCCTTTAAATCAAACCACTGCTATTGTAGCGTAACATTATGTCTTATATCAGTATCACTACACAAAACCGAATCATTTAAAGTATATAAATTAGTATTTTTTTTTTTTAAAAGCCACATAAAGTTCTGCATTGCTGCATATTATGAATGGGTTGCAAAGATTTTTATCTACACAAATCAAAAGGTAACGAGAGCCTCATTTGGGAGACATTTTTTTATTTAAAAAAGAAACACCTAAATTGAGATAATTTTTTGTTAATGCATTTTTTTCCAAATTGTGGAGGAGCTGAGTTTAGTATGAATTCAGTTCTCAGTTTAGTGACGTGCGATACTCTCATAGCAATTAAGTTACTTTGTAGTTTATCAATAGGCAAGAATTCCACTGGACTCCATAGCACAAAGAAAAGCGGTAAATCAGGACTAAATTCTATCAGATATATATAATTTTCATTTATGAAAGCTAAAAAAGAGAGTTCCGGGCTGGCTAATCTGATTTCTCTGCATATTACTTGCACAGAGGGTCTTTCATTGGCTCAGATGATGCTCTCAACTAATGAATGACAACCATAATCAGAATATGGCTTCTGCGTCACCTGACATTGGAAGAGACTTGACACGGGTAGAATCTAGGTAATGGGGCAAACTTTTGCAAAATGGTTTGCCCTATTAGCTGGGAATTATGATAACCACTACAGCGGGCTTTAATGGTTTTCGTGCCACCTAGATGGTTGATGTATCTGATAGCCAACATGTTGTTCATCTTCAGAAGAATTGTGTATGGAGAGTGAGTCAGAGACCAACTGTGGACCACGACAGCTCCAGCCAGAACTTACAGATAATTGATGTGAAGGGTTGATTCTACGTCCGACCACCTGCCTCCTGTGAAACTATCACCAAGCATGCACCCCAGCCCTACAAGCTCACGTCTTTAATGGTTAATATGCTTGGAGCAACCTTCTTGAGGCAAAACAACTGTGATGGCTGATTACTTGATTTGCAGAATTTATCCTCTTCAGCCATTTTCACCTTAAATGTCAAATTCTCCAAATTCACTTGCTAGTGAATAACCTTGATTGAGATTTTCTGAGTGTGCTCACATACAGTGTAATACATTTAGCAAGATGTAATGAACTGTAGACTTTAACAATTTCTGCAAGAGCTTTCTCATTGAAGATACAAGGTGTGTGTTTCCATGGAATACATATCGGTGGCATATTTAATGTTTTAGTAAGAAGCAACTTTTGTTGCTTCATTTCCAAACATTAAAGGAACACTGTAGTCACCTAAACAACTTTAGGTTAATGAAGCAGTTTTAGTATATAGATCATGCCTCTCCGGTTTTACTGCTCAATTCACTGCCATTTAGGAGTTAAATCACTTTGTTTCTGTTTATGCAGCCATTGCCACACCTCCCTTGGCTATGATTGATACAGCCTGCATGAAAAAAACTGGTTTCACTTTCAATCAGATGTAATTTACCATAAACTATTTTATCTCTTGCTCTGTAAATCGAACTTTAATCACATATAGGAGGCTCTTGCAGGGTTTAGCAAGCTATTAACATAGCAGGGGATAAGAAAGGCTAAATTTAACAGAACTTGCAATAAAGAAAGTATAAACTTTAGATGACTCTTTACAGGAAGTGTTTATGGAAGGTTGTGCAAGTCACGTGCAGGGAGGTGTGACTAGGGTTCATAAACAAAGGGATTTAACTCCTAAATTAACTCCTAAATGAGTATTGAGCAGTGAGGCTGCAGGGGCATGTTCTATACACCAAAACTGCTTCATTAAGCTAAAGTTGTTCAAGTGACTATAGTGTCCCTTTAATAACTCTGAAAGAAAATAGCTGACTGTAAAACAGCTGAATTGGAGATTATTATTTTTTTTTTAATCCAGTTAATTTTGACTACATTTTGAAATTCACTTTACAGGGACATTCATTGAACTAATAATTGTATCTATACAATAATGGACTTGGCACATTAGGAAAAGTGCAAGGACACTCACCAATTCTGATAGATCTGCGTCATCTCTGCCAAGGTCCCAGGGTATTCATTCCAGTTTTCACGCATTCAAGTTAGCGACCTACCTCTAATATTGATGCATCTGTGCCAATTTGGGCACAATCACAGAAATTTAGATGCAGAGTTACTTATATTAAGCCGTGGTTGCATAATTCTGGCTCCAACTGATGCAAAGCCTATGAATACTCCTGCATTCTTTGTACTAGTGTCCTTTTGTGGTTTCTCATAGCCCTTAAGCGAGTCTTACCACTGTTCCTTGTTTACTCTTCCTGATCTGGCTACTTTTTTGACCCCAACCTTGTTTATTCCTAGTTATTATGTAATTGGCCCTTTACTGACCATGAGTTTGTCCTTGTTCTGACTCCAGTTCCAGATGGTGGTCCATCCCTGACTCTGAGATTAGCCTGATCATTTTTGGTATCTAGGTTTGTGTTCTTCTCCTGGTCTGGATTTTATTAAATTAGTTCTATTACGTCTATCTCTATCCAGAGCAATACGTCTGGCCATCCTTACGTCCGGTAATATGCTTTTCCGCTGTGTGTTTTGATAGATTGCTAATTTATATCTTGGTCTGGATCCTCCCATATCCTGACCAAAAGGTTCAAGCAAGGTTCCATAAATAATAGTGAACCACGTTTCAGCTTGACAAAAATTATTTTGTGAGCCAAAACGTCATTCACAATTCAGTAAACCTGCCTTGGATATTTACTAAGGTGCCCAGTCATTTATTGTATCGATATTTGGTGTAATGTCTGCTCCGTGCTGGAGGCACTTGGGTGTTTCTCTCTTTGTGTGTGCCTTCTCATATATATTTTTTTAAACTCCAAATTCTATTAGCAAATTGAAATCTGAATAGGCAGCAGCTGGTTTGAATAATTGTCCAACCGATACAATTATAACTTGGCTATTTTAACCTTAATTTTGTCATTTGAATTTTAATGTGCAACAAATCAGAGTTTAGTGAATACATATTTTGCTAAATAAGCTTGTTTAAAAAATTAATACAGACATTCACTGTTTTTACTGTAGGCATCAAAAACCTTTAGCTTAATGGAGCAGTTTGGATGTATAGACATGTCCCTGCATTCTCACTAATTATTTCCATTTAAGAGCTATATCACTTTTGTGAAAAATTCAGAAGGCTATTAACAGGTCAGGAGATAATACATTAAACAGAATGTGAAATAAAGGAAGTTTAAACATTAGATGTCTCTTTACAGGAAGTATTTGCAAGTCACATGCATAGCGGCTGTATAAACAAAGTGATTTATCTCTTATGCCAGTGAATTGAGCAGTGAGACTGCAGGGGCATGATCTATACACCAAAACTGCCTTATTAAGCTATAGTTGTTTGGGTGCCTATAGTTTCCCTTTACAATTTAAGGCCAAACTAGCTAATCTAATAAAAAGGCCATGCTTTCAGATCAGCTACTTTGGCCTGAAATTTTAAATTATGTTTGCATTCACTTTGAACTCTCACTTTAGTAACTGGAAAAGCAACGTAGTAATATGATTGGCTGTTAACGATAGAGAACCCATTTTGTGTAGGCTCTTGTCTGTGTGTGGAAAAAGAAATAATCTACAATACAATAATAACAGAAAAAACATAGCGCAATACTGTTTTAATAAAAAGGAGTGGAAATACAAATAGCTATTCACACTCACAAACCAAAATTGATTGTAGGCATATCGTAAAGACGGTGGAAACCTCAAAATTGGTGAGATGTCATGGTATATATAGAAGGAAACAAAAATGCATAATAGTGCAGAGTATCTTGATAAAATAAACACTTTAATTATAAGGCACACTTACAAGATTGAAGTGGCAAGCAGGCATATAAAATGAACCAGTCTCAGGATCACAGGATCAATCACATGATCAATGGAACCGGAACATAACACAGCAAACAATAAAAAACAATAAAACAAACTCTAAAACACTATACAACATCCCTACGCGTTTCATTCAAACGTCCTTGAACTTCCTCAGGGGCACAAGGTGAAAGTCCTTCTATGTGCAGGCATGATCGTCCATAAGGCTATGATGTGCTTTAAATCCGTCCGGTTTTGGCGCGCCGAAGGTTGTCCTCCAGTTAGCAACTCACTTCCGGGTTCGTCTATGCGTAGTACTTCCGTGTGCGTCCGTATGACGCAACCGGAAGTGCGGCTCAAGCATCTCTTCCAGATCGGATCCGAATACACATCCTTGCGTTCCACCTAATATGCGTTCCACCGCTCGTTGACAAAGCGGAAAGCATCCACAAACATAAAACATGTGTAAAAAACATATATATACACAGCATCAATTATACTTACAACAGTAATCTTAAAAATAAAATAAAATATTACCCACAAGAAATTATTCAAATTGATTCTATATATTAATTGTCTGTGTGTATCTATATATATTTTTACATTCACTTTTAAAAAAAATTGTATATCAGTATTTATTTTGTTTGCATTGACGCCTCATTTTATTAGCCAATTTTGAGGATATGTGGGCATTGGTTGGCTATTTCACACTATACTTAGGACATAGGGCTGGCTTTCTCTGGGCACTTGAGTGAGTGGGAGTCAGAAAAGCATGGAATACTGTGGGTACTTTATTACTCTTTATCTGTTTCAATCTTATTGTCTAAGAGAGATGGAGGCTGTCAGCCGTGTACCATGTGTTCTGCAACACGCAACCTTGTATTTATTGAAACTGCAAACAAAGCACCACGAAGCAGGGAAGATAATCAGAAAGATGAATAGAGAGAGGGCAGCAATTTGTGGCAATTCTACGTAGGAATGCTTTTATTTTGTTTATATCATCTTCACACATTCCATTTCAATATTAGATGCTCTTTTGCCTGAAAATGTTTTTCACAAACTCACTATTTTTATATAATTGAATTGTTTAGAAGCACGTTGATTGCATTTATGAAAAATAGTTTATAAATGGCCAATATTGGAGTATATATAAGTGGTCTACTTAGTACAGGGTATTCCTTACTTTCCAAGTTGTTGTGGACTCTGGATTCTTTTTTATAGAAATTATTGATATGAAATGGTAAATAGGGCTCGACGGACTAGTAATGACTTTTTTAATTCATTGTATACGTCATGGCTCAAAATTGCAACTTGCCACTAACCATTGGCGAGTGAACATGTAGCCCTGGCAAGTAGGAATTCATCCCTGGTGAGTGTTCCATGTACCCTCCAGTCTCCATGTACCCTCCAAATTCCATGTACCCTCCAGACTTCATGTATACTCCAGATTCCATGTAACCTCCAGACTCCATGTGCCCTCCAGATTCCATGTACACTCCAGACTCCATGTATCCTCCAGACTCCATGGTATCCTCCAGATTCTATGTACCCACCAGACTCCATGTATCCTCCAGACTCCATGTATCCTCCAGATTCTATGTAGCCACCAGATTCCATTTATACTCCAGACTCCATGTATCCTCCAGACTCAATGTGCCCTTCAGACTCCATGTATCCTCCAGATTCTACGTACCCACCAGATTCCATGTACCCTCCAGATTCCATGTAACCTCCAGACTCCATATGCCCTCCAGACTCCATGTATCCTCCAGATTCCATGGTATCCTCCAGATTCTATGTACCCACCAGACTCCATGTATCCTCCAGACTCCATGTATCCTCCAGATTCTATGTAGCCACCAGATTCCATTTATACTCCAGACTCCATGTATCCTCCAGACTCCATGTGCCCTCCAGACTCCATGTACCATCCAGATTCCATGTATCCTCCAGATTCCATGTACCATCCAGACTCCATGTATCCTCCAGACTTCATGTATCCTCCAGACTCCAGGTATCCTCCAGATTCTATGTACCCACCAGACTCCATGTATCCTCCAGATTCTATGTACCCACTAGATTCCATGTACCATCCAGACTCCATGTATCCTCCAGATTCTATGTACCCACCAGATTCCATGTACCCTCCAGATTCCATGTATTCTCCAGATTCCATGTACCCTCCAAATTCCATGTACCCTCCAGACTCCATGTGCCCTCCAGACTCCATGTGCCCTTCAGACTCCATGTATCCTCCAGATTCTACGTACCCACCAGATTCCATGTAACCTCCAGACTCCATGTGCCCTCCAGACTCCATATACCATCCAGATTCCATGTACCATCCAGACTCCATGTACCCACCAGACTCCATGTACCCACCCGACTCCATGAATCCTCCAGACTCCAGGTATCCTCCAGATTCTATGTACCCACTAGATTCCATGTACCCACCAGACTCCATGTGCCCTCCAGACTCCATGTACCCTCCAGACTACATGTAACCTCCAGACTACATGTAACCTCCAGACTCCATGCCCTCCAGACTCCATGTACCCTCCAGATCCCAAGTAACCTCCAGACTCCATGTGCCCTCCAGACTCCATGTACCATCCAGATTCCATGTATCCTCCAGATTCCATGTACCATCCAGACTCCATGTATCCTCCAGACTTCATGTACCCTCCAGACTCCAGGTATCCTCCAGATTCTATGTACCCACCAGACTCCATGTACCCACCAGACTCCATGTATCCTCCAGATTCTATGTACCCACTAGATTCCATGTACCCACCAGATTCCATGTACCCACCAGACTCCATGTATCCTCCAGACTCCATGTATCCTCCAGATTCCATGTATCCTCATGATTCCATGTAACCTCCGGCTCCATGTATCCCCCAGTAACTTATAAAGTCTGGCTAGCAATATAGGAATCAGAATGGTAAGCCCTTGTATAGATAATGCCTAAACAAACATGCAAGCCAACTGATATAAAGTAATAAAAAAATAAAAACGGTGCTCATTTTTAAAATGAATTAGTTTAGTGCAAATATACACAAATTAATCATCAGTCTTGAGCTCTGATCTCATCAGCAAGTAGCTTGGCCTCTTATTCAAGTCTGTAAAATCTGAACTCTTGGGCATGTCGAACCCAGCATTGCAAAAGTTAATGTGCAGTTCTGCGCAGCAGCGCACAGCATGGGTTTCTGGGACATGTAGTTCAGGTGTCATCTGCTTTCAAAACTACCACTCTCAGGGAGCTGTTGCTATGTATAGCTCCCTCGTAATGCATATCATCCTTGCTGATGATATGCATTATGAGGGAGCTATACATACCAACAAAAAGAAAGTTTGGTATTTTTTGTTTTGTTTGTGTTTTTTTTCTTTCACAAAATGTACAAGCATCAGCATGCAAAAATTATTATTAGGCCCAGTGGTGTAAATTGCACAAAAATGGTGTTTGTGGATGGAGTGTTGTTTAAGTATATAGGAGGCATTCGTGTATTTTTTTACATTGATAGTTTCTGTCTTTCTTTTGTTGGAATCAGCACATTATGGAGCTTTACTTTATGTTAGAAACACAAGAGATGAAGTCACTAATTAGTCTGATGTTCCTGGGAGCATTTTAATGGTTGGAGCCAAAAACAGCAAATGAAACAAAATGACGAAGCAACAATAGACTATGTCACCTTTGTGAGAAGCAGATGACAAATATGTCATGTCAATATGTAGATATCAGTGGGACATATAGCAGACGTTCTTTGGAGCCGCTCCAGAATGAAGGTGGGTGACCAGGATTGAGGGTAGGACGTAGCTAAAATTGGCAGGAAATAGTGAATGACATCTAGGTTGGGGACAAACAACACTTTCCTGCCAAAAGTTTAATTTAACCTTTTAAAGACCAAAGACAGCTTATGTCACTATTAATTTGGTCTTTGAACATGCTATTTCAAAATGTAATGTCACACTCAGTTAAAGACAACAATTCTGTATAGAGCTGTCGTTAATTCTAAACAGGAAGGACATTGGAATGGAGAACGTTACTACCAGCCTCTTTAACAAATTCAGAGGGTTTCATAGGTTATTGGTTGGAGTGAGCATATTGTAAGGCAACCCAGCTATGGAGAATATAATCTACAGTCACGATTCATATTATATTTACTTACCCAAAGCTAAATTAAAGGAGCACTATAATGTCAGGACTACAAATGTGTTTTCCTGTCACTATTGTGTTTAAAACCCATTTTAGGTGGACACCCTTAAAAAGGGTGAAAAGTCACCTTTATTCCAGCGCCATGCGGGTCTGCCTCCGCACCACCATCTTGGCTGAGATCATCAGAATTTACAATCCCAGCCAATGCAATGCTTTCCCATAAGACGGTGACATTGCCGCTGGTGGAGAGGGGGGCAGGGAAAACTGAGTTCTACTTGACTGAACCTGTCCCACACAAGTGCCGCTGTCTTCTTCTGGCAATTCTAGGTGCCAGTAGCTAACGTCACTGATACAGCATTGAGGTGTACAGAGGATCCCATAGACCCGTGACACTGAGTGACACTGGTGACGGCTGTCAGGATTGACACTGTAACTCCACTCAGTGTTTAAGAAAGTCAGACAAAGAAAAAATACATGACAAAGTAGTCCCTACTTTGTCTAATGTTTTTAGTTAGAAATAGATTTCAAATGAAAAAAAAGACAGAGTAGGAAAGAGGAGAAAAAGAGTAAGTGATTGTAAAAAGGTAATTATGACGTGACAGTGCCACTTTAACATTAGTCACAGGCTATTTTCAATGCCCCGTTCAATGGTATAATTTCCAGAGATTTTACAGTTTCAATTGAAGGTCTCAGCAACAAAGCATACATTTTGTATTTCTATTTACTAGCTTACATACCACTCCAGTGTAGTTAGAGGTACAACACATTAGGTTATCCCTCCTTTTGACACAATGTAACAGGGAAAGGACGGGATGTTGAGAAGGTAATGTTGACAATAAGCTCTCCGCCTGAAAACCAGCAGAATACTTAGTGTGATTTTCAAGCAATTTGGAAGCTTTTCTGGGAATATTATTTTCTACAAATTGAAGAGGATCAATTAGCTTTCATATGTAACAGTATCCCATGGAGTAAGTATGGGTTCGACTTTAATCTTTACCTGTGCGATTGTGTTGCATTTGAATCAAATTATTCCGTAGGCTGTGAAAGCAGGCCTCACTCTGTGCAAAGCATCAACATAGGGAGAATTGTTAAATGTTTAATGGCTTCCCGGCTTCTGTCGGAGCAGCTGTAAATATCACAATCGTATAAAATCATATGGCATTTCACCTTCTTTGTTGCGTGTTGGGTTGAGAAACACTCAGCGTGGCTGGTAAGGAGGTTAAACACTGTTGGTGTAAAATGAAAAGAATGACAAATTTTGGGGTTTATTCACTTAATGTTCAGAACTGAAATTGGAAATTGGAGTTTTAGGCCCAAATTGCAGAGCTTAAAAAAAGAGGTTTGGTTTTCCAAATAAACGATACAATATTTTGTCAGTTCTTTATTTTGGTAATAATACCTAGTATTTATATAGGGACTTTCTCTTTCACACAGTGAGACTCAAAGCCCTTTTCAGCGCATGCTCTCGGAATTAACCGAATCGGCAGCTGAATAATTATTGTTGTTACTCAATTGATGGTACTCATTTATTGATCTTGGAAGGGTGAAGGGCTGAGTGCTCCATAGTGGCAAAGTAAACACCAAATTTTAACATTTATGAAGAAACATTTACAGACTTATTCACTAAAGTGTGATTGTAAAGTCTTACGTTTTAAGTTCACTTGGAATTCATTTTTAATTCTCACCTTAGTAAATGAGCCGGTTAGTTTTGAAAGATGCCCTAGCTCAGCTATAGTCACAGTATACCTATTTGGCCTAAATTTACATTTTGAGTGTATATTTTGGGTTGTGGTCCTGTCCCATGGTCCCGCTTCAGTCTCCTGGTGACCTGCATCTGGGGGAACAAGTGAACTGTCCCCGGGCAGCACAGTGCAAGCACGTGATTAGATGCACTTTTGCTGTGCAGCAGGCTCGAGGACCATACAGGGAGTACTTCAGCATGATCCTGATAGCTGTCCCTTGTGGCCCCACCCATCCATCCCAATTCACCCCGATGGAATGTTGGGAGGTAGGCATAATTAGTGAATGTTTCAGCATTCTGTTTGTATGTATATGTATGTAAATATATATTTTTCTAAATAAGATGTTTTACACAAATGGCCATCATTAGGTCATAATGTAACCTAAAATGGTACCACAACAGGAACACTCATAAATACATGGTGTTCCGGACCATTTTTTCAATACCAAAAAAAAAAAAAAGAGTACTTATGTTTTTAAATAGTTTTGAATAATGTGAAAGCTCACTCAAGTGATTTCTTGCACATACATTATGGTAAGGGCACTGTGCTCCATCAATTAATGATTCTTATTCCACTGCCCAGCGAAGTGGACGTGGTAATGTTTTGACACATGTAGAGGTTTCGTGAAGATAATGTGGGATAAATTGTATCAAAGGGACACTATAGTCAACAAAGTGACTAGCTTCATGAAGCAGTTTTGGTGAAGTTTCACCGCTTCATTTTCTACCGTTTAAGAGTTAAATCACTTTGTTCACATAGCCCCAGGCATAGCTCCCTGCATGTGACTTACACAGTCTTCTTAAACACTTCCTGTAAAGTGAGAACTAATGTTTAAACTTCCTTTATTGCACAGTGTGTTTAATTTAGAATGTATTATCTCCTTCAATAATAGCCTACAAGACCTTGCAGGAGCCTCCTGTGTGCGACTAAAGTTAAATTTACAGAGCGGGACATTAAAACTTCTAAAGTAAGTTAACATCTGATCAAAAAATAAACCCTTTTGTGTGTGTGAGTCACAACCAGGGGAGGAGTGGCCAGGGCATGGACAGAAAAAAGTGATTTAACTCCTAAATGGCAGAGAACTGAGCAGTAGGGGCATGATCTATACACCAAAACTGCTTTATTAAGCTAAAGTTCTTTTGGTGACTATAGTGTCAGACCAATGGTAACTGAATATCAGTTTCCATGTAGATGTCAATGGGAGAACTGCTACTCAATTATCAGAGTTAAAGGAACTCTATAGCGTTAGGAATACAAATCTGTTTTCCTAACGCTGTAGTGTCACAGACCCTACTTGTTGGCAAGTTCACTCGACCAGTGCAAAAAAAAAAAAATGAATACAGATTTACACCGAGGCTCTGTTGGCGCTGTTCACGTCTCCTTCTCAGGTGATGTCACAGAGTAGGCAGGGTCTTCTCCAGCATGGTCCAATCCCATGTTCCCCATAGGGGAGTATTGTAACCTAATACATATGTGCCGCAGACACCACATGCGCATTCACACTTTCCCATAGGAATGCATTGAATCAATGCTTTGCTATGGAGCTTATGTGTCACATTACCTAGTTTTACTCAGTCAGTGCAGTGGAAGTGCCTCTAGTGGCTGTCATACTTAAAGCCAGTAGAGGTGGACTTTACTCTACAATGTAAACATTCTCAATATAGTCTTAGATCACACAGAGAATAGCACAACAAAAACTAAAGATTCACTCTCCCAACAGAGAACCTTACTTTCAAATATACTACACATGCACCAATTGACAAACTATTGGCGGCTACTTCACCCCTAGGAAAGGGACTTCACTTTTTATTCACATGTTGCACGCAGTTACTCTAGGCTAGATATGTTCTTCATGGAACATGATAGGAACTATCATGTGGTCTGACCATGCCCCGGTTTTCTTAAGCATATCAATTCAGGGGGAGATCTTACGGAGTACGGGCTGGAGGCTAAATGAGTCCTTGTTGGATGGCCTACGAGTTGTGGAGGATGTCCATGAACGCAAAAGGTGAGAGCAGTGACCCCTGGGTATGGGAAGCGCATAAAGGTGTAATAAGGGGCATTCTCATCAAATAGGGGAGGGGGGAATTAAGAAAGAGTGCATGGCAAAAATACATACCCTGACAGATGCTATAAAAGTTGAGGAAGCTGCTCATAAACTTGACCCTACTAGTGAGTCTCTCAGACGACTGACAGCCTTGAGAGTAGAGCTCTGCAACACTCTAACACTACGAGCTTATAGAGCATTACAGCTGACTAGAGGTACTTTCTATGCACATGGGAACAAGAGTGGAAAACTCTTGGCCAGAGCCTTTAAAGCCAAACAACAGAAAGCTTTCATCTCGAAGATACAGGGGAATGATGGGACACCGCACATGACCACAGACACTATAGCTACCACATTCAAAACTATTACCAAAGCCTATATAACCTCGGCCCACCCCAGGGCCACCCTGCTGACGTAACTGAATACATTGCATCCAACCTGCACTGTACAATATCCAGTCACTTAAAAGAGCAGTTGGAAGCACCCTTCCCAGATACAGAACCGGCATTAGTAATCAAAACTCCCCCAAAATGGAAAAGCCCGGGTCCAGATGGCCTTACAGCGTGCTACTTTAAGTTATTCGAATCCTCCCTTAGCCCTCACTTCCTAAAAGCAGTAAATGCTATGGCTCCTGGAGCACAACTTCCCCCTCCGATGCTACGTGCAGCTATAACTGTGATTCCTAAACCAGGGAAGGACCCAACACTCTGCAGTAGCTACAGACCCATTTCCTTAATAATCTGGATCTGAAAATGTTCGCAAAGCTTATTGCTAACTGACTCAAGCCTCTTCTACCTGGACTGGTCCACCCTGATCAGGCGGGGTTTGTCCTGGGCCGAGAGGCCAGGCACAAAACCACCAAAGTCTTGAATGTGCTCCATGGAGTGACTGTAACCAAAACACCCATGCTATAACTCTCAATCAACGCTGAGAATGCATTCGACAGGGTGGCCATGCCAGAGAAACTGAAGGCTCACATACAGACCACACTCACATATAAGTGGAATGAGACCGGACTCCCCTACTTGGGTATACGACTCACCCGAACATTCAATGACCTAGTTAAACTGACCTACCTCCCTCTCCTTGGAAACATACGTAGAGATCTGACAAAATGGAAAATTAAGCATTTCTCCATGATAGGTAGGACTGACATAATTAAAATGATGATATCAGGCTGACTACTCTACCTGTTTCAAGCTTTACCGATCTCATTAGCACACAGCTTTTTCAAGTCCCTCAGGTAGATTTTTACTTCCTATATATGGCAATCCAAACTGGTACAGTTGGCATACACCACACTGATGAATGACAGGAGCAGAGGGGGCCTGGGACTACCCCATATGTATAGGTATTATATAGCAGCCCTCCTTACGAGAGTCCTGGAGTGGACGACATACGACAAGAAAAAAATCATGGTATGAGTTAGAGCAGAGTTTTGCTAAAGTACCTCTACACACACTCTACTTGCAAACATACCATTTAAACAGGATCTCCCATGTTCCCCACCTGCTCATACACCATATCCTGGCGAAGTTGAGACACCATAAAACCAAGTGGAAATTGGCCCTGGCCTGTCCCCACTCTTTACAATGGCATTAAACCCGGACTTTAACAATAGACAAGGTGCCATTCTAGCGTTCCTGACGGCAGATAGCAACCTGACCATTGACAAGGTACTAACCAATGACACCCCTGCGGAAATCATGGACCTTAGGAGGTCAGACAGACAAGAAACACTATTGGAAGTCATGAGACTCTCCCAATTTAAGAACTTTTTACATAAGGGGGTAATACCCCTAAGCTAGATTAGTGACCAAACTCCTTTTGAGACTCTCTATGGGCCTGGTGGGTCCCTCTCCCTCTGGTGGGTCCCACTATCCAAAATGTATAAACTACTGCAAGCAGACTCTGCCAAACACAATGATATGACATTCCAGATGAAATGGATGCAAGGCCTCCGTATACATTTGACGGTTGGAGTATGGGCGATGACTCTTTCCACTAGCTTATCCAGGAGAGAGTAATTTTACAAATGGGCAATTAGGTGGTATAGAACCCCCATGCAAATACACAGGTTCTGGCTTGCGCTTAGCGACCGGTGTTGGAGATGTGGGGAGGAACGGGGCCATGGAACATATATGGTGGTTTTGCAGACTGATTAGACCTTACCTGGGACAAATAATACTGACCATAGAAGACATACAGTGGTACCTCAGATTACAAACATCTCGGTTAACATAATTTTCGGTTTTCAAATGAAAATCCATTGAAAATAATTCCTCGGTTTACAATTTTTTTCCGCGATACGAAGCAAGTTTCCCCAGGATGCATTGGGCCTGAGATGCTCATAGCACCGCCCCGTGCATGCTGGAGTCTGTGGATAGCACGTGGTGTTAAGTGTGCAGGTGTTGGAGTTTTTGCATCAAGTTTTGGAGCCATTCTGGAAATTTATTGTAGTGGTTTTGGGACTTTTTGGAACTTTTTTGGTGCATTTCTCAAGTGGTGGAAGGGTAGGGAGCTGAGCTTTGTCATTTGCATGCCTTTTACTGTGTGTTCTGCATTGTGGGCTGGTTTCCATGACAGCTCATTTTCCGCAATACGAAACGTCCTGGAGAACGCATTAAATTCGTAAACTGAGGTACCACTTCCTCTGACAAATAAACTGACACAATCCCAGGTTTTATTAGGCTGGCCGAACTCACTCCCGAACTGCCACACTCAAAAACTGTTGGGCCTCTGCTGAAAGAAGCCAATGCATTAATCCCGGTATTCTGGCGGCAGACCCAAATTCCCACCAAGGAACAATGGCTAAACAGGGTAGAGAGTATGAGGGAATTAGAGGATCTACATTGGTCAGTAGATGTTAAAGGTGTGGCATACCTCCGAACATGGGAGCCCTGGTTAGAACATTGGAAATAAAGGAATTGTCGAGCAGCACTACAATAGCGAAATAACTGTTTACTCACATAGGACATGAGATATAGGACATTCTCCCCTCCTCCCCCCACCACACTCTATTTCACCTACCCCATCCGCTATACCAAGCCACGGCATTGCAGAAGTAACATGAGATTGAGTAGGATTACTGACTCACCAATAGAATATTACATATAGAGCAGGAGGTAAAGTTGGGCTGACTCCGTGGAGCAGGTCTATGGGAAAGGAGATAACATGATATGCAAACTCACACACTTAGAACCTACATAGCTCCCCATATCGGACAGCTGGCTAATACACCATCATAAAGGATCCAGAGGGCAGTTGGACAGACACCGGCAAAGCAAACTAGGGAGTCTGGAAATAGAGTTGACACCCTAGACCCACTACTCACTGCCTGATCATATTCCCTGATTGTAACCAAAATTTTAATCAAATTGTGTATAATATGCTCTGTATAATGGCTTGACATCACCTTATATATGTATAATGTCTTCCCTTTTTTTTCTTTCTGTACCCCTGATTTCTTATTGATTTGAAAAATAACTAAACATTAAAATAAAAATTTTAAAAAACTATTCTTGCAGGTTTAACCCCTTAAGGACACATGCCATCTTAGGAACAAAGGGGAGTACCCGGTAATAATTACTCTTCAAATTAGGAGACCCCTTAGTACCCCTTGGTTTCATGATTCATTTTCTAAACATTAAATTGGTTAGGGAATCGGTGTATTAAACAATGCTCAGTTTTCATTCCTCCAGGAGTTAAATGTGAAACACGCACTTTGAATGGTAGAATTATCCCAATAGATTATGGAACGGAATGCTTGCAGAATAATTATATGAGAGATATCTTGAGATGAGCCATCTCATAGCATCTTCGCAGCATGCTGCTGTCACTCCCATAGAGTGGGCAGTATTCTAAAGGGATATGCTGATGAAATGTGGGGGTGGGAGGTGGACTGCATACTGACACAGACTGGGAAACACAGATAGATACAAGGTAGCCCGTCTCCTGGTATTAACCTCATAAAAGCTAGGGAGAGCAAACAACAAAAAATGTGTCGAACCCCCCTTTAAACAAGAAAAATAGCGATAACATTATATATATATATATATATATATATATATGTGTATAAAAAAAAAAAAACTTCAATCAACATTAAAGACAGTGTAATTAAAGGGCTGGCAGATGTTTGTATAAACCCAGGGCTGGTGGCTCGGTGCCCCATACAATCTCTTTTACTGGTTTCTTACTGCAGGATCGCTGGCCTTCCAACTGACACACGTACAAACCATACAAACACACACATAGAAACTAAAACATAGATACACACATACATGGGCACACACCTACAAACACAAATATATACATACAGATGTACATACTGACTTACGCTTACGCATATCTACAAATATACTGACACACTCTCACAGATGGATGCTCAAAGGATGTCAAAATACAGACAGAGAAACTAATGCACGGCATATACACTTATTCACTTATTTGTGCTCACCAGGCAGAGAAACTTCCCATCGTTTTTAAGACTATAATGTGCATATTGGGTGATGAGGTGGTCTAGGAGCAGTGTGTGGATCCATGTTGTTAAGCCCAGACTCTCAGCCTGTTGTTGCTTTTTAGATTGGATGAAATTGACATTAGTAATGTGGAGGGTAGAAATCTCTGGGTGCCAGACAGAGCCCTAATTTTTGGAGAAGGCCCCACATAGACTCTCAACAACATAACCACTATACTGATCTCTGGTGGTTATGCTGCTCAGACTGCCCTTAAACCAAAAGAAGGTTGGATTTATTGGTATTCAAATACAATCAGTTCAGTGCCGTCAATGCCCATCTGTTGGGTGCAGATGCAAATAATGGCTTCAGGTGGAGTTAAAAGTTCGACCAACTTTTTTGATTGTGTAAAGATTGGGAGACGACCATTGTGGGTCCTCACAGTGATTGTGTTCTGAGCAACTTTCTTTGTAAAAATACAGCTCTAGACATTATATAAAATTTAAACAAAAGGTAAGCCCTGAGCCCATTTTTGCTCTGACGGAACACAAGGATCAATATAATGTGAGTCTGTTATACTTTTATTAGAAGAATAACATATTTATCAGAATCTGGCTATTTATATTTTAGTAATTTCTGCACAGTGAGTAATATTTTAAAATGACTGCTTATGTAATGAATGAACTATCTTTAATTATGACCCTTCTTTCTGAAGATGAGTTAAAAGGACTCTGAAGTCACCAAAACAACTTTTGCTTAATGAAGCAGTTGTGTATATATCATGCTTGAAGTCTCACTGCACAATTCTCTGTGATTTAGGAGTTAAATCACTTTTGTTTTAGCAACATCTCCACTGCATGTGACTGACACTCAAATGCAATTTACTTTAAAAGTTTGTATCTCCTGCTCTTAAAGTTGAACTTTAATCACAGAAGGCTCCTGCAGGGTCTAGCAAGCTATTAAAAGTGTAGGAGATAATAAATTCTAAATGAAACAAACTGTGCAATAAAGGAAGTGTAAACATTAGATGACTCTTTACATGAAGTGTTTAGGAAGGCTGTGTGAGTCGCATGCAAGGAGGTATGACTAGGGCTGCATAAACAAAGTGATTTAACTCCTAAATGGTAGAGAATTGAGCAGTGAAACTGCAGGAGCACAGTCTATACACTAAAACTGTTTAATTAAACTAAAGTTGTTTTGGTGACTATAGTGTCACTTTAAGTACATTTTAGAATATTAAATAGCCACTCAAGGTGCCTTCATTTTTTTTTAGCAATTCACCAACTGTTACTTGACTGTAGAGGCATCTCAGACTGACTTCAGTATCAAGTTACTCAGCAGTGGATGCCAATAAAGACCTTTATAATGCTTGCAGGAAGAGATTTCTATACAAATAATCAGCAGGATATGATAAAGCCCTGATAGATTGGGAGAAGAAGGGAGGGGAGAAGCAGGGCATGGTACACACTACATTTTATACCCATTAATGTATTAAACTCAGATATGGCCATTCAGATTCCAGTCCCTTCTGACAACATGGGGTTAACAACATTTTCAGATCATTTCTGTAGAGCTTTTTTAGTCATCAAAAAGCTGCATTCACAAACACACTACGTGCGAAATTATAGGTGTGTAGCTTGGGAGCTCATGGTGAGAAGACGGAGATATGTTTATATTATTCCTTAAATCTAAAAAGCCTAGAAACAACATAACATACTGAGTGATACCATTCTACATCTTGGAAATCATGTTAAACATGAAAACATGAAAATGCCAGATTATTCAGTTATATAAAACAGTAATGCTCTGCAGCTTTTTATTTTTTATCTTTTTTTAAAGAAAAATGTCTCTATTCTGTTACAACTGAAACAAGTTAAATTGTCACATGATTTTCAGAAGGCTGTACTAAGATGGCTTCCTGCAAGGCTACATCCTGAGGAGCTGATGGAATCTTAAATATCATCTCAGAATGTCTTTTGCTGAAATGCCAGCCCTACAGATCACCAAAGTAACCTCTTACAAGATTATTCAGTAAAGTGTGAATTATCAGAAATCATTTTTCAAGTCAGCTATGTTTCCTTTTTGGCTGTTATGGCCTATAAATTGAAAATACCTTAGATTTTTAGTTAATAATGTTGATTGGCATTGTTTGACTCCGTTAATTATTCTCTCTGGTGATTCTCTGGGTTGTGACTGTTTGGGAATATATTGTAGAGGCTATAAGGAATTGTTGTGCCAATTGTGGCAGCATGTTTAGAGTAGAATTATTATGCCGGCCACTTCCCACCCTCCTTTCTATAGTAGTATCTCTTCCATGTGCACTATGTAAGGGGTAAAATAATACCCACTTGCATAATATAATATATAATATTAGAAGGGGTCATGGACTATGAAATCTCTTCTTGAAAAGTGTGGAACTGCAAGTTGCAGAACATACAGGAACATACTTGGGATAAAAGGACAGAACCCCAAATTCCTCTGAGATGTTTCTAAACCATGTTTCATAAACATGATGCCCTGCCAGACTAGACTTTTATAGCATGATATGTGGTTTACAAACAGCTGGTGTGCCATGTCTAACCACCACAGTCACTGAACAATATTAGTTAAGCACTGGATTCCCCCCGGTAGCGATCTAGGACTCAATGGCAGCAAAAACATAGCCATAATTGTTTAACTGTTGTTTTAACCCTAGTGATCACAATCCCACCGTTCTGATACTTTTTTTTACTGTTATCGGTTCATTGAAAAAGGGCGCTAAACCTTACGTGAAACACTGAGGTTTAGGCGATCACAGTCCTGACAAAGAGGTTACTTTAACAGGACAATTGAAAACCTAGCAAATTCAGCAACCTCAACATTTTTGTAACAATGAACTTATACTACAATATATATATATATATAAATATATATGTAATTTTATTTAATTTTGTCAATCAACTTTTTTATTGAGTGGATATAATGAAACATAGGCCATATACCATGGCTGCAAGTATGTATGTCATTACAAGGCAAATAAGTCATCCAAATAGAATAATCACTAATGTTTCGACACAAATGAAAATGTTATGCATAAATAAAAGTAAACAGTAATAACATTCACTGGGCATATAGTGAACATCCTAAGGAGTCTTTAAGCAGGTTCATTATTGTAGAACTAGGCTAAGCCTTGACATGTTATCTGCGCAAAAATAACACTGACCGTCTATCACATAAGCCAGTATTCTCACGGGTGTAATATAAAACTCTTAAACGAGGAAGATGATAAAAACAAAACATCTCAAAGAAAGAGAGAAGGACATCAACACCATGCTAGGCTGTACTGTTAGGAGGTGTCTTGAGACGCTATCTGACTCCTTGCCAGAATAATTTTATGCCAGAGCAGGGGAGAGATGGCAAGGACCTCCTGTCTCCCTGCCAACCAACCCAAGACTTCTAAGTCATCAGAGAGAATGCCAACTGGCCTCGAGGTCTGTTTGCAGGCATCGGCTCTCCTGGCATCACAGACTGTCCCCGGTCTTAAGCCACATACAGGCCATCGTCCCAAGCTGTTTTGTTGCCTACAGTATCCCTTTAAGGACAAAAAAAAATGCCTTTGGCTATAATTCTAACATTCAAATGCTTAAAATGTAGCCAGCACTTGAGGTAATTTCCACAAGGGTGCAAAGACCTCTAGTCCCATCTCTGATGACCAATATTAGAAAGGATAAAATAAAATTATTAGCACACCTCTTCTTAATGTCTTGTGATCCCTTTCTTGTGGTTCCATAAATAGGCAACTGTTTGACCCACAGTTAGGGTCTTCATCAAGCCAGTATTAGCTTATTGAGAAGAAGTTTATTCGCTAATGTACACGTTAAATGTTCATTAAGGTCTGCTTTGACTTTTGGTTAGCATTTTTCTGGTGCTGGTATTTTATTAGTGATGGACAATGTCCAACCTATCTCTTTGAGCTTGTAATCACCTTAACATAGCCTGTCAGCGAAGAACGTTAGAACAGTCTGTTTAATAAACTGGTCTTGGCTGCTCACCAGATCTCCTCACTCACATATTTTGGAGAGTCAATGCAGTGAAATATATTTTGTTCCGTAAGGAAGGGTACTGTCAAATTGCCGAGGTGTTTGTTAAGTTTACATCATTTCAGTTAAGATACGTTGTGGTTTTGTATTTGTCAAATGACATGATTTATTTAATGCAGGGTAATAGATAAGATTTAACCAGCAATAGCAATGGACAACCCAGCAGATTAGTGGATGGAAGAAGAATCGATGAACTTTGATACGTTTATTTACTACAAATGAATAAAAGTATACTAATTTAAGGCAATACAATCTGTCTGTCTATCTTAGGAGAAGATGGCTTGTAAAAATAGATGGAAAAATTGGAATTCTCTCAAAATAACAGATAATGTAATTAAATCTTGATAATCTGCACTTGTGTATTCCGCTCACTGATTTTAAAAAACAACAACTTTTGTTTATTTGTATTTCTACTCTCATCCAGATATGCTCAGACTACATTTTCCAAGATTCATCCAATTTAAAGAATTCTAATTATTAGATTGTGAGCTCGTTTGAGCATCTCTCTGCAGTGTAAAAGTAGCGCTTAATCATATCATTCAATTAAATTAGGGTGATGGAGTAGCTCCGTGATTGGTCCTGTAGTGTCTCTATTTGCTATTCAAACTTCAGGGTCATATGATTTCTTCCTGGCAGAACTTCCACTGTCCATATAATATGAATCATTGAACTGGGAAATAAAAACTTCTATCTCCCATGGCATACTCAGATAGCGCCGGCTCTGCGTGTGTGTGTGTGTATATATATATATATATATGCGTACACACACACACTCACAGACACATTCAGACACACACACACACACACATACATACACTCACAGACACACACACACATTCACAGACACACACTCACACAGACACACACACACTCACACAGACACACACATACACTCACACACACACACACACACACACATTCACAGACACACACACTCACTCACTCACTCACTCAGACACAGACACAGACACACACACAGACACACACACTCACACACACACACGCACTCACACACAGACACACACACACACAGACACACAGACGCACACACACACTCACACACACACACACACACACACTCACACACACACATACAAATTATTATATTTTAATTTAAAAAAAATGTCCACCCAGCCTCCTACCTGGAGTGCTGGCGTGGACTTGTCCCTGGGGTCCAGTGGGGCGGGCGCCTCTCTGCAGCTCAGCCGAGGCGAGGGAGCTGTCTGCTCTCTGCTTCCTCTGGCCGCGCGGGCTGTCTGCTGTAGCTGGGAGCTGGAATATGACATCATATTCCGGCTCCCGGCATCAGCGCGCGGCGAGAGGAATCAGAGAGCAGAGAGCAGACAGCGGGGGGGTTATCCATCACCTCTTGCCCTCCCCATGACAGGGGCAAGAGGTGAGACAGGGGGCTCTGAGTGTCTGCAGGAACAGCATTCCTGCTCAAAAAAAACACTGTTCCTGCAGGACTCAAACCACAGGCGTGCCACGGGGATTAGGGTGTGCCCAGGCACACCTGGCACACCCCGTGCGCACGCCTATGTCATCAATTGTGCAGACTTCAGTGGTTTGTCATCACCAATGGGTTATTTACTAAGGTAATAATTCAAAGTCAATTTTATATTTCATATTTAAGAGAACACTATAGTGTTAGGATACAAAGATGTAATGCGCAAGCATTTGGGCTTCCCTATATTTATAGTGTGCCTTTAAGGTCAAAGTAGCCAGGCTGGAAGTATATCTGGCTTAGAAAAAGTTTACAGTTCTGATATTTTTACATTGAATTCGAAATTCACTTTGAATTCCTACTTTGGTCAAAAGTCCTGTAAGATCCCCAAATTTGCCAAATGCTTGCTAAGTTGGGCTCAAGTGAAAAAGCTTTGCGTAATGGAAATCTGAGTATATAGCAATGGAAGTAACGAGTGCCCGTCTTTACTATCTGTCTGACCAACATGAGACCGTAGTCCACAGTTACATGTCCTGCTAAAGTTATCCTAACATTGCCGGATCCTGTTCTTCGGCTGTGGATTGTAACTCCTGTTATTGTACGCCAGCACTTTTACAGAAATTGCTTCTTACTTAGTTAGACAAGAGGGATTGTACCACTAAATCATCTTCAGAACAGGGCCAAACGCACAGTATGCCGTGTTTGCAAAACAAATTCCCAAATGTGTTCCAAAACTACGCACTCTAATAAATGAGATTGCCCCATCCCCCCACTGAGAAAATTGTGCTTATCAGGCAGTCCTGCACGCACAGGAATAAGAGCCTGGAATATACACTGGAGGTGTCACGTGGAACCATACCATTTCTGTGGAAAAAAAGGTTTCTTTGGCTAAACAGCAGATCTGCAGTCATTCATAGCAACCCTTCCCTTTCTCCCCAGGCATCAGAAGACAAAAATGCAATAGAAATCTAGATATATAGGTTTTAACTCTTTCATTGCTGGTAGAGCTAGAAGAAACATACACTTGTCTCAAGGCAGTTTATATATATATATCTTTGTTTATTTGTGTGTATTGTACTGTCTGTTTTCTTGATTGTACAGTGCCAGTGATAATAGTGAGTAATAGTGAGTATATATGTATGACTGAAACGTCGATTTGCTGTAACCCATGAGTTATGAATAAAGACAAATAATTTTCTTCAAAAAGCCCAGCGTGTGCCTTTCTTCGTGGATATATATATATATATTTGTGTTTGGGGCTACATGGAATATGACATGAAATAAGATTGTAGTTAGCAAACCTGAGATAGGAAAAAGTCAGCTGAGGTGTGCCGGAACCGACATATGCTGTAGGTTGTTAATAAACTGTACAATGGATATATATAAATACACACACACCGTTATTTTGGATTTCGCAAACAGGTGTAGCATTTTTAGTGAGATTTAGTGAGTTAAACAATCCATTGAAAAGATCACTCATCAAAATAGCATTTTTTTCATAATTGCATAAATGTGCGATATGGTCAAAAAAACATGAATACATGTCCATTTTCCGATTCCTTTATGCATTGTGTGCCATTCCTCCCAACAACTTGGGACTTCAGTGGGCGGGTTAAAAGGAGGTGGTGCACTGACCTCCACTACCTTGAGTGTTCTGCAAACACGTCTAATGATGTGCTCTTTCTACACTTTTTGGGGGATGATCCCTGTTATCCTTAAAAGAAGGGCACCAGTGAAAAAAGTTATGATGGTGGACAGACATGACTGTCCTGCTGACATTGGAACAGTTGGGAGGCCTGGTGTACACCTGTATTGCCAAGTTTGTACACTACAGATGTTTGTGTACATTTAAGCAACATGTAAAATGTAGAAAAGGCCATCATGGTATGTATACCATTGGTGATTTAAACATCATCACAGTTTATCTATTACTTTTACATTTTATTTTTTAACAGTTCTTATATAGTTCTTGGATCAAGAGCTCTTTACCAAATGTATCCTTTAATCACGTTATGCTTCAGATAGATGATAGGTAATGTCAGCAGGGCAAGCCATGCCTGTGGCTGTTACTCTATTACCTGTAGTAATTTTATACAAAGTGCTGTACAATCTAAAGGGATAATCTGAATTGAAAAGGTAGTAAGGGAGAAAATACAGTTGGTAACTCAGAATGTGGGGGACAATGTAGAATAATCTAGATAAATGTCAGGTCATGCCAGAATGTATCAGTAGGCTGTGAAATACAGGTCTAATCTTCAAGGTCTCCAAGCAGCCATTAGCCAGTCAACATATGATCCTTCAAGGTCTCCAAGCAGCCATTAGCCAGTCAACATATGATCCAACATATGATAAGGCTAGGGACTAATGAAAGTATTTAGAAAATTGGGCAGACTAGATGGCCAGATGGTTCTTATCTGCCGTCACATTCTATGTTTCTATGTTTCTATGTTTCTATCCTTTTCTGTAGGACATATTAAAGCGGCACTGTCATGCCGAATCCCGTTTTTTTTTAACCCCCCTCCCGCCTCCACTACATCCAATTGACCCACTAGTCACCCCCAAATACCCCTAAGGCCCCCAGATTACCTCTTTTTAAATCTTTATTTTCTGCCCCGATCTATATTCAGGGCGCCGCCATCTTTGTGTGGGTAGGTGAAGTCCCTCAGGGACACGTCATCAGCCCACACTAGATAGACTGTGAGATTCCCGCACATGCCCAGTTCAACACCTGGACATGCGAACGGGAATTTCATCTATACATTCATTCATCAGACAGACGAATGAACGAACAGAAAGATCAGCCGAACAAACAAACACTATGTATCAGTGTATCTGTGTATCAGTGTTAGTTTGTTCGTTCAGTTTATTACAAGGAGGGAGCTACCGGCGTGCAGCTCCCTCCTTGTAATATGTAAAGATAGAAGCGGCAGGGAGCAGTGGTCCCCGCCTCTTCATAAGCCCCCCCAGGTCCCCCTCTCACTCTATGGGGGTCAATATGACCCCCATAATAGCACAAGGGAGATTAAAATCTCCCAAATGCCCCTACTCGCTATACCGCGAGTAGGGGCATGTCTACTAAATCAGAGTGCTCTGTGTCATTTTACACAGCGTGGGAAAGTTCTTTTGAATTTTCCCATGCTGTGTAAAATGACACAAAGCACTCTGATTGGCTTAAACCCACCAATCAGAGTGTTCTAAGCCTAATTGCAGGGCGGGGCAAGGCTTTATAAGCCTTGACCCGATCTGCGGAGCTCAGTACGCGGCGTTCCCTCGAAGGGCGAACATGGATTACTTTTTTTTTTTTTAAAGTGTGACGGGTATGATGGATTTTTATTTGGCCTTTTTGGGTGCTGAAGAAAGAAGATTGTGACTAGGGGCTTGGGACCCCTAGTCACCTTGATTGGGGGGGTTTAATTTAGGGCCCCCACCCACCGCTCAGGGGTGGGGGCCGGGGGGGAGGACAGTAGGTCCCCCCTTATTGTTTTATTAGGGCCCCCACCCACCGCTCGGGGTGGGGGCAGAAGGACAGTCCTCTGTGGGGCCCCCACCCACGGCGCGGGGGTGGGGGGCCAGGGAGACAGTAGGTCCCCTTGTGTTTGTGGGGCCCCCACCCACCCACCCGTGCGGGGGTGGGGGCCAGGGGGCGTGGGTCCCCTTGTGTGTTCAATGGGGCCCCACCCGGCGCGGGGGTGAGGGGCCGAGGCGTGGGTCCCCTTGTGTGTGTTGGGGCCCCCACCCACCCACCGTGCAGGGGTGGGGGCCAGGGGGGAGGACAGTAGGTTCCCCCTTATTGTTTTATTAGGGCCCCCACCCACCGCTCAGGGGTGGGGGCCAGGGGGGGAGACAGTAGGTCCCCCCCTTATTGTTTTATTAGGGCCCCCACCCACCGCGCAAGGGTGGGGGCCAGGGGGGGAGGACAGTAGGTCCCCCCCCTTATTGTTTTATTAGGGCCCCCACCCACTGCTCAGGGGTGGGGGCCAAGGGGGGAGGACAGTATGTCCCCCCCCCTTATTGTTATATTAGGGCCCCCACCCACCGCGCAGAGGTGGGGGCCAGGGGGGGAGGACAGTAGGTCCCCCCCCTTATTGTTTTATTGGGGCCCCCACCCACCAATCGTGCAGGGGTGGGGGCCGGGGGGGAGGACAGTAGGTCCCCCCCTTATTGTTTTATTAGGGCCCCCACCCACCGCTCAAGGGTGGGGGCCAAGGGGGGAGGACAGTAGGTCCCCCCTCCTTATTGTTTTATTAGGGCCCCCACCCACCGCTCAGGGGTGGGGGCCAGGGGGGGCCAGTAGGTCCCCCCCCTTATTGTTTTATTAGGGCCCCCACCCACCGCTTAGGGGTGGGGGCCAGGGGGGGAGGACAGTAGGTCCCCCCCCTTATTGTTTTATTAGGGCCCCCACCCACCGCGCAGGGGTGGGGACCAGGGAGGGGACAGTAGGTCCCCCCCTATCTTTATTTAGGGCCCCCACCCACCGCTCAGGGGTGGGGGCCAGGGGGGGAGGACAGTAGGTCCCCCTATCTTTATTTAGGGCCCCCACGGGCGGGGGGGGGTTATTAGTTTTTTGGGTTTTTTTACAGCTCACTGCTTACTACACATGCCCCTACTCGCAATATAGCAAGTAGGGGCATATTATTTACTAATACTAAGTAATTTTTACTCAGTATTAGTAAATGTGACTGAAAGACCAATTTAGGTCTTTCAGCCTTTTAGTAGATAACTCCCTGATACCGTGGGAATTAGGGAGTTATCTACTAAGCGGCTGCAAGATGCAGCCGCGGCAATGAATAGGCTCAGAGTTTCATTCCTTAGAATGAAATTCCGATCCGAATAAAGTGCCGAATTGCATTCTAAAAGAAACGAACATACTGTTCTTATTCAGTTAGAACGCAATTCGGCAGTTTTAGCTAAAATGACAGGAAGCATCGCGAGATCACAGAGGAAAGCTAGGGATCATGGGAAAATTGCTTTGACCAGCGGAAATGAAGCACACTTTGCTCCTCCGCTGTTCGGAGCTGTTCAAACGGAGGAATCCTCCATAAGGCAAAGAGTCCCCACTTTGTCATGATTTTAAAGAAAACTAAAGAAAACAGGAAGAAAAGAATAACAGATCCTGAGAGAGGGGGAGAAGAGGAAGAGATTGAGGAAAGGTAAGTTCGGCATGACAGTGCCGCTTTAAGAAAACAAACATGAGATCTCTGGCATTGAATGCTGAAATGGGATCTCAAGCATGATATTTGCTTCACAAAATCTTCATTCTGTCATCCATAACAGTGATAGAGACATACCAGGGAAGCCATAGACCAGAATGACATTTTGTGCCCCAAAGCACATACAGATAGACACTATGAGTAAGGAATTCGGGTACAAAACCAGTCTGTTTTCTATATTGTTATCTGGCTCCTCCTCTGTGTGTTATGGAATAAAGTGGGCTATCTGAGATCTCATTTAATTTATTTGCACATCATAGAAAAAAACTGTTTCAGATATGAGCATTTGAGAATATTGTGGTCTGTTGATTTTATGTGTGATTTAAAAAATAGATTTAAGGGACAGAAGACATAAGTTGGGGACAAGTTGAGAAACAGAAGAGCTTTGCTGGTTTTTCTAAAGGGCTTTTTTGGGGCTTTTATTAAACATATATAAACTGAGGAATGTGTTGCTTGTCAGGGCCATTTGAAGGAATTTGGGCGCCCCATGCAAAATGGACATGGAGACCCCCTCAAACTCCCCCCCACATGCACGCAAAGCCTACAGGAACCACAGCATAGCCATACAGTTTAAGTTCACTTACTCCTTCCCCCTATGATCTTTTTACTACTCCCCCCTCCCCCACCCCCTCCCTATGTTCTTCTTACTCCCCTCCCCCCTGTGTCCTATTTACTCCCCTCCCCTGTTTCCTTCTTACTCCCTCTCCCCCCTGTGTCATTCTTACTCCCCCTCCTGTGTCCTTCTTACTCCCCCCCTCCCTCTGTCCTTCTTGTTTTCCCCCTCCCCTCCCTGTGTCCTTCTTACTCCCCCCCTCCCTGTGTCTTTCTACCCCCCCCTCCCTGTGTCCTTACTCCCCCTCCCCCTCCTGTGTCCTTCTTACTCCCCCTGTGTCTTCTTACCCTCCCCCCCCTCCCTCCCTGTGAACTTCTTACTCCCCCCTCCCTGTGTCCTTCTTACTACCTCCTCCCTGTGTCCTTCTTACTCCCCCCTCCCTGTGCCCTTCTTACTCCCTTATGTTTTTTTTTCTTACTCCCTTATAGGAAGCACCGGTTCTGCTTGGGGCCTTTTATTGTGGCCAGCCTAAGGCACACCTTTGCAATAATCATGCTGTCTAATCAGCATCTTGATATGCCACACCTGTGAGGTGGATGGATTATCTCAGCAAAGGAGGAGAAGTGCTCACTAACACAGATTTAGACAGATTTGTGAACAATTTCTGAGAGAAATAGGCCTTTTGTGTACATAGAAAAAGTCTTAGATCTTTGAGTTCAGCTCATGAAAAATGGGGGCAAAAACAAAAGTGTTGCGTTTATAATTTTGTTCAGTGTAATCCTTTTGATTGTAAACTCATGTTATTGAGTGATAATAGCATCTCATTGAAAAGTCAAAGTGACAGTTTGGTGTCTTATAATGGTATACGATCACTGAAGGAAATAGGAAGATGTGATGTTGTAAAACGTCAATAAAACATGCTGTGTCTTTCTGATAAGTATTTGCGTTAAATGGTGATAATGGTGATAAAACTGCACTTTGCTTAAGAGCCACCATGCAATAACGTTCGGAATAGTACATATTATACAATGGGATGCCAAATAAAACTCATAGGGACAGCTAATAAAGATTTACAGGGTTATAGGGTTATTCACTAAACCAGAAATTACCGGGAAGTTTTTTACATTTAAAAAAATTTTTTTATTCCAAAACAGTCAAAATGAAAAATAGCAAAAGCTGAGATTTTTTCAAATTTGGCTATTTTAGTTTACAATTTTAAATCCCCTGGTAAGTTTTCACTAATTCCCAGTATAGTGATTAACCCTGTAAGTGTTATAAACCTATAACTCATTTCAATCTCGGTCAGCTGACTGTCCACTGGATATCTTGTACTATCACTCCCGTCACTCTCGATGCTGCCTAGTGAACATAAGGTTGTGATTAGGCAAAATGTGGACTGTAATTGTCCTAAGAATATTTTAATGGCTGGATACATATAATTATTTTACTGTGACTTTATCTTTAATTTGTATGAATACTTATTATTATTACAACTTAACATGATGTGTATTGTGATTACACAGGTCTTAAAACAGTACTCAGAGAAATTGTGGTTATTCTAATTTTAATTTGTTTCCAGTTTGAATAGATTAAAGTTGAGCTGGGAATGAATAAAGTAAAGTATATATATATAGCTTTTCTGGGTGTATTCAGGGATACATAAGCACCTGTATGCCTCCCATAAATACAGACATTTGCAACAAGACGAGCTGGACGCACAGGAACTGGGGATGTGGAGGGCCATAATGCTCAAGGTTCCATCACAGAATGCTCTGTATGCTGCTGTACGTTGTGGGACCTGCAAACAGCTCTAATGTAATTGACAATGGCCTGAAATCTAAGCTTAAATGTATCTTATTAAATGATATTTTATCCACGAATGGCCCAGGCTGGCTATGTACAACTAAAATTGGTGGAAACTTTGGTTCAGACGTATAAATTCATCCAACGAAAAAAAAACTAGTTCAGACGACCAAATTTTCATTATGTCGCAGTCCAGCTCTTCTAAATATTGTCCATGCAGACGATTCAGGAAAGTCTGTTTGGACAAACCAAAAAAGCATGAAAAATGTGCATATCACTGTACTGCAAAACATATACATAATATTTATATGTATAGAAGTTTGCAGTACAGTGATAGGCTCATGAATGAAGCTAATCAGTCAGAATTCAGTCGACCAAACCAAATGGTATGTTACCATTCAAATTTAGTCCATTAATCTCTATGTTGTGTGTACAGTTACTTTTGAGCATTTGGGTGCTTATTTTAAGGTTTGATTGATTGATGTCCTTCCCTTCCTCCACAAAGAAACCTATCAGGCCATTGTCCATGTTGTTTGTTCCACCCCTCCTCTCCCCCCCAGTAATACATGCATATGGCAGTTTTAAGGTATGGAATTTGAGCGACATGCTGATTAGCCAAAATTTGCAGTTTGCAAATTTGGATCTGATTTGTCTTAAAGTGATTTACAATTAATATAGTACATTAAAAAAGAATCCTATCTGGAATAGTACAGCCATGAATACATATTTATATTCTGTTACTTAGCCCCTAAATGGCAGCTGATTAAATACTTTTTTCCTTAGTGAATCAAGTGACAAAATCCAGCATGTGTTTAAACTCCTACATGTGGCATTTGGCTGAACAGTTGAGGTGCACACATAATATGAGGACAGGTGGACACCTGACAGTTATTGGCTTCAGTTTCTGCCAGAGATCACTGATAACGTCTAAAATTCCATTTGACAATTCCAACATGTGCTCCACAAGACACTTTTGCCATCTTACATTGGAATTACTAAGAGAAACATTCTTTTTCAGACAGTGTGATCCCAAATGATAAAAAATGATCCTTTGAGGATCTGAAAAACATGTATACACTGATCAGCATCAAAATTAAAACCACTGACAGGTGAAGTGATTAACATTGAATATATCATTACAATGGAATCTGTCAAGGTGTGGGATATAATAGGCAGTAAGTGAACAGTCAGTTCTTGAATTTCATGTTTTGAAAGCAGGAAAAATGGCCAAGCAAAACGATTTGATTAACTTTGATTAGGGCCAAGTGTTAGATACCAGGGTCAGAGCAATCAGCAAGAATTAAAGGAACTGCTTGGTGCCATATACCACAGGACATGTTCAGAAGTCTTGTGGAGTCCAAGCCTCGACGTGTCAGAGCTATTTTGGCAGCACATGGGGGACCTACACGATATTAGGCAGGTGGTTTTAATGTTGTGTAATTTATTCTGGCCTTTGTCATTGATGTCTATAGCCTTTTTACAACCATCAGCCCAGCCACGTATGTCCCCTATCAGAACCAGTCTTTGCTGATTTACCCTCACATCTACTCAAACACTGCTAGATGAACATTGTCACCAAGCAGGAATCCCAAATGTCCCAGTTTCAGGCGGTGGGGGGGAGTCCCAATTTTATGGTCCTGTCCTGCTGTCCCTAAATTGTTCCCTGGTGTCCCACATTCCATGACACTAAATAACTATCTTTAGACACGACAGCATGAAAGCGCACAAGAGAATAGTAGGAGTAGTGGGAGTTTAAGTGCAGGATCTTTTTTTGTGTAACTATATTCATTTTTGAATCGCACAGTCATGTTACAATGCTGCCACCCATCCCATGTGTTCCCTATTAAGGGTTAATATGTATGTAGGTGTTTATAAATAAAATACCCCTCTCATTAGAGATTTATTTGTCTGAAGCTCAAAGAAGCAAGGTGAATAGTCAGTGTAGGACCCACCTAAGAGGTTTGCCCTTACGTGGCAGGTGGGAATGCATCTAATGGCCATTGGAGTAGCTAAATGACCTCCATTTATTTAAATATGTGTAGGGATTTGGGATAGTGTACAGGTAACTCTTTTTTTTTCTCGACTTAGAGAATGTTTCCAGTAGCTATATTGACCTTAAATTTGAATGTCACTTTAAATTCCCTTTAAATTCTCACTCTAGTAAATAACCCTGGCAGTCTAATTTCTATGACATTATAATGAGTATGTTTGTGAATGGGCTGATCGCCATATTTCTGTGTTCAGGCATCTAATAGTAGAATGCTGTACAAATGCATGAGTGCAGGGGGAATACTTCCAGCATGTCCTATGCAGCATGTACCCTCACACGTCAACGTCTGTAAAACCATGGTTATTACATTTGTCTACAATTTATACTCTAGTGATGCCATTACAAAAACGAAATTCACGAGAACACTGGCAGCAGACAAAAATCATTAGCTTGTCCCTTGTCTTGTCTTGTCCCCTGCTTAGGTCTGAAACCGGTTTTAGCGTATTTGTGCCATTACACAGAGAACTTATACCATAAACATATCCAACTGATCCCACCCTCAAGAGTAGACCGGTAGCAAAATGCCAGAGCTATGGCACACAGTGTGAGTAAAAACAAATAAAAAAAAATCTGTATTAAGTAAATAAATAAATAATAAAAATACCACAACCCATTGCCAACATTTATTTTGCTATTGGGTTGGACCTTTTCATTAATTCTGGACATTTCACCTTAAGTTTTGCAAGTCACCTGCACGGCAATGCATCATGTATACAATTATTTATTAAAGTGAAAATTATTGGAATTCAAAGTGAATTCTAAATTTAAGTAGTTGAACTGGAAACGTTCTCCTAGTCATCTATGATTCCAACTCTTGCCCTAATGTTGAAATTCACTTTGCATTCGGCCTGCGCATTTGACAAAAACATGACCTTTAATAGAATATATTACAATTTATAATTTTTCTTTTTTAAATAAAATTAGTAGCTAATAAGTGAGCTGCCTTATGCAGTAATATTTCTTCATTATTGTAACGAAATTAATGCATCCCTCCGAAGTGTGCCTATTTATCAGGGACACTCCCTTTTTTAGTCCTAATTCCCTCTGTCCCTCTTTTCTACCCTAATGCCCCTCTTTTCTAGGAGCTCTGCATTGTTGGTGTGTCTGAGTGTATGACAGAGCTCCACAGCAATAATACTCCCAGTAATGTGTTTTTAAATTACAATAAATGTGATTAGAAATCAGTCTGTGTAAATAAGATACATTGATCTTGTTCTAAATTACATTTTAGTTTAGCATAAACTGTTATTAGTAAATCTCTTAAAAACTGCCCTGCCCCTGGCCACACTCGAGTCACACCCCTAAAATTAAAGTGTCCCTTTTTGTCCATGTCAAATGTTGGGAGGGATGTAAATATTATGTATTCTCTATTGAAGCAATTAATCTGTGTATTACTTTCTGTAAATGTGATATAAGAATAGGGTTATAAGTCTGAATCCATTGAGGTGTCAATTGACAGGTCTGAGGATTTGGTAACAAAATCATAGACAAGCTCTGATATGACTGGTGGCAACATGCACAGACCAGAGCTGTGGTCGCCGTGGTTTTATTTGCTTTAGGCATGAATTCACACACTAGGTACATGCATATTGTATGTAGCTCTAAAGTCTAAATTGACCAATTTCAAATTCTTTGTTTCTGTAGGGTTCAGCAGATTCTTACACAAGCAGACCATCAGACTCTGATGTATCTCTGGAAGAGGACAGAGAAGCAATTCGGCAAGAGAAGGAACAGCAAGCCTCAGTCCAACTCGAGAGAGCCAAAGTAATGCGTATACCTTTACTGGAAGCATACGGGAATGGGATCAGGGCCAGTTATGGGGTGTGCGACAAGCAACAATCATTATAGAATCATACAATTTCTGTTTGTAAAATACATTAAGCAAATTGTGTTTTTTGATTTAGAAACTAATTGATTTGGTTTAGATTAGTAACAATATACATCTGCAGCCTTGTACACTATAGAGTTTATTCACTGAGGCATTGATGAGAATTGGCAAGGGAATGGTAAGTCTCACGTTGTGTTAAGCTAGAAAATTCATGGCATTTGGAAACATTTATGATTGGCTATTTAGCCCACAGTTTTCAGTTTTCACTTCATTTATCAGCAAACCCCAGTTTAGTGAAAACAATCCTTAAAGTTTTAGTCTAATCAACATAACCACAAACGTTTACTGTAGTCTCCTGGGCAGATCTTCCATAAGAAATCTCAGGTCCCCTTAAAAAATATTGCCTGGTCTCCCGCACCTAGATACACACCCCATGCCACACACATATGTATATATGTAGAAACAGTCATACACACACTCTTTCAGAATATATACATATGCACATTGCCAAACACAAATATACAATATCAGGCACACACACACACACACAGTCACATACACACACAGACAGTCACATACACAGTGTTAGAAACACAGAAACAGATTCCAGCTGTCAGACACACAGTGTCACACACACATGGAGCAAACAGACACATAGGGCCATTGCCCTATGTAAAATAGGTCCCCCAGCCTACAGGGCCATGGGTAGTGTTACCGGGACTTGTACATCGGGAATAACCCAAATTGCAAAATATAGGCAATTACCAAGTCCAAAAACTCCAAGGTATTGAGTAGATGGAAAAATACATGAGGAAAAAAAGGAAAATAAAAGATAAAAAAAGGAAGCAAATAATTTTATTGATAATTATAATAAGCTGGGACTTAAAGGATCACTAAAGGGCCAGGAACACAAACATGTATTCCTGACCCCATAGTGTTAACACCACCATCTAGCCTCCCCCGGGTCCCTCATGCCTCCATGAATATAGTAAAATCTTACTGTATTCAAGCCAGAAGCTGTAACTCTGCATGCTGTTAGACTCAGAAAAACAAAGCAGTCTGCTGACATCATCAGAAGTGGTTGCATGATCCAATCACAGTGCTTCCCCATAGGATTGGCTGAGACTGACAAGGAGGCAGATCAGGGGCAGAGCCAGCATGATTCAAACACAGCCCTGGCCAATCGGCATCTCCTCATAGAGATGAACTGAATCAATGTATCTCTATGAGGAAAGTTCAGTGTCTGCATACAGAGGGAGGAGATACTGAATGTTTGAATGCATTTTAGGCAGCCATGACCCAGGAAGGAGCTCGAACAGCCATCTGAGGAGTGGCCAGTGAAGTTATCACTAGGCTGTAATGTAAACACTGCATTTTCTCTGAAAAGACAGTGTTTACAGCAAAAAACCTGAAGGTAATGATTCTACTCACCAGAACAAATTCAATAAGCTGTAGTTGTTCTGGAGACTATAGTGTCCCTTTAAATCAGTCAAAAAAGTAAAACACATAAATTACCCATTACAATAGTGTAGAGGATCAGGAAGGGCTTTCTTACAATTATATAATATCCAATTTTATGTAGTGTAGACCTGACCATGGGGTGTATCTGTGCCTGCACGTATTAATTTCCGAAGTGTCTATTTTTTGTGCACTATCTAGATACAATCTGTGTAGTAAAGGTACGGCTGCCTTCAATGGTTTAGGTAGAGACTATCGCATGTCAATTTACTAGTTGCTCTCACTTTAAATGCTACAGTGCTTCAGGTTCGTCAAACAATATTACATGTCTGTTTACAAGTATTTCTCTCCACAGTTGCTACAATGTTTCCGGTTCTTACATAAAGTAGTATACATTGTCGCCTGTTGCGGTGGACAGTGAATAAAAAAGGGAACCAAATCAGGGGGTAGATGTAATTAATTAGCCCTCTAATTGGCTCACAAATTGGCCAAAAATACCCCTTCTCTCTAGAAAGGAGGAAAGCAATTAAATATGTGCCCAAATATATTGTATTTGTGAGGCAATTAATTGATCCCATACCAACTTCAGATCTATTCATAAAAACACCTCTCAAGTTAAGGAAACAAGTAGGAGCCCCCAATATCCAGAAACAGCAGAAGCTGAAAAGGGGTACGCTGGGGAGCAGTGCCCTATTAATTAGCATTAAATATGATGAGGAAATATCTACCTATACCATGCACTAAATCCAGAGCCAAAGAGAACTTTAAACAGAACCCACAACCTTCCAGCTATCCCAGTGGGTTAACTTTTTTTCAAGTACCCCATACCTCTGAGTTTTTGGCTTTAGAAATAGTCTATATGCTTGCCATTGCCGTCTGGTTCATGGTGACATAGCTTTCTCACCTACTGCACCAATAAGTGCTACAAGGCCCGATGCGAATGCCTCAAGTGGGCTGGGCCCATTACAAGGGTACTGCCTATAGCCCCATGATGGCTGCTCTGGGTGCCATTACTCATCTAGCTGTTCAGGTGGGATGATATTGACTTATAAACTGATAAAGCTGAATTGCTAATTTCACATTATGAACACAGCCAAGATGGGGTAGTTTTGGGGCACCAGAAGACCCCCAGTTTACAACAAACTGGCAGTGAGCTGTAGTGGTTATATTGCTTAGTCTATCCTTTTAAAGTTAACTTATAATGCAATCATAAATTATAAGATCAATAAATTAATTTAGTTATTGTGCCACCAAATCTGGCATTGATAGAAGGTGCATCTCTAAATAAATAAAAAAATACAAATTAATGGTTGTAACCTTCTGAGCTCCACAGAAGGAAAGAACCTTTTTAGACATGCAATAGTTAATTTAGATGATGCTGATAAGGACAGACCTCAAGCGAGCACTCATTAAATTCCAACCTTTGCAAGGGAGGATCTCGCAAAATCAATATTTGGACTGACCATACCTTTAATTAGGAAATCTAACAGGATAAATTCTGCAGGAGAACAATGACGCTAATGCGAGTCTGCAGTATGCATTTTACACAATTATTTCTAGTGGAAGGTGAGATATGATATTATCTAAATATGGGGTGAATATTCACTATAACAGGATTTGATGAGAATTAATAAGAGAGTTGCAATTCAAGGCCAAAGTAGTCGATTTGGCAAACTTATTGAATTGGAGAAACAATTTAATTCCTTTATTTTTGGCCAAAATGTCAGAATCTCTAGTCGATTTTCCACAATTCCCCCTTTATTGAATAAAGTAATTTGTGTATTTTATGACACTGATGCCTAGTACTGCAGAAGCTTGTAGATTTCATTTCCCATGATCCTTAGCAAGCCTTTAGCTTGTGAACATTCAAGAAAAATATAGAACAATTACAGTATCAACCTTAGTGGGCACCTTTTTTTAAAAGTATGACATTATGGAGTTAATGTGCATAGTGAGCGTTACTCTGTGATAACGATGGGTATATGTGTATTCTGCAGACCAAGCCCGTGGCATTTGCAGTGAAGACGAATGTAAGTTACTGCGGAGCATTAGATGAAGATGTTCCCGTACCCAGCACTGCCATCTCTTTCGACGCCAAGGACTTTTTACACATTAAAGAGGTAAATGTAGGATTCATTTCTCCTGGCACCAGTCAGCAGCTCAAAAGAAATACATCCGTCAGGCGACATCTTGTTAAAAACTAAAAGGAAAGCTAACCAGGTCTCAGGACTTTTAATTATTTGATTAACCTCTACCTCCTGCGTGCCAAAGTGATACCTGCTTTGCATAGAACTCTTGGCACCAAAGAAATGCCAAAGGGGTAAACGCTGCACAGTTTTTGTTAACCCTTAAGGTGTCAGCTATTTTATGTATTTATGTTTTTATTTTGTCAGTTCTCTGTACTCTTTTGCTCCCTGTGTCGCTTTGTTAGCAGGTGTGTGTAGGGTCTCTCTGTGACAGCACACATGAGAGTAACTTGAGAATGTGTATTCTCAGTATAAGCTTGCACTCTATATAGGCTAATTTATTGCTTTTTTTTTTTTTAAAGGAAAATAGGTGAAATTGCTTGGTAAATTGGACAAAATGCATTTGAGTCTGTGTTAAAAAGGATCTGTCACTTATCTGGAAATTGCAACATTTAATAAAACATTGGAAGTCACCTATAGTTTGGTGCATGGTATATCGAAGATGTAGGAGTTGACTGTACAATTTAGTTCAGTTCGGGTAAAGCTAGGGAACTTGATGCTTTGAGGAAGAGAAACAAAAACACTGGGAGATATGTATAAAAGTGTAATAGAAAGTGACGGTTTCATTCCATCATTATTTTGACCATATTTATCAAAGTGATCTAAAACGACAGTCTTTCATAGAAATTTCCATTTCCATTTCCATTTTAGAACTGCCACATTTACAGTAGCTGGAAAAATACCAACACTTTTCTGTCTGAAAAAGTAGCCAGAAAAAAAAGTCATAAATCCATTGCAATAGTGAAAAAAAGAAGACGAAACACAAGAGATTTAATGATTTACACCAAAAAGTCCCCCCCCCAAAAAATTACATAGAAAAGTATCAGTTACAGTCTCATAAATTCCTATCATTGATAAAAGAGACATCTTAGGAATTAATGGATCCCCTTTAAACGGAGCATGGTACACATCTCATTGCTGGCAATATGTGTACAGATAGCGATTCACACACTAGCAGATACTGCTTCAAGTGTAGCTACGCTTATTGCGCTCAGTTTTATCCATCCTAACAGTATATACATCGCAAGGAAATGTGTAGCTACTATCAAGTGTACTGTTACCTGGATAGGCAAAATTTTTGACTGGCTGATGTACATGCTGGGAGATGTAGTTCATTAGCTCTCCTCAACATGATCAACTTTATAACATTATCCTTGATGACAAATTTTTGCATACACTTGATACAATGTGTATATGTTCATTTTACCGTCTCCGTCCTCACTATAGTCAACCTATGCACCTCTCTCTGTTTACATGTGCTTCTCATCCTTATAGACCAGGAGTAGGCAACTTTTGGCACTCCAGGAGTTGTGGACTACTACTACACTGATGCTTTGCCAGCATTTTGTCTGTAAATGCATTGTAGGAGATATAGTTCAGGTTTGGGGTGCCAAAGATTGTATACCTCTGTTACAGGCAGAGGTGGGGGAGATGATTTTAAAGAAATGCTGCTCTGAAAGTGATGCCTACTGAAACAAACACCACTCTTCCAGAAATACAACAATGATTGGTGGATAGGGAGACTCGTCAAAGAAGGCTGTGAGATCGGGTTCATTCCAAGTCCTCTGAGGTTGGAGAATATTCGAATCCAGCAGGAGCAGAAGAGGGGTCGTTTTCATGGAGGGTAAGAAAAACATTTATTTTAATATTTCATGTTTCAAAGAGTTCCATGGGAATAGATGTTGAAATATACAAATTATGTAGCATGATAGAAGATATTGGTCATGGGTTTAATTTAACTGCATTTTTTATTATATTGTGTCATCTTCAATATGTGAAATATATATATGTGATATTATTTTTATATATAGCATACTAATATAGCATTTAATATATTAGTGCATCATTGGAGTCATCGTCTAGTGAGAGTTGATTGTGTCCCACCCTCGACATAAAAGAAAGAATAAAAGAAAGAAAGTAAAAAAAAGAAAGCTAATGTTCTAATGTTTAATAACTGTGCAACATATTTATAATTTACTGTGCTAATAATATCCATTCTTTTGACAGTAAATCAAGTGGAAATTCTTCTTCAAGTCTTGGGGAAATGGTATCTGGGACATTTCGTGCAACGCCCCCTTCTGCCGGTGAGCCCTATTTGAACATGCAGATATGTATTCCTATTTTAGTTGAAGTTAAAGATTATTAAGACATTTTTGAAACCAAGGAAAGTGAAGTACTCAGAGGCTGTCTCGCAACTTCAACCCAAGTCGAATTCATGTGTTTCAACTAACAAAGGCCAGGAAAGCTTACAAAACTCACAATGAGATATTCACTAAAGTGTGAATTGTTGAACTTGTTGACACACACAAAAGGACTGGAAGTTCTGTTCTAATATTATAATTACAAGTGCTCAGAGTATCTATCAAAATAATCCATTTATATTTAAATAAATATATCCAAGCTTGCAGGAACGTTGAAGAGCATACTTCAGATCTTGCTTTCCTCACTAGGCCAACACTTTACTGTTCTATTAATAACCTTCCTATCGTAATCCTGTTGATTACAATGGAATGAAGCAAGGGAAGAGTTATAATGGGTACATGATAACCGTGCCTTTACCTTTTCTGAACCTCTGTCCTATCAGTGTCTGTGTCTCTGGCAGACACGCACACAAAGAGTACATTTAACAGCAGTGTTTGCGGGCACCTCTGACACAGAATATGTTAATGCATGTAGCCCATGTTTTATAAACGATTGGATTTTTCTTTAGAGGTGAAATTAACATTACTCTCTTTGGTTTGCAGCCAAACAGAAGCAGAAAGTGGTGAGTCATTTTCTCATTTTTATTCTCCAAACCTCCTGCAAATTCCACTGATATTAATTCATTTAATATCATTTCACTTGCAGACAGAACACATTCCTCCTTATGATGTTGTACCCTCCATGAGGCCAGTCGTTTTAGTTGGTCCATCTCTAAAGGGTTATGAGGTATGTATCTCCATTTAAAGGTTCTGGCTCAGATTTATCCAGGCCTTCCAACTGTCCTGCTTTTGACAGGACAGTTCCGATTTTCAGGTACAGTCTCGCTGTCCCAACACCAGGGAACTGTCCCCAACAAGCATAGAGCAAGTGCATCATTAGATGTGTTTTGCTTGGACTATTAGGAGCCATCAGAGACCACTGAAACAGTGCTTCCTGCAGTGTCTGCCCTCAGTGGGTTGATCTGTCTATGGTTTGGAGGGACCCATCCCCATTCTGATTCAAAGGACACCAGAGTTGGGAGGTATGTTACCTTCTGATAATCCATAATTCAGTAAGGCTACAAGAACCTCAGAAAACCTTGGAAAATTTGTTCAGCTAAAGATATTGTGATGAAGACACATCCATCTAAGCAAAAATACAACTCAAGGACCCATTAGATGGCATGAAAACATACATAGTTAATTGCAATGTTTCTCAGGCCTTTCAGAAAACCCATAAATGTATATACCGGTATTTACTGGAAAATTCTGTCCTTTTTCTTTTAGAGGAAAAATTCTGAAATTAATTGCATCGTGCAAAATGTTGAATATTCTTAACAAATGAAGGTCCACTCTCAAAAAAGCAGATGTAAAAATCTAATTGATTTATTTAACTGCGCCGATTCTCCAAATATTTTTTGAAAAGATACTGAAAAGTGTTTGGAACATTCTGACAAACCTAACCAATCACATTGCTCTATTTTTTCCCATTCAGTCAGACATAAATTAATGGACCAATATAACTGTATAGAGCATTCTGACACAGTTGAATGTATCTTTATGTTCTTTACAACATCACATTTTTGTTTTAACGAGATGGTATGTAGGTTTTTCAGATTGTAATTCCGCTAGCTAGGTTTTCTAAAATATCTAGAGAAAATCTCACTCGGAAGCTACAAAACTGTACTGCATGACCAGACTGCTAATCTTATACATATAACATTTAAAACGATATTGGCCCAAATCTCTTCCACAAACTGATTGACTGAGTTATCGCACATCTCCCACTGATTTATGTAAAAATGACGATATCAGCGTTACTTTTGTTGAGCTTGGGAATCAAAGGTGTCTTTATCAGAATTTTAATGTTTTGCATGTTTCACAGTTAAAAAATAACCTATAGGAGAGAAAACATGTAAGTATATATTTGCTGGTGTTAATTGATTCGTTAACAAAGCAGATAGCAAAGACTAGAAAATGTCACTGATTATCAGCAGGTAGAGAGTCTTTCCTTCTTACAGAATCATTGAGCAGGTTTCCTTTGACCTTTTCCCATTGGTCTCCGAAAACATTTGGCCAACAAACACTGTCTTTCTTTTTTCCTCTTTTCTGTTTTTCTCACATTATCCCTTTTTTCTCTTTCTTTCTGTCCACCTTGACCTTCTTATCTCCTGTTCTGGGAAGGTGACGGACATGATGCAGAAAGCCCTTTTTGACTTCTTGAAGCACAGGTTTGATGGGAGGTGAGGAATGATTGCATTACTCTTTGGCCCTTAGGCGTCCGTGAACTAAAAAGTAGAGGCCCAGAAAAAAAAATAATAATGAAAGATTCTGTCTTATGACGCTGTCCTATACTGACCTACATTCCGGTACAGAGTTGCTTCAATCCAATGGTCAGTTCTTTCTGATAAAACAGGTTTGAGCACTAATGCTGGATTTTATCAATTGCAACTTAATACAGATATTTTATTGCTCAACAGTCAGGATGTGCTTCTGCCTGTTGAATAGAGACTGTAAATAACAGCCACCAAATCTCCTTCCCCAGTGAAGACATAGATAGATAAACAGACAGACAAACAGTCAGAGAGGGACACAAGATATATATATATAAATGGTGAATTAGTACTCATTTGCTGCAAGAAAAATCACGTTATTTGCCATGGATTCACAAATTTAACACCTGAAATAATTTGGAAACACTTTTCTATCAATTAACTTATATCTATAATATTTCTAAGTTTCTGTGTATGCTACAAACACCCCTTTCTCGACGACGTGTTCAAGGAATATAAACTACTGATATCTTGTTAACTGATTGTACCAATTAATCACTGAAACTACAATATAACATAGCAAACTGAATGACATAACAAACATATAGGTGTCAATACCAGAAATGTCTAGTTTAACTATCTTACAAAAAACTGTCATACTCACATTGCAGCGTCCATAATTAAATACACTCCTGTTAGCCTCATCAATGCACCTGGCTTTTTGTAAGCTCCAACCTGTGATGTAATTGAATTGCCTGCAAAAGTCATATTTTCTTTTTTCATTACCATTACGATATCAACCTATCGAGTTCAACATTGTGAGATTAACAAGTAAATCACGATTTAGGCCTGGTTAACTCGATAATGTTTTCTGAATTCAGTTGCGTTACTGGAATTAAAATGTTCAGTGAATTTCAGATTGTGGTCTGTTCGAAATGTGATGTGTGATATTGTTTGTCGTTCAGAAAAAATGGTCAATCGACAACTGTCACTGGATTATAAAATACCCATTGATATTTGTGAACATTTTTTAGTGTTTACTCTTTTTGGTGTTTGCTATATTACTTTTTGATTGTGTCTGATTGATGCAGTATGTTCATCTCTAGAAAGTACAAGTTTACCTTAGTGTGTTAAGAAATATTGTTTTTTATTTGCTAAATGAATGCCAATGTCACAGCTCTGAAGGTAATTAGAGATTACAACAATTAAAACATTTTTAAATATGAAATCTCTCTCTGTCACTCTTTATCTCAAATCAGCTGACAGGTAAAACAGATGTAGCAACAATGATCCATTCAAACACTTCATATATAGTGATGTCGCGAACCGTTTGCGAACTTCCCACGAACGGCTCGCCGCAGTTTGCGGCGAGCTCTGGTCAGCTGACACATCCCGGCCAATCTCCAGCAGACCCTCCCTCCCAGACCCTCCCACCTCCTGGATGCTGTCCAGGAGGTGGAAGGGTCTGGGAGGGTGGGTCTGCTGGAGATTGGCCAGGATGTGTCAGCTGACCGGAGCTCGCCGCGAACGGTTTGTGGCGAACCGCGGCGAGCTGTTCGCGGGAAGTTCGCGAACGGTTCGCGACATCTCTATTCATATATAGTGTTATTTTGTAACAATAAGGGTTTCTATAGTTGGCGATATATAGATTTGGTTGCCCTCAAGAGTTCCACTGGAGACCATACATTTTATCTGTAAAAGTGGTCATTCACGACATTGTATTCTAACCTGTAAAATGATAATTTATTTTCAGAATATCCATTACTCGAGTGACGGCTGACATTTCTCTAGCCAAGAGGTCGGTGCTGAATAATCCCAGCAAGAGGGCGATAATTGAACGATCAAACACCAGATCTAGTTTGGGTAAGAACTTTATGCAGAACGTGCAAAGTTCACTATATGTGCTATAAAAAAATCTAGTTATCATGTATCAAAGTAAGGCAACTGCGTGTGTAAATCAACTACAGTAACAAATGTATTGTGGCATTATATAGATAATACATTAAAGAATTACTCCTAACAAAAAACAGTATTTTTATAAATACACAACCCATGTTTTTACAGGTTATCACTTCGTCCCACTGCTGCCAATACTAGAGTGGCCCGGTCACTCTGTTAAAGGTCTGCAGGGCCCGACTGGGTCCCTGTTCAGGAATACACATTGGGTGGCCCATAGTGCAAGAGACCCCTAGTGGGCCACCTGAAATTGCAGTAGTTCCGCTGCTGATGCCAACCAATGTAACCCAGCCTAGTTCACAGCTTAGTGAATAGGGGTTGTGTGCAGCAATTGGGATAGACGTCTACAATGCTTGGTCAGTCCCCAAAAAAGGAGCTAAACAATTAAGCAATAGAAATGTTCTTGGTTATGATATGTGATGTGATTGACAGCTGACATCACATGCTATAATTAGTCTTTGCTTAATCATGTGGATTAGAGTGTAAAAATTGTGACGCATTAACAAGATGGCCACCTTCACACTGAAATACTGTCAGATCTTCAAGTGGTAATTAGAGTTAAATTACTGTAGTTTAGATGACAAGTATATTGTTGTTTTGGGATTGGTGTTTTAAATTAATTTATGCAAAGAATATTTCAGATGACAGAAATGTTTTAGATGTCAGTGCATGAGAAATTGATGTAAAATTTCAGGCCGAGCATGTTTAACTTTTTATACTGTATTGATTTTTGTTTATAACTGGTTGCAAGACCAGCGAATGGTTACATCTGTCCCTTTACATACACAACTCTTAGAAACAAACGTGAATAGAAATTGTTAGAATACCAAAGGTAAAAAAAATAAAATAAATAAATAAATAAATAATGTAGTCATATTTTTCATTTTTATTAAGAAGCATGTTTACTAGTATTCGACTTACTTTTATTGATTACCAACCATGTGATTATTACAAAAAATATATAATCCTACCTCAAAATAACGTAAGGAACTAGACATGTTTGTTTAAATTTATAGATTTAAGAAACCAATGAGAATAATTTATGAATGGTACATTGAAACAGTTCTATCAGACAAAAGCATTGCAAATGGAGAATTACACATTTTAGTTATGTTAAACTCATTTTCCTGGCTCTATAGGGTCTTTCAGCCAAATTTACTAATACTAAGTAAAAATTACTTAGTATTAGTAAATTTTGCCCTACTCGCTATACCGCTCAGGGGTGGGGGCCAGGGGGAAGACATTAGGTCTCCCCCTATTCTAATTTAGGGACCCCACCCACCGTTCAGGGGTGGGGACCAGGGGGAAGGACATTAGGTCCCCCCTTATTAGTATTTTGGGCCCCCACCTGCCGCTCAGGGGTGGGGGCCGGGGGGGGAGGACAATAGTTCCCCCCCATTATTTTATCTTAGGGCCCCCACCCACCGCTCAGGGGTGGGGGCTGATGGGGGGCAATAGGTCCCCCCCCTTTTTTTTCTAACAGTGAGCAGCCACAGGCATAACGGCATAGCGAGTGGGGGCATAATTTACTAATATTAAGTAATCTTTATTTAGTATTAGTAAATTTGGTTGAAAGACCAATTTAGGTCTTTCAGCCTTTTAGTAAATAGCTCCCTAATACTGTGGGAATTAGGTAGTTATTTACTTATTCATTCCTGTCATTACATTGACTGGCTAAATAACTTACATTTTATATGAATGTATGTTACTTGATTGTTGTAAGTGTTGCAAATGCTTACAGCTGAATCCTGGCTATGTTTGTATACATTTTATTTAAAATTGTATACATTGTAACATTCTTCAATCTTTCACTGGGTAAGTATATTAGTTCTAAGGCAATACTGTGCTTCGGAACTTCGACACTTCGGAACTTCAGCAACTTCGGAACTTTGGCACTTCAGCACTTCGGAAGTTCGGCACTTCGACACTTCGGAAATTCGGTAATTTCGGAAATTCGGTAATTCATCTATTCAGACATTTGGAAGTACCCGAAAGTCCGAATTGCCCGAAATTCGCCGAATTCACATTCGGACCGAAACGAATTGCACATGTCTAGTATTAGCAGTATTAGCATATTCAGCAATATCTCAAAGCTTTGTCAAACAGATGGATCCACATAACTTTCTAATTTCATAGATCAGTATGAATTCAAAGTGCTTGTTTTTCCCCAATTCATAGAAGGTGCCCTAAAATATTTGTATGCATTCAGGAAGTGCCAAAATAATATCTGATAACAGATATTGATATATTGATCTGTAAACTAAATAATATTAAGTGTTGGAAAGTGGCTATTAATTTACACCCACAAATGTATGCCAGATATAATGTATCATATGTCATATTAACTATTCATCTATATAAATTTTCCATCTGGGTACAAGTCAACACATTATGTCAAACTGTGACATTTGATAATGTTGTTGAAATGGAAAGAATTGGCTGGGCATTAAAAATCACTCTCCCTGTTTGAATAACGTAGTCGGTTTGTGTATCAACTTCGACTAACTCAGTAATCTCCAAATATATTCTGATCTTATACCATATTCTTCCATGCTGACACAAGTATTCAATAAAAGTGTGAATCGACAGAAATTCAAAGTGAATTTCACATTTTAAACTCAAATAGCAAAACTGGGAAAAAGTAATTTATTTTTATTATTAATTGCTTAACAAAGACTGTTTCAAAGGCTGAAACGTTGTCACTATGGGATGGAAGTGTTTCCATGTTACTCACCTGTTCGTGTGTCTTGTCCTTTCTTTTGTCTTCTGCGATTTCCTTTCTTTTGTCTTACACATATTTAAATTATATGTGTCAGTTTTGCTTTGAAACTTTGAAAATTTGAGATTCAATCTGAATTTGCGTGGAGTTTCCAGCAGTCACATAAATTACCCAGATAATCTTCTAGGAGCTAATCTCTGGAGCTGTACTGATGAAAGAATTGGCACACCAAAGCTGGCGTTGAACTTTAATGCTAGTTTTGCACTTTCTTAAGTAGCTGCCAAGGTACGCTGCATTAATTTATAAGTTATAATGCGAAAATATCGCAACTAAAAATAAACATGATATAACGCTGACTTTAACACGTATGGCATCGCATACAGAATAATGACCCATGCTAAATGTGTAGAGTTTTAATGTTAAAAAAAAAATAAAACTACGAAAATGTGAACTAATGCAGTTGCTATATTTACTTGCGAATGCAGTTGCTATTTTTAAAATCTCACATAGTAATCTGTGTGTAGTGAAACTCTGTGTAGATTTTTCTGTTGGGAAATGTGATAATTGATTGAGAATTATAGATAGCTTAGTTAATTCGGAAAGATGATAATGAGATGCCATGTGAAGATGGTTCTTGCAGATTATATATATTCTACATTTAGGACTTTAACCCCTTAAGGACCAAACTTCTGGAATAAAAGGGAATCATGACATGTCACACATGTCATGTGTCCTTAAGGGGTTAAGCAGATTGCATTGAATCAAAACCCACATTGTAAAATATAGGAAATATATTCAGCTCTGGAAAGATTGGCGAGTGCAGATATAGTCACAGCTTAGCTATGCGACCAAAGGTTTTGCAATCTGTTAGTCATTTCAATTCACAGTTTACTGAATAAACTAGATAATAAATTAGATAATCTCTGCATGTTAATGTATTGGCGGTTACACAAACATGAAAGGAACATATATACAGTTTGGAAGTTTTTAATTCATGCCAGAATTCATAATGAGTACTGTAGCCAATCCTCTGACGTCTGTCACATTGTTTTCAGAGAAGGGCTACAAAACTGGTTCATGGATTTCAGGATAAAACTTACAAGGGAAGGTTAAAGGAATTTAACATGTATTGCTTGGAGGAAAGACGAGACAGGGGGGATATGATAGAAACATTTAAATAAAGGGAATCAGCACAGTAAAGGAGGAGAAAAAGAAGAAAAACTACCACAACAAGAGGACATAGTCTTAAATTAGAAGGGCAAAGGTTTAAAAATAATATCAGGAAGTATTACTTTACTGAGAGGGTAGTGGATGCATGGAATAGCCTTCCAGCTGAAGTGGTAGAGGTTAACACAGTAAAGGAGTTTAAGCATGTGTGGGATAGCCATAACACTATCCTTGTTATATGATAAGGCCAGAGAAGTATTTAGAAAATTGGGCAGACTAGATGGGCCAAATGGTTCTTATCTGCCGTCACATTCTATGTTTCTATGTTTTATAAAACAATTTTGCTTTAAAGAATAACTTTCACTGCCCAGGATTTTAATATTATATTTACTCATCTCTAAATTGAATTAATATCGAACACCTCGTTATCCTGCAACTGACACCTCCATCTTAGCTTGCTGCCAATCATCCTTTAGATTGTAAAATAGTTTTGTCAGGGGACACTTAACCTATTATTTTGTTGAAATGTATGAAATATGAATCTTGGTTGCCTAATGTACAGTGCGGCAGAATATGTCAGCGCTATACAAATAATTATAATTGTTATAAACTCTGTCCTTAGCATAAGGTGCAGACAAAATGCACCTAGAGTACGTTTGTTAAGATGTACACTTGGAATATCGACTAGCGTGTTTATTTTACACAGAGTAGTGGGAGAGATGGTCTTGCTTATAAGCACTGGGCAGTTATAGGGGTATATTGACTGTGAGTTGTGGAGTCTGACCACAGACATGCTACAATGAGTCTAAAATATGTTGACAAAGGTCCATTGTTGGGAACGGCAGATTATTCTTACAGAATTCCTTTTAACCAAAAGGAACCAGTGGAACGCAAAATGGTGGAACGCAAAATGGTACAAACAGATTTAATACTATTACATTTCCAGAGGATATATTAATTCATAATTTATTTATTCTCATGCTGTAGATTTAATGATTTAATTTAAATTCCGCTACATTAAAATATGTGTGGTTCAACATTTATTTCCCCATATGTGATGATTTTTTAAAATTAGTTGTATTTTTTTAAATCAATCACTTAACACTGAACGCATCGTGTATACAACCTTATTTAAACAATTTCTTTCTTGTGCCAGAAAATCTTACTAGTATGGTAACAATTAGATGTTGTAATTTTAAATGCTTTCCTGTTTCTACTTTGTTTAATCTATGTATTTAGTGTTATACCATTCTCCTTGCATGTAAATAAAGATGACAAAATCCTTTCTAGTATACATCGGTCACCAAAGATATACATACACACTATGGTATATGCAGTTCACAAAAATCCACCTATCACATGGGGGGTTAATAGCAAGATCTCCATCTGTTGGTTTAATCTACAAATGCCATGATGTTCAACCATGTAAAAGTTTAACTATGTACAGATTTCCTCAACCTCACTTCTAGCAAGTAAGAGTCCTGACTGATTTTACTTTATAGAGCGAATTGTGAGTGATTGTTTTACTGATTTATCATAGATTATGGGAGGCTGGTACACATCTTCCACATCTACTAAGAAGCTCAGATCACTCATCTTCCCTATTGTAATGTTTACTTAAATGAACACTAAATCATTAGGAATTTAAACATGTATTCATAACATTATAGCGTCCTAGTACCTAGTTAGATTATAGGGATCCCTAAATTAAGACAGTAAGCAGATTTACTTACCTTTACTCAATCACCGCGCCACTCTCAGTTCTGCCACTCTGCCTTCTTGGCTGAGATCATTAATGTTGATGATCTCAGCCAATCCAATGCCTCCCCATAGGGGAATAGTGCACATGTGTGGCAAATTGTCACACTGTCCATCAGCATCTCTTTATAGTGACGCATTCAATCAATGTGTCTCTATGGGAGACGCTAAATGTAGTTCCAGGTAAGATTGTACAAGCTCATCCAGAAACTCTCTCTAGTGGTTGTCCGAGTGACAGCTAGAGGTAGATTTAAGCAGCAATGTCAACACTGCCTTTTTTTTGTATGTTTTTTGTATGTTTCCCAGGTGATAGGGTTCTATATAATTTATAACAATTATTTTCCGTATTTATTTTTAGCTGAAGTTCAAAGTGAAATTGAAAGAATCTTCGAATTAGCCCGGTCGTTACAATTGGTTATTTTAGATGCAGATACAATTAACCATCCAGCACAACTCATCAAGACATCATTAGCGCCTATAATCGTACATGTTAAAGTGTCCTCTCCAAAGGTAACTCTTTTTTATTTTTTCTTTCTATGTCTTTATAGAAGGTTTTTTTTCATTGATAATTGTATCTCTGAACCGTACACGAATCTCCATTCTCAAAGGTTCCATAGTATATTGCAGCGAGAGATATAACTAGCACTTACCATACAAATGGGCCTCAATTTAATATTGTTCGATAAGCTTTCCAAATAATTTAATATCTTTGGATAAACTTTTCAAATTACCTTTTCAACATATAAAAATATGAAAAGATATATCACATAAATGTAATATATAAAATATATCATAATATTAAATAATTTAGATATTCTTCATTCTATTAAATCATTTTTACAGAAATATTAAATAATTCGGAAAGCTTATTCGACAATATTAAATTGTGCCCTATATTTGAGACAGTTGTTTAACCCCATAAGGACATGTCATGGTTCCCTTTTATTCCAGAAGTTTGGTCCTTACGGGGTTAAAGAACAAATTAAATATCCCTTCCAAGTGACCCTGGGAGGTTTATTCCCTATTTTGTTATATTTTGTGCTTTTTAAACATACATCACATTTTTCCCTCCCCAGAACCTGTTGTTTTCTAAAATATGAAGCAGAAAGCAGGATCTAAAAGCTGTTTTATTCTTTAAATGTTTATATTCAAAATGGAGATAATGAAATATGAGACAGCAATGATTTATTCAATTAAAATTAATTTGTAGTGAATTAAAATGTAATAGCTGAATTTAGCTAGAAAAATTTGCAACTAGCTATTGGAAACTAGCTATTTCCACAAATGCTAATTTTGCCAAAATGTTGCAATTCAGTTTACCAGATCATTATTATTTAGCGTTGGGTGAAACTCTACAAACTTTAACCGTGAGAACAATTACCTCTCAGACAGACATTACGTTAAAAGTCTGCCTTGATTGGCTGAAAGGGTGCATATTCAGATATCATATGTCTCAAACTGATCACCTGTAAGGGTAAATAAGAACAAATATCCTATATTTGTATAAATTGTTAAAATTATTCAGATTGCGTAAAGTAGAAACTGAAATAAATTGTCGAACATGTTCTCATGCAACCATCCAGTTCTTCTTTTAACTTTAAAACAATTACTTATGAAAGCTTGTTCTTGAAAGACAAACATATTTGAAGATTTGTGGCTCTGTGGCCTCTCTCCAGCTTCTCTGGGACTGCAGCATCTACCATTCTCAGCCAGCCATAGGTCCAGTGGCATACACGCAATCCATGGGGCCCCGGTGCGAAAACTGATCCGTGCCCCCCCCTCACGCGCTCACTCTGCGCGGGCTGGGGCCGCAACACATGGCGGCGGGCACCTGGTCGCAGGGGTCGCAGGGCTGCGACCCCTGCAACCGCTGTATGTACGCCAGTGCATGCAGATACACATACACTTAAAGGACCACTACAGACACCCAGATCACATCAGCTCAATGAAGTGGTCTGGGTGCCAGGTCCCTCTAGTTTAACCCTGCAGCTGAAAACATAGGGTTAATCCAGCCTCTAGTGGCTGTCTCATTGACAGCCGCTAGAGGAGCTTCTGCGATTCTCACTGTGAAAATCACAGTGAGAAGACGCTGAACGTCGATAGGAAATCATTGAGTAATTCTTTCCTATGGGCGGTTTGTATGCTACACACACACACACTCACACACACTCTCTAACACTAACACATACACACTCTAACACTAACACACACACTCTAACACACACACCTCCCTACCTTTGGGGGTGCTGAGGGGATTCCCTGGGGTCCAGTGTTGCTCCTGGGTGGCCGGTCCTGTGGGCTGGCTGTCTGGCTGGCTGGCTGGCGGGCGCGCAAGGGAGCACTGTCCCCTGAGTGCTCCCTGTTCAGCTCCATCACACGCGGTGTACTGATGCCGGAGCCGGAAGATGACGTCATCTTCCGGCTCCGGTATCAGTGTGGTGCGTGAGGGAGCCGAAGAGGGAGCACTCAGGGGACAGTGCTCCCTCGCGCGTCTGCCAGCCTGCCCGCCGGGTGACACCAGGGCCAGCCTCGTGGGGCCCTGAGGTGGCCGGCTCCTGGGCCCCCAGGAGAAGAGGCTGGCCACAGTGGGTACATACCGTGTCGCAGGGTGGCCGGGCCCCCTGGTGGGCCGGGCCTGGTTGCAGCCGCGACCCCTGCGACCCCGGTATGTACGCCACTGCATAGGTCATTTGAAGCTAAGTGGAGTTGTTGACCTAAAGCAGTGAGAACATATGAAAATGATAAAATGATGAATGGTGCCGTTATGGCTAAGGGCAACCTTTGGCACTCCAGGTGTTGTGGACTACATTTTCCCTGATGCTTTGCCAGCATTATGGCTATCAAAGCATTATGGGTGATGTGGTTCACAATATCTGGAGTGCTGAAGCTAGTCAACGCCTGGCTTAGCGCTTTCAAAGAAATTGTAATTGTTGCGATTCATGGTTGTGATAACTGCTGCAACTATTTTGAGTCTATGGGTTTTATTTTTCTAAAGTTGTGGTGAGTTGCCAACTGTATTATACATTTTATACCACAACACCAACAAAAAAATAAAAAAATATATTAATGCTAATACAGTGACCGATGTTTGTATTCTCTGAAGAAAGCTTAATAAAAATTGATTTACAAAAAAAAATATTTAATTTTGTCTCAACGTGCCCTTATTTTTGCAACTCAGTTACCAACTCCCACAGCGAATAAATGCTTATAGCTACAGGCATCCATCTCTGAGGTGAAAATAAATATTTTTAACAAAAAACATGATTCTGTTTTTGTAGGTGTTGCAACGGCTCATTAAGTCCAGAGGAAAATCCCAAAGTAAACATCTAAATGTACAGTTAGTGGCTGCCGATAAACTTGCACAGTGTCCTCCAGTAAGTAAACATAATATTTCCCCTCATTTAACTTGTTCCAATGCTTATTTGCCTCATGTTTTCTCGTGTTTTCTTGACTCCTCTCGAAATAATATCGAAAACACCTTATTATTATACTTTTTTAGCATCTTGGCTCTCGGACAGTCACTATTATAAACTCTGTGCTTTGCATCTGACATGTGAATGCACACAGAATAATAATGTAACAATGTTTATTTTTCTTTCTCTGGAGTAAACCGGAATGTCATTGGCTAAATCATTAATATAAATATAACGTGATATCACATGAACAAAAAGGTATAGCTCATTGGCTCACTCCGCTGACACTCTCAGCCAATGAGCCATGCTTAGCTCCAGCTCCATAGGAGGTCCAATGCTTTGACTAATCACCCTCTTAAGTGAGCCTTACACTAACAATTCACCTTTCTTGTTTAAGCTTAAAACACAAAATCTCTAATGAGACAGAGAAACCCCTATAGATTTATTAACCCTTAATAGGGAACACATGGGGTGGGTGTCAGCACTGTAACATGTCTGTGCGATACAAAAGCAAATACAAACATACAAAATTAAGCCCTGCGCTTAAACTCCCACTACTCCTGGGCGGCAGAAATGACTATAGTACTCATCAGCCCCAACACATAGAATAAAAAAACGAAAAAGTTATCTACGCGCTATTTCAAATCCCTATGTTTTTATATTCCCATAAGACTAATCATATAAGGCCTTCCAGCATTTAATAGAGCAGTAGTACTGTACTATGGGCTCACATTAGCTGTATTCCAATCACGCTTCACATTTTTTAGTAAGTCGGTTTATTCATATTGATAATGTGAAGTGCAGCCAGAACACTCCATAAATGGACCAACATCATGTAAAAGCATTGCACATTAAATAAAGAATGCCCATTGTAAACATTCACTGGAAACCTGGAAGGCATTGGATTGTGGTGGTCTGATTTGTAAAAATTCTGCAGCAGAGTTAGAATGGCCTGATTGATATAATTAATTATCATGACAGGGATTATTCTACACATTATTAAATACAACTTCCAGTGCCTCACTTGTACTAAATATAAATGTTAATTCATTATTGTAGAAAAATGGTGGCTCTCACGAATCATGGCAGTTGCTGTTCTAGAGCAGGTAAATGGGTCTAACTTTTGTCCACCCCTAGTGTAGAAAACCGGCCATGTGTAATTATTCTCTTATAAGCTCTGTATTATCTCTTTTTATTGCTAAACATGTCGAATATCTATCGAATACCATCCTTTGACCAAGAGTACTACTCTTATCTATAATGTAATACACTCTAACATAGAGTATTACAGTGAGCTGTAGAAGAATACCATCAGTGAGGTCTGGTGATGTTTTAAGATAGACTCCACCCCAACGCAGTATTACATCACTTCCTAAAAACTAACAAAAACGAATAAGGGATACTGGACTTAGAGGTGCAATACATAATTTTGCCTCTAGATGTCACCAAAGGATAACATTAAACTTTTCTAATAATTATGATTATTGTTATATTTTACTATCACTGTATATAGGTCCAACTTATTCAACATAAACGTAGCAATTCTACAGTTAGGATACAAACACATAAACAACAAAATAATACTCTGTTATGATAAAGCAAAATGCTAATCATGTCTGTAGCACTCTCTGCTAACATATGGATTAGTATTCTGCTCGTGAAATATTACAGTATAACTCTGTCTACTTACCTTTTATCTGCTTGTACACAGAAAGATGACAAGCGTTTCATACACGTGTACCTTGTTCAGTTTGTGAATGAAAAGTATGTTACTTATTCATTTTTGTTAAACCAGGAAATGTTTGATGTAATCTTGGATGAGAACCAGTTAGAAGACGCATGTGAGCACCTGGCAGAGTATCTAGAAGCTTACTGGAGGGCTACGCATACCACAAGTAGTACGCCAATGACCCCTCTCCTGGGCAGAAATCTGGGATCAACTGCACTTACATCATACCCAACAGCTATCTCTGGATTACAGGTATTGCCAGGTCTCAGAGTGCATTGACTAATATGTTTATTAATCATTTTGTGAATGTATTCCTTAAAAAAACAATGTCCTGTTATTGTTAAGGGATAAGTTATCTGCCATTGTACACCATATAGTCTTGGTTTATAAGAAATTGTTGGACACTTGGCATCGACAAACTTCAAATGTATCTTTGCAATTCTTTATGCGAAAGTAGGTTTCTTTATTTTTTATATTTAATGTGTGTTTGTATGTAGTATGGTTTCAGGTTTGTATTTTTTACCTTTTTTTTAAATATAGTCAAGGTACTCGAGTTCTGTTTCTACTCCTCGTATACTGTTGAAGGCCACCTTCCCTTATTGCTGTACAGTAATTTGCTTTGAATAAAGAATTGTAATTATAAACATATTTTCCGGTTGAGGATTGGAATGATTGGTTTAAATTTGTACAAAAAAAATAAATAGAATAAAACACAATAAAATTAACAGCAGCTATTTACCCCCTTTCAACGGCTTTTATTGGTGGCCGAGAATAGCACCAAGGCTTTACATATGTGACACATATTGAATGTGCTCTCCATATATTTGTCTCTGTGTATATATACACATATATACAGTGGTATCCTGGTTTTGTGCGCCCCCCCACCCCCGCACCACCCCACCCTTCCCCACTGCCCCGCCTTCTAAATACAAACACACTCACTAAGAGACACATACAGTTACTAGCAGACACACACATTCACTAACAGACACGCATACACTCTCACTAACAGACACACACATAGTAACACACTCCCTAACAGACACACTCACTTACAGACACACTAACAGACCCACACACACACTAACAGACACTCACTAACACACACACACTCACTAACACACACACACTCACTAACAGACACACACACACACTAACACACACTCACTCACTAACACACAGACACACACTCACTCACTAACACACACACACACACTCACTAACAGACACACACACACACTAACAGACACTCACTAACACACACACATTCACCAACACACACTCACTCACCAACACACACTCACTCACTAACACACACTCACTCACTCACTCACTCACTCTCACTCACTAACAGACACACACACTCACTAAGACACACACACACTCACTAACACACACTCACACACTTGTGGTTCTTTTTTTTAAATTCAACCCCTCCCCAGCCTCCTTACCTTTGGGAATGCTGGGGGGGGGATTCTTCCTCTCCCTGGGGTCTAGTGGGGCTGCTGGGTGGTCGGGCGGGTGGCGCTGGCCGCAGAGTGATGCCGGGAGCCGGAATATGACGTCAAATGCCCTGGACTTTGCCCTGGGCATTTGGGGGCGGCTTTTTTTGCTGCCCCCTGGAAAATGCCGCCCAAGACAAATGCCTTGTTTGCCTCGCAGCTAAAATGTCCCTGCATATATATATATGCATATACTAAACAGTTAAATCGTTTTTATTATGTTTGATACTCATTTTATATAGAAACATCAAGCATTTTCTTTAACTGTTTAGTCTTTTTGTGCCCCTCCATTGTATCTGTTTTTATGAAATAAGGAAAGTTTAAATTTTTATTGGAATTTGGTAAATCCTAGAAGATATGGCAAGTTCAGCTTTTCAATGACCATTTTAGTGGTAAGGTGTCTTGGCTAAGTCTATTGTTTGACATGTTCTCAATCCTATATTCTTGTTGCAGAGTCAACGCATGAGGCATAGCAACCATTCTACAGAAAACTCCCCCATAGAAAGAAGAAGTCTAATGACCTCAGATGAAAATTATCATAACGAAAGAGCTCGGAAGAGCAGGAATCGCTTGTCTTCCAGTTCCCAGCATAGTCGTGACCATTATCCCCTTGTGGAAGAAGAGTATTCTGACTCGTATGTGGACACTTACAAGCCTCACAGAAACCGTGGATCTCCTGGAGGTTATAGCCATGACTCCAGACACAGGCTTTGAGTTTGGGAACTTGATATAGAGTAACGATCATCCACCTACTTGCTCCAGACTCCACCAGCAATGCTTAATTATCTTATGCATTGTTGGTTAATCAATGCATCCACAAGGGGTTTATGTGATTTCTCATAACATACAGAAGATAGAACTACAGACCATTTTATTTTGCCAGATAAAGGCATCTTGTGATGCTCTATCACGGGTAAAATAGTTGACACCCACATATATATATATATGCATATACATGTGTAGGTAGACATTTATTGTGCCCTATTCACAAATCTTTTACTGACATTAACATTAGAGTAGTATCTTTTTTTGTGTAGAGTATTAAACATATCCATCTGTAATCTAGAACAGGCATTTCAAACTCTAGTCCTTGAATTCCCCCAATGTGGCAACTTTTGAAGACATCCTTGCATGTAGACTACATGTAGGTTGAGTCTTTGGAACACGTGAATCTCACAAAATGGCTTCCCTCATGCTTGATTCACATGTATCCTCACAGGATGATATTACAAAAATAAATTTTGGGGATTTAAGGATGAGTTAATGTTTCCTGTTCTAGGGTACTTGTCAAGGCATGTACAGGTCGGGGTGACCTCACTGTTTGTATAATTAAGGATGTTTACAGAAATTAATACATTTCTGCAGGGAAGCACTAAGTAAAGTTAAGATTGAAAGTACCATCTACATTTGACTCGTTTTAGCCCTGCGGAATGATTTTATTTATTTTTAAATGTCCCTGATTATATCAGTGATGGGTTCACCCTAGTATGGGTACAATTTCCTGAACTAGGAAATTTCAAATGAACAGTTCCAGTTGGAACCAATTTATAAGCCAGTTCCTGTTGGAATTTGGGTAAATTGACTGGAAAGTCTATTTGAGCATGTTGCATTCGCTTACAAATAATAACATTGGAGGACAGTAATAGCCAATGTTAAAATGAAAAAAAATAATCTCTATTGACGTTTATTTTGTTAGATCATAGGAGGTATTTTGTCTTAGTATATTACAGAATGTATATCTAAATGACACTAATATTACCAACACATATTTTCCAGTGTTTGACAATTTAAATTTGAAGAGGGCCATACAGAGTAAAAATTGCACAAAATTTTATTGTTGATTGACGTAGATTTAATTAACTGTAGGAGTGATTGATTGGGCAATATTTTTTTATGGGGCAATATTTAACTCAAAGTCACATGCTTTGAGGAAAAGCACAGCATATAAACCACAATATGATTTTCCATTGAACACCATCACCTGTTATTAATGACTAATTAGACATGATTTGGTAGTTGTCAAAAAAAATAGTACATTAGAAGTCAGACATATTTTTGGAAAGATAATTACAGGAACGTACCACTGTTTTGGTATTGATGTATGAAGCAATCAGGGCACTATTTTTATCACCAATAATATCAATGTTTCATTTATTGAAATGGTAATTATATCCGATATAGTAGTAAGAGCATTTAAATACATACAGTCACACATGAGGTGTATTTGAAAAGTGTAAGTTTTTTTGCATCAGGCAGAGAATATACATGTTTACCCTATCCTACTGATAAAACAGTAAGATTATTAAATATATGTATTTACAGGATTCGTGTTTATAAATACGTTTTCTTGGGGGGTTTTTGTAGAACGATTGTATAATCTGATACAGAAAAAATTTGTTTTTTAACAACGGGTGGCCATATAGATATAGAATGCCTGAGTATCTTTAGGCAAATAATGAACATAACTTAAATAGAAAAATAAACACCCCTATTACTACAAGAAAATCAGTTTCTATATAGTGGCTCTGCCACCTTCTGGAGTCTTTGCATATTTTGCAAAGACCCCCAATGGTGACATCTCTGCTAGATGCGCAGTGGCCCTTGGATGCAGTGCAGGTGAGTTATACTTACCTGATGCTGTCCCCTGCTTCATCTGCCCCGAGACCACTCGAGCCTCCATAGATATTTTGTTGCAAAATAATACATGATTTCCACAGCTGTCGTGAGTGACCACTGGGGGAAGAGACAAAATTTGATGCAGCCTCTCATTTTGTCAGATTTTGTCAAGATGAGGATAAGACAAAGTAGTCCTTACTTAGTCGTATGATAACTTTTGACTGTGCTACAATTTCAGTAAAATTCCAACATCGTTTTATCAGCATTTCATAAAGATGAAATCTTTTTGGCGTTGACAGAGACACTGTAATCCCTTAAGGACCAAACTTCTGGAATAAAAGAGAATCATGACATGTCACACATGTCATGTGTCCTTAAGGGGTTAAAAAGACTTTGTCATACATAGGCAGCCACATGTATATATTGTTAGCCATTTAAATGATTAACCCATGACTGGACAGGTATAGTATATTCTAAGCCTGCCTGCTTCTTACCCAACATCCTGTTTGTTGGGTTCCATAATGCTTTGTTTTTCAAAGGTAAGACACAAGGGCACACAAACCTTTTGTGTTGCTACTGTTTAGGCTAGAATGGAACTAAATGAAATTGTTTGAAACTTTAAACGGACCTTAATGTTATGCAAAAAAAAGCCCTTTTAATGTAGTTTTAATATCCTTAAAAATAAAATGTAATTAAGACTTTGTATTATTAGTTAAAATATGTGTAATCTAATATATTTTATAATCTCTATAAATTATGTAAAGTTATACTTCTCTCAGAGAGACAGATGAGAAAGTAAGACTCTATACACGCAATTTTCTTTTTGTTATAAATATGACAGAATTTTTTTTTCAAATAGGTGCATATAGTCCATTAACTGCTGTTTTTTTAATATTTTGATTTTCATTCCTACCTTATTCCTCTTTTCAATTGCCTCTGTAGAGAGTTTAACAGAGAGTTAAGAACAAGAGTATATGTATTTTAACTGTCATACCAGCCAGTTTGGTTACTTAGAATTAAATGGAAACTGTAGCCACCAGAAAAAAATTTTTCAGAGAAAATGCAGTATTTACATTACAGTCTAGTGATAACTGCACTGGCCACTCCTCAGATGGCTACTAGAGGTGCTTTCTGGGGCCGTGCAGCACTGCAATTAAGTGTCTCCACCCTCTGCATGGAGACACTGAACTTTCCTCTTAGAGATTCATTGATTTAATTCATCTCTATGAGGAGATGCTGATTGGCCAGGGCTGTGTTTGAATCATGCTGGCTCTGCCCCTGATCTGCCTCTTTGTCAGTCTCAGCCAATTCTATAGGAAAACATTGTGATTGGCTCAGAGAATCACTTCTGATGATGTCAGCCAAGCAGGCAGATCGGGAGCAGAGCCTGCAGCACCTGCAGACTTAAATACAAGTAAGATTTTACTATATTCAGGGAGGCAAGAGGGAGCCAGGGGGCTAGTCGGTGGTTTTAACACTATAGTGTTCCTTTAATAGAAGAATTGTATGTGTGTTATTTACTATATCTATCTGTTTTCTCAATATCAGCTGCTGGACATAGTAAAATATTTCAACAGGTTTGATCCACTATATTGCAAAATTCCCTTTTGTGAATATTAGAGATAAGGATTGGCGTAAAACATCTCCCAGCATTTTGTCATTTTTGCAGGAAAGTACTGAAAATGTAGTTCAACAACAAATATGAGTCCAATGCCTAAATGCTCCTGACTGACACATGGTCACATTGTAAATTTGCTGGGATAATTGTAAAGTTTTAGAATTATCAAGAAAATTTGTGATTTTACTATTTCTGATAACTGAGAAAGATTTATTAAGGTGCAACTTCATCCAGAAAATAATTTAGACAGTTAACATTTTACACAATGTGTTGGGTCAACCCCCATTTCTATGGATTTGTGTAGTTATAAGTGTACCTGGGGACAAAACTGCAAATTATCCTTTTCCCCAAAAGTAAAATACAAATGGTTTGCAGAGTATGAATGGGAAAGGATGGCGCAAACATTAGGCTAAATCGGCATACTCCTAGGATACTCTAAGGAAAAAAAAAAAATGGCACAGTAGCCAAGGGACATTTGGCCTTGTAGGCAAACAATATCAGCAGAATATGAATAGAGTAACCTTGTTGTTGTTTTTTTTTTTTTTAGCAGATTACACCTGATAGTGCTATTAAAGAAACACTCTATGCACCATAACAACTTAATTTTAATAAAGTTGTGATTGTGCCCAGATTGGTGCCTTTTAGCAATGTTTGTGCAAGAACTGCCTTGTGTATCGTCTGTTAAAAAAGCAAAAAACTGCAGTATTTTAATATTCTTGGCAATTTGATTTCAGGTGTATTATGTTTGCTAATTATAGAGCTTTAAACTGAAGTTTGAAGTAATTTACATTTTAAAGTATTTTCACCGATATATTGTTCTTTAATGTCTCCTTTCCAAAAATATATATTTTTATGTTTTTTGTTATAGTGACCTGTTTCTCCATGAATAATGGTTATAATTAAATACTATAGTGTTAGAAAAACAAACATGTATTCCTAAAACTAGAGTGACCTACTCAATGTTTAGGGTACCCTGTCCCCCTCCCCATGTGAAGGTCAGCCCCAATTCCCTAAAGCATGCAGCCAGTCCAGAATCCTTGGCTGAGATCATCAATCCTGATGATCTCAGCCAATCCAATGCTTCACCCTACTAGAGCACATGTGTGGCAATTAAATGTTTCTAAGAGACCATCTGATTGAAATAGCCAAATTTAACTCAGTGTGATTGCCATTACATGCATTTTAGCCCTGCAATGTAAACATTGCTGTATCTACAAAACACCAATGCCTTCAGTTGCAGGGTTAAAACAACCGAGGTATGGCAATTAAGTAAAGTGGTCTGGATGCTTATAGTGTCCCTTTAAGGAGTAGAATCCCCATTCTAGTATTGTATGATACAATAAAAAAAAAAAAAAGAATATTAGGACTCACTAGAAATGATACAATGTTGACTTTGTAGATTAAACTCATTCTCTCCACAAAAGCTCATTGCAGTTATCTCCAAGAAGAATATTGTTGTCCCTTTGTTTTATCAGTAAGAACTTTTCTAAGAAGGCAGCTCTGTCATTGACAGGCAGTAGCACCCTGTGTCACGTGCAAGCATGTTTTATTAGGATTTTAATAAAAATGTAGCTGTCCATAATATATCCATAAGAACCAATATCTTACGTGTTTTAGATATCTGTGTTCTCCACTATTTATTTTCAATGAAATCATAAATGGCGTGTTGGAATAAATAGTGTTTTTGGAATAGAGAGATGACATATTTATGAAAGTACTATGAAAGTACTACTCACATTTATTATATAATAGAGAAGAATTAATTAACGCAGTATGTGACAAAAAAGATGGCAATTTTAGGGTCAGACTAACAATCACAACTATTTTTATGTATTTAGTGCTCCGTTCCCCAGGGGGTTAAAAACGTAACCGTAAGGCCAGCTTTATTTAAGCTGAGCAATTCCAAAATTGGTCTTCCTTAACCTACATTTTGGAGGAGTTCTTATTTAAAAGTTGCGTTCTCAGAACCACCAGATCTTCCAGACTCATATCACTCTGTTGAGCAGTGTATGAAAATTAATACCCAAACTGTGTAGTATTTCAATAGTTAATACCAAGAGAAATATTTTAACTAAATAAAGTCCCCTTAAGGTCTGCTTTAATTTGTTGAATTATCTACATTCTGTAGTGGCATCTCTTTTCATGCTCTGCCCATCAGCGCAAAAAAGTGACATGTACCCTGAATTCATGGTAGATCTGTCAGTGTAAATTAATACAGGAAGTCAAGTCACGGTACCCCGAATCCATGACTAGTGTGTCCCTAATGGCTTGTTTCTATTACATACCCCATAATGCAAGAGGTAGCCTTTTATCTAGTATTTTAAGGTGCAATAGAGTAATTAAAAAAAAAGGCAAATGTTTACATTTATACAGAAATCATTAAAAGCGCTGTATACCAATCGCTATTTATTAAAGATGTTTCTGTATACACCCAAGAGTTTCTTGATAATAACAAAATCTTTTTTAAGTTAAAAAAAGAACAAAAAAATAATAATTCACTACTGTAATGTAATGTATATACAGATAAATATATATAAAATATCACTGCCTTAATCATAAGGAATACCTACAGGGTTTTTCACTACAATGAGAAATCAAAGTGAAATTCAAATTTAAGGTTAAAATAGTCGAGTTTGAAAAATTCTCTCAGTAAGCTATTGTAATAGTTTGGCTACTCTGGCCTTAAATTTGAGATTCACGTTTAACTGTAACTTTATTGAATAACCCTGATAAATTCACTTCATTGAACAGAGAGAATTCTTTGGAGGTCGAAGCGGGTTGAATAAAGTATTGCTTTTAAATGCTTTGGACACCTTCACGGCACTTTGAGGTACAGGGGGTGTGGTACAATTTCTCAAGTATCCATGAAAGAGTTAAGCTTTGATTAAAGAAATTCATATCAAAACAAAAATGCATGCTTTCTTTTCATAGAATGTTTTTTTTTTAACTTGTCACGACATCCGTTTATGCTAGTTTAACCCCTTAAGGACACATGACATGTGTGACATGTCATAATTGCCTTTTATTCCAAAAGCTTGGTCCTTAAGGGGTTAAACCATATGGAATTTGTTTTCTAAACAAATGTGGTTGATTTTTCTGTTTGCTTGTTTTCTCGTTGAGGCCTTGTGATTTCCGGGCTGTGATAAAGCATGCAACAGCAACAAAAATGTATATATATATATTTCCTTTCCTTTAGCCCATACCTGTAATCAAGCTGTATATGTCTATCTCGACATGAAAAAAAAAAAAAGTGTTTTCATAACAAAAGCAAAGAGCTAGATCAGCATTGCATTGTATCACTTGCATTTTTTTGAAAAGCCTTGTCATATGTTTCAGCTTAGATTTTTGATTTTTTCGCAGTAGTTGTTTTGTAAAAATGCTTTGTGCATGAGATAGACTGTAACATATGAAATACAATTTCACCTCTATTAGTAGTTGTATTTAAATTTCACTTTCAAATTGCTCCAGTTTTTGAGCATTTTTATTTTTGCCCCGCATCGCTCCCTGTTGATCTCATTAATGGTGATGCTCTAGTGCGATCCTCTGTTGTATCCATTGAGACAACAGAACCCTGCTTTTGCAGAAACAGATCTAACTCTCCAGCATTTAGACCAGATGTTTTACAGCTTCCATGATGCTTTGTACTTCTAAAATCATTCTAAAGGCATGCAAAGCATCACTGAACTTCTACAACATCTGGGGATTTATCTATTAGGCACCCCTGACTGTTCTATAAACATCTCTTAAAGTGATAAGAAATTGGAAGTTTCCTTACCCAGCCTTGCAAGAACACACATACCTCCCAATAATCCAAGATTTGACAGGACAGTCCCAAATTAGAGGCCATGTCTTGCTTTTTGGTCTATGATTTCTCGTTTTGGGAGACCCTAGAGACTAAGTCTAAAGTGAATTGCGCTCATATCATTAGTCGCATTTGCACTGCAAAATTTCATCTGGGGGCATTTAAACTATGGGCAGGACGGTTTAATGGTGCTCTGTACAAATGCGGCACAGCGTGGAGCTAGTCTGATGTTTACTGATGCCAGGCTTACCTGCCCTTATTTGAGAAGAACGATTCCATTTTTTGCACCAATAGTTTTCTTGCACCACCACCACTGCAATTAGTTGAAATGGTCACGGTGCTTATAGCTTCCCTATAAACCTATTACACATGCTTGTGATCTTACCCATTTTAAGCATAGAATCCCAATATTCAGAACACATAGATAGGATTATGCCACAAATTACATAAAACCAGTAATAGTAATATGGAAAGAACAGACGTGAACCAATATATGATCATTTATATGTACATTTAAAAAAAAAAAACATTTTAGACTCGGTAAGAGATGATATATTCCATTTAATTGTCAGATTCTATAGAAACAGTCCACATTGAACTGTTTCGTTAATTGACAGTTGAATTGTAACAGCTAATGGATCTTTAATAAAGATGTGGAGATTTGCGAAGTTTTATTTATTTTTATTTATTTTTCAAAGTGCTTTATCTTTTGGGTATTTATTTTTTAAATTTTTTTTAAATTTAGCGAAGCAGTGAGTTGTACTGAGTTGACTGTATAATTCAGCAAATTTTTAGCTGAGATTGAAGCACATTTAAAGTGCACCTGTCAGGTTAAACAAGACTTGGTATCACTTTACAGGAAGTAGAATTGAATTGCAGGACCATTAGGAATGCTAACACATGCAAAGATCCGGAGTTATGCATACTTTTTGCATTTTGTTTCATGCCTTCTCTGACTTTACATCATAGCAGTATAATATGACACCCACAGGTAGCTGCAAGCGATGTAGGTAAATTAAGGATTCATTTTCTAGGGCCCTACTTCTCTTAAAGTGGCACTGTCACACCAAACGTACCTTTCTCCAACTGTTTCTTTTGACCTTCTTTGACCAAAGGAGGAGCTTACGTCAGCTCCATTTCCTGTGTTATTGAGAAGGGTGAGTACTTTCTCTGATGGTGATGGATAAGGAGCTGACGTAAGTTCCTCCTTTGGTCAAAGAAATTCAAGTGTAGGGAAATACATAAGACAAAGTCGTCCATACTTTGTCTTGTGTTTTAAAGAAAATTAGATCACAAAAAAAGACCAGATTCTGAGATGAAGAGAAGAGGAAACAACAGGAGAAATGTATGTTTGCTGAGACAGTGCCACTTTAAGAGAACTAGGGCCCTAGAAAATGGATCCTTAATTTACCTACATAAATACATAAGACAAAGTAAATCCCTACTTTGTCTTATGTCAAGAAAAGTTCAGCGTGACAGTGATATAGCTAAAACACTGCTGAGTTTGTCAGAATTGAGCAATTCAAGTATGCTGTCATTGCATTTAACATAAACCTTGACAAAATCAAGAGTATTGGGTCGTCAAACCTTTGATTCTGCAGATATTTTGACTACATAGCAAAAAAGTGTGAAAAAAAAAGTTCCAATATGTAAAAAAATTGTGGTGAACGTAATAAGTATACTAAAATTAATGCACTGAGATGTATAATATTAAGTTTGATTGTATAATAGCTTTAGAAATAATTAACTATTAGAAAAGTTCTAACATTACCCTCTTAGCTATCAAGTTGTTTTATCACAATATAATCTAAAAAATGAATAATAATAATTTTGAAGCCTTTATAAAAATCTTCCATGGTCTACTTGGGCATAGAGAGATGTTTACGTTATCATGTTCAGATGATTACATTATATTTGTGGAGTGAGGTGAAGATGTCTTTGAAGGGCTGGACATCTACAGAAATGTTATAGGTTTTACAACTAATAGACTTGAGGTTTTTTTGAGGAGCCAAAAGTAACTGGTGCTTGAGACAGAAGCAAAACTTGATGCTGCCTTGTACCTTCCTTGACCCCACTCTGCCTTTTTGATAATCCTGGCATACAGGGTTAATCCCTAAAATGGGAAATTATCATGAATACTCCAGGGAGTTTAAAATGTTGGACCAAAATAGCTAAATTGGAAATATTCTCTTCTGTTTGTCATTTTAGTTCGAGGTATAAATGCCTAAAATATGAAATTCTCTTATTGATTCAGACAATTCCTGATGTAATGAACAAATGTATGATTCAGTAGAGCAGGCTTCCCCAAATTCCGGCCCTCCAGATGTTGCTGAACTACAACTCCCATGATTCTCATCCTATCTATTTCATTCATAGAATCATAGAGTTGTAGTTCAGCAACATCTGGAGTGCCAGAGTTTGGGGAAGCCTGCTGTAGAGCCTCATCAGATCTTGTCCCTTAAATATACAAAGTGTAATAAGGCATCAGACACAGAATCCTAAACATACAGACTCGTACACACACAAACACATCACACTGGTACCCTGGGTTCTACAGATCAAACCTTTAGCAATATACTAGCAAAACACCCCTTGTGTTTTTCAGATTGTAAAACTTTTAAGGTTAATCACAAAAAGAACTGTGGAGAATCGACAAAGGAATTGTGGTTTTGTCCAAAATTTGCTAGAAAAATCAACATGCTTACTATTGTGATGTTTTGACAAATATTTGAAATTCCCTTGACGGTAATCCACAATTCAAAATTCAGCAAATAAGCCCCATCAGAGTTGGCTAACTGGCCACACAACAGGTATTTTGAGAGCTAATAAATTTATGCATTTTTTCATTTTTTTGTGCAATTCTTAGGGTTCACCTCTAAAGCAAAATCCTGCAGATTGAAGATTATATTTTTCATTGTACATTTGTGAGTAATTTGACTGCTACTATGTATATTGCTATTTGCATGACAGAGGCGGTTAAATACCCAAATGGCTGCTTGTTGTGTATTACTATGTGTCATAATATCAATCTCCACTGGAATGCATTTAACAGCTATTGTTGTATTTGTTTAAGATTAGCACGTTAATCAGAACTCATGTGGAAGCCAAAGAAAGGGACTGATCGATTGTATAATCCTGTCATATAGCAGTATGTATTACTACACCACAGCTGGGGAATTACTATACAGCCTCAATTGACTTTGTTTTGAAAATGTTTTAAAGCTGTATCTTTGGAACATGTGAGTTAAAACAGAATTTGTTTTAGAATAGATCTGTAGAAACTGGAAGACTAGAGTCAGAACTAGTGGTATATTCTCTAACAAAAACATACATTTTGACATTTAGTCTAAATTAGCAAAGTGGGCATAATTCCCCAAAATATTTATATTTATAATTTATAATTTCAACATTTTGAAATTTTAATGTAATGGCTATTAGTAAATTTTAACCCCTTAAGGACACAACTTCTTGAATATTTCCGTCATGTGTCCTTAAAGGGTTAAGGTTATTAGGTTAGGCTTATGGTTTGGGTTAGAGGTTTAAGGTTACAGTTAGAAAGCAGATCCAGTTAATTGTCAAACCATTTATAATTTATTTACCAGCTTACTGCAGGGTTGTGCCAGGGGACATCTGGCACCATAACCGTTACAGTATGTGGTGCACAAACAGAGAATGCTCTATGTTCAAAATTTCAAGAGTAACCTACAAGGAACGAGGGACATTAAAGTAGCATTGTAATTTGAATGCTTTTCATAAAGATATAATCTTTATATGTAAAATAAAGTAGGGAATACATAATGAGGTAATGGGTAGAGCTTCTACCACCACATCTTGAGCAATAGATACCTAGGACATCTTATTAGTGGAACAAAATATTACGGTAGGGGCAGCCAACCCCAGGTCTGGCAGCACCAGGATCCTAAAAAGAGTGCGGAATTCCTCCTTTTCATTTAGGATATTTTATTGTTACCATCTTCACCACCGCTGTTGGCACTTCATCACCCAGTGCCAACGTAATAGCAAAATCTCCTATCCAATGGAAGAGCCAATACTCGGCAAAACGCGCATCGGGACATTAGTAGCAGAGGGTGGCGGGGTGACAGGGGATTATGCTGCAGCCTACATTTCTTTCCCGGATTAGCCACCCTGCTATATTATTTTAACAGACCTTTTGATGTAGCTACAAGGTAGTTTCGGCTACATCTTTTGTTAGGGGGATAGGAGATTTTGCTATTACGTTGGCACTGGGTGATGGGAGTTGGGGGATTAGTTATCTAACTGAGGTTTTTGGTATACTGAAACTATATCTTTATTTTTATTTTGGAAATCCCAGTGCCATAGGTGCTATTACCTGACAGGGGTAGCACTGTTTATCATTTATCTCCTTTTGTTTGTTTCCCCTGTTTTCTTTCACTTTTCATTATAATATATAGGGATTTTAACCCAAGACAATTAAAAGTTATATTTTATTCTATTTAATTTCTACTAGTGTAGATGGGGTTGCTCTAATATTCTTAAAGCTTGAAGGGGAAGTGTTTAGATCTATCTATTCCCTTTCTGGCTTTTTTGTTCTCTTCTCTTAGTTATAACCTTGCTAGGTATCACTAATAACCTGTTCTTTTGTTTTTTTGTGATACACGAGAGAGATGGAAGTCAAGGATTCTGTTTGCCAACTTTTTGTGTGCCTGTTAGACCTGGTCTTGAGCCTTCCACGGGAATCATTAAGTGAATTTTGGTACAATTGTAAGAGCCTTGCTGTCATCCATAAGTGGATATCATTATTTATTTATAGCTGTGATTATAGGCTGCATGTTTTTTTGTGTTTCGCTGTTTGCATGTAAGTGAAACTGAACATTCTTTGATGGGCTCTGAGATGGTTTAACACAGATGTGGGAGAGTATAGTTATTAGTGATGGTTTCTGAATATGGACTACTTGTGAATAGCAGAGCCATCTCATTTAGTTTATTGTGTGAAATTACTGTGCAAGGATCACGTAAGCCAGTGGTTCCCAACCCAGTCCCCAAGTAACCCCTAACAGTCCAGGATTGAAGTATTACTCAATTGTGTCTAAGGTGTTTTTGAAAAAGAAAAAACACTTTAGACACAACTGGGTAATCCCTAAATCCTGGACTGGTAGGGGGTACTTGACGACTGGGTTGGGAACCCCTAACGTAAGCGATCATAAAGAAATAACATTAAAAATGTGTTTTACATATTCCCTGGGGGGTTTCTTTTAATGCTCTGGCAATATGTGGTATAGTTCCTATTTAACCATGTATATAGTTGATATACTTAAATTGATTCCTTGATATTTAGGATGCTTGTGAGGTTCAAGGTTGATATTTAGGATGCTTGTGAGGTTCAAAGTTGCTCAGATTGCTTTCATACATTGTAAAAAAAAATCCAGCTGTAGGCTGCAAGGTTGGTGGAAAAGAACTTTTAAAAGATCTTGTGATATTTTGCTAAAAATCTCTAATGACAAGTGAAAAGATACATAGGTTCCCAATGCTATTCACACAGAAAAAAAGTTTAAACATTTATTATATTGCAAATCTAACTGCAAGGTGATGTAAAAAAATAAATAAATAAACAAACAAACAAACAAATAAACTGAAACTCTGAATATCCCACAAAACAAAAAAAAGGCAATTTTTCTATTTTGTGTTCAAATAGTTCTGCTATGCCTGTTCACTAACTGACACGCTAAAATACTCACTTTTTTTTTTATGTGTGTCCGAGATTTGCAGATTACAATGTATCACATATAGTTGTTTAAAAAATAGCAGTCATTGAAATCCATTAATATTAGAAAACACTTTAATTTTTGTATGTAACTATATGTATTCTACTTTATTTGCAAGAAATGAGAGAAAATATTTGTGTATAAGAGATATAGTGTAGAAAAAAAACTAGAAAACAAATTAAAAGAATATAGTAAATTAGATACTAGGCCCTTTATTTGGCTGCAGTAGTAGAAATTGAGGCTGTGTACTTTTTTATTTTTTACTGCTATGATGATGTCAAATATCCTAAATAACTGGCTGTGTAATGCACTTCAACAGTTATTACTGATATGCTGTATTTTAACATATGCCTTACAGAGACCTCTTTAAAGACACACAGGGCAAGACTCACAGGGGTTAATGAAAACAAGCATTCCACTTACGTATTCTGCCATAAATCAAAATAGCAGTTAAACAGTAATGCTTCAATTGAAATATGGTTAATAGGAAAGCGTATCTAGATATGTTGAAATGTATGTATGAAAGTCTTTAACTTTGCTTTTTTTAAACTTTTGCAGTCAGAAGAAACTGGCAATATACAGTAAGCTGCCACTAAATTATCTTTAGTGGATGGAATTCAACTTCACTCTGATTGCCTGTTTGATCCTTTCAACCAATCACAGTACAGCTTTTATTTCCATTGGGCTAGCTAAAAATTGTTTTAGATCTCTCTGCATTCATTCACTAAAACGCAGAGCTGCTTTAAGCAGTAAAATACACTAATACTCAGGCATAACTGACCCTCTAAGGAAGAGGCTTTTTTCAGGAAGCTAAGAGTATCTCTGCTATTATGTCGCCAAATAAAATACAGATTAACGAACAGTGCACACATAAAGAATTACTAAGATAGGTGAATACAAAGTTTAAAAATATATATTTTTGTGTGTGTACGCTGTTTCTTAATCTGTATTTCTTATATTATGGTCTTTACGCCAGTTTCTGGGTGTTTTCCCCCAATTCCCTATTTTTCTATGTTGCCAAATAAAACCATAGCAGTTCTTAGTTTTTTTTTTATGTACAGTTACAAATCAAACGATACCGGTAAATATAGACTTATGTTTAGCAAAAAAAAAAAAAGTAATGATGTGATCATACAATAATAGTTTTTTTAAAAATACTCAGGTTTTACATTCACTACCTGTGTATCAAATAAGACCTAAGACAAAAAAAGCTAAAAATCAATAACAAAAAAAAACAACTAAACAATTGTGCTATTTGGTGTCCCTAACTGTAATATGTTATCTTAAGAATTATAGTTATCGAACTTTTAAACAGATATATAGACAATAACAATCACTAAAGGGAGGGAGAGTTCAGACAATGGAGTATTTCCTCTACTATTGAATCGAAAGCTCTTCTATTAACAAGGGTTTAAGCCCAGGATACAATCTAGTGGTGTCTACCTAACGTTTAGGTGCTCGGGCATTTTTAGCTTTGGCACATATTTATTCGTATATTGACAATAACGTAGTGCGTAACCTTTCTGTGATGTTCTGAAACACTAAGATTTCAGTATGGAGAAATTTATAATAAGGAAAAAAAACAAGAATAATTAAATACAAATCTGATTTCAATAAGATAGACACTGGTGATTTCCATTTATTATGTAAATAAAAATGTAACTCTACATTTGGCAAGGGCAGTGTTTAAACATATATCACTATTTAGTATATCTACCCCAATGAAAACATGCATGCTTTCAAATATGCATTTTTTTAATTGAGCAAAATTCTAAAAACAATTTGCAAAAGCTGCAGATCTCTTTTCTGCAGCCTTCCCAAGCCCTCCCCTTCTTTCCCAGCCAAGGCTTTATGTGGCTGTACAATCACAAACTTCCCAATGCAGCGCAATGAGAATTCTTTGCAAGGCAGGTGCTCTGTGCAATGGCTGCCTCTTGAGTATAGCTCCATTGAGCTAAACTACTAGGAAATCTGCACTTTTGTAAAATGATAAAAGAGAGGACACACTCTGTGCTTTAGGTGTTTGGAGAAAGTTGTTCTCAATTATGAGACCAAATTTCATCTATCCCTTTAATGCTTTTTATTACTTGAAAGGGTAGAACATTGATCTATAAAGTCATCAATGTTTTCATGTTCAGTTTTATCTGATTGCTAAAAGTCACAAGTATACTTTGTTAATAATCTAAATGTCCATTGGGTTTCCTTCCTTGTCCTCAAACTGCCCCCTACCCCCTCAATGGCTATGATATAGGAACTCCAAATCTTTTCCATATTAAGAAAACAATGATCCACTGGGATTTGCATGTAGAGTGAGTTGGGAACGAGAAGTACTATAACAAAATAGGGTGAGCCTTTCTCATCCAATTAATATGGCGCTGTCTTGCAATATTAACCTTTTGTACACATTTATAGCCAAATCATTTTCTGGCAAATCGACCAAATAATGTATAATACTAAAACATATATTTTGCCAATGCAAGTAAAGATTTGGGAGAAAAGACATAAGGAAGCACACTTATACTAATTAGCACAAGTTTACAGTAAAAAAAAAGGGTAGTATTTTTACAAAGGAAATATCTGTCGATTATTAACGTCAAGTATAGATATATTTAGGATGTTTTATTCCATTAAACATTCATTGTAATGATATTTTGCGGTGACTGCAGTTTGTGGATAATTACAGATTTTTTTTTTCATACAGATGTGTATTTTCTTTATTATGACATAGTAGCAAAAAAATACAAAAAAAAAATAAAAATAAATGATGAGATGTCTTATAATTCTCTCATGTACAAAGTTACGTGCTTACATTTTTGATTGTTATTGCCCTATGGAAAATTTGTGAACACAGGTTGGTTATTTAAGGAGAGCACACATGTAGTAAGTAGTTTAAAAAAAAAAAAATAACTTAAAGTGCAAAAAATTTATTTTCAAAAAAGGCCATAAAATAAACAGAGTCCATTAGCAAATGTGTAATGAAAAATCAAAAGAAATGTTCTTCAAAATAAAAAAAGGATTATGTACAAAAATGGCTAAGCCACTAAAGAAAATGGAATTTCAGAAAATTATGTATTTATGCTTTTATGATGTTGTTCAAACAGTTATACCCAAAGCAGAACATTCAAAGCTGGACTGTGAAGCTGATTTTGCCTTTATTAAACCAAAACAGTCAAAAATTTGTATATGTTTTATGCTGATTAACCGTTTCTACTTTACTTCTTTGGATATGTGTAGCAACTTAACAAGGCATGCTGGGTAAAAAAAAAATACTATGCAAAGGCGTACAGTGTTGCATGTTCTAATTTCCCCTCTGCTTTAGTGGCTTACAGAGAAACCAAGTGGTGTAATTTTCGTGAAAAAGGAACATTTAACAAAGACAATGCAGACTGCATGCATACAGCATCCTAATTTCTCTGGACTTGTTTTATGGAATTTAGAAGTGTAAAAATTAACTGCATTAACATTTTTTTTTTCTATAATAAATGAAAAACCTTGTAAGAACCGTGTCATGTGTTTTACTTGTGTGTTGGTCAACATAATTCATGTGGCTGAACGGTATGTGATAAGAACACTTATGGTAACTATAATAAACTTTCTCTGAGAACCGTATTCTGAACCAAACAACGTACGGTGAAGCTTTAATTGTTTTGCATAAGTTACATAAACATCATTCTCTAGCTGTCCTATACCTCTTTATATCCACATTCATATTTTCGTTATTGATATTCTATTGACTTTAAAAGTAAAACATACACTAATTGCTTGTGTCTTTAGACTTTTGTTTTTTATTTTCATTTCCTTTATTGTTACTTAGCATTCGAATTATAACTTAGTGAAAATGATTAAATTTAAACTTAACGTATTCACCTAAGAACACAGCAGGTGCAGCTATATGTGATGTGTGAGGCTGCGTGAGCATATGATAGTATATTTGGGTAACATTAAGTGATATGGGGCAGTGCATGATGTGTGGCTAGCTGTAAATAATGAGTTTGAATATCTGTAAGTGAAAAGTATTGCTGTGTGTGATGTGTGTGGGTAGCTGTGAGGGCCATGTGGGTAGATCAGTGTGCTGTGGATTAGTGGGGAAGTTGGGATGGGAGTGATATGCGTGGGAAGAGAACAATAGGTGAGAAAGTGATAGGAGTGGGGGATGGTTGGGAGTGATGGGTGTCTACAGAGAAGAAGGGATGAGTTGGAGTGAAAGCAGGTTGAGGAGAGTGGGAATGATCAGAGGTTGGAGAGAAGAAAGGATGAGTTGGAAATGACAGGAATATGGAAGAGATGGAGGGATGATGGTAAGTGATAGCTAGAGGATTAAAAGAGAGAGAGGGATAGGTTTGGAGTGGTAGGGAGATGGACTGAGAGGGACAGAATGATAGAGGAGGGAGCAGAGGATGGGGTGAAAGAAAGGGAAGGGTTGGAGTGACAGGAGGATGGAGAGAAAGGAGGGGATGGGCGGGGTGACAGGAAGTAGAGGGGAGACGGAGGAATACCTGGGGTTGAAATGAGTAAGGGGTGAAAGGAAGGGATGGCTGGGTGGCAATAAAAGGAGTATGGGGTGAGAGGAAGGAATGGGTGGGAGTGAGAGAGGGATACGTTTGTGGTAATAGGAGCATGAAGTGAAAGGGATGAGTGAGAGAGATTGGAGTGGAGAGGGATACGTTGCAGTAATGGGTGGAGTGTCATGAGTGAGAGTGATAGGGGAAGAACAGGGGGATGAGTGGTTAGATAGGAGAGAAAGAGATCAGGTGTCAACAATAAAACACAAAGCTTCACATTATAAGATTTAGGGTGCAGTGTTACCCCTCCTATTTACAAGCTCCGCTCAGTAAATTAATACCAAGGAGAGCAGGCAGACACAAAGCCTGCCTATAATGCTACACTATACCCCAAACAGTAAGTAAAGCAGCATTAACTAATACACATGGTGCTGTTCAAATCAATCAGCACCACGTTACAGTAAATAAATTGGATGCAGGCCTTGTCCTACTTTTTTTTTTTTTTTTCTTCCTGGGCACACCCCTATGGATTCAGCAACAGTTAAACCCTCTTTCAGTACAGTGCAGGTGTCCTAACTATCCCTGGTTTGACAGATTTGATGGTCCTGTCTCACCACTTGTTCCCTGGTTTCCTAAATTTCTGGACAGCTCTTCAGAAGCTGGTGTTTGTTCAGCCAACACAAGAGGAGGCTTGGCAACTGGTTGTGTGAAAAGAGGCAAATTGTTGTGAAATGGTTTGCTTCATTTGTGGGGAATGGCAGAAGGTTACTCTCAACAATGTGACCACTACAGCAGGTTGTAGTGGTTTGTGATGCTTGGAGTAACCTTTTAACTCGTCCCACTGTAATGGCCTAGAACAGATAAAAGTGGGTACATTGTTGTATCCAGTGGCGTACACATGTCTCATGGGGCCCCGGTGCGAAAATTGATCCGTGGGCCCCCCCCCGCGCGCGGGCCGCAACACATGGCGGTGGGCACCTGTTCGCAGGGGTTACAGGGCTGCGACCCCTGCGACCGCAGTATGTACGCCAGTGCATGCAGATGCACACACACTTAAAGGACCACTCTAGGCACCCAAACCACTTCAGCTTAAGTCTGGGTGCCAGGTCCAGCTTAGGTTAACCCATTTTTTCATAAACATAGCAGTTTCAAAGAAACTGCTATGTTTATGAATGGGTTAAGCCTTCCCCTATTTCCTCTAGCGGCTGTCTCATTGACAGCCGCTAGAGGCGCTTGCGTGCTTCTCACTGTGATTTTCACAGTGAGAGCACGCCAGCGTCCATAGGAAAGCATAATGAATGCTTTCCTATGTGACCAGCTGAATGCGCGCGCAGCTCTTGCCGCGTGTGCGCATACAGCCGATGGGGAGGAGAAGAGGAGGATCGGAGGAGGAGAGCTCTCCGCCCAGCGCTGGAAAAAGGTAAGTTTTACCCCTTTCCAGAGCCGGGCGGGAGGGGGTCCCTGAGGGTGGGGGCACCCTCAGGGCACTATAGTGCCAGGAAAACGAGTATGTTTTCCTGGCACTATAGTGGTCCTTTAAAGGACCACTACAGACACCCAGATCACATTAGCTCAATGAAGTTGTCTGGGTGTCAGGTCCCTCTAGCTTTAACCCTGCAGCTGAAAACATAGCAGTTTCAGAGAAACTGCTATGTTTCACTGAGGGTTAATCCAGCCTCTAGTGGCTGTCTCACTGACAGCTGCTAGAGGAGCACATTGAACGTCCATAGGAAAGCATTGAGTAATGCTTTCCTATGGGCGGTTTGAATGCGTGCTCGGTCGCATTCGGAGCTGAGAGGCTGAGGGATCCCCAGCGCCAAGGTAAGTGCTGAAGACACACACACACTTACAGACACATGCACACTAGCTAACAGACACACATTTACTGACACACACTCAGCGACAGACATACATACACACTCACTTACAAAACATACACTCATTGACAAACACACACTCACTAACAGACATGAAACAGACTCGCTAACACACACACACACTCAGTAAGACACACACAGTAACACACTCACTGACACTAGCAGACACAGACACTAACATTCACTCTAACACTCACGCTCACTCTAACACTCCCACTAACACACTAAAACTCCCTCTAACACACACACTAACACTCCCACTAACTCAACACATGTTTGTTTGTTTTTTTTAAATGTAATCCCCCAGCCTCCTTACCTTTTGGAGTGCTGGGGGGATTCCCTGGGGTCCAGTGGTGCTGCTGGGCTCCTGGGCAGGTGGCCGGTCGGTCGGGCAGGCGGGCGCGCGAGGGAGCACTCAGGGCTTCCTCTTCAGCTCCCTCGCGCGCCGCATAGGGATGCCGGCGCCGGAAGATGATGTCAGCAGGGCCAGCCTCGGGGGGCCCTGGGGTGGCCGCCTCCTGGGCCCCCCAGGGGAAGAGGCTGGCCCTGTGGCTACATACCGGGTCGCAGGGGCGGCCGGACCCCCTGGTGGGCCGGGCCCGGTCGCAGCCGCGACCCCTGCGACCCTGGTATGTACGCCAGTGGTTGTATCCCAAGTCAATATTACATGGATATGTGATACAAAAATGGTCTGAATTGTGTGATATCCTGAGGTGTCTACTTTTCCAAATGTAGTTTAAATTTATGAGCGGCTAACATGCCCCAACATGTGGCACAGACCAAGGATCAATAGTGTAAGTTAAAAAAAATAAAATAAAGTTAAGAAAGTTATGCAAGTAAAAAAAAAAAATTCAAATATATAGTTTTATAGTTTGGCCATGTTACTTCAAACAACTGTGCTAGATGGAAGCCTTTTAGAAATGACAGTGATCAATGAAATGGATCGAGGAACTATACAATAGGGGTTACTGCAATATTGTAAATACAGAGGGTCAGCAGGTCCAATGATTTTCAGGTGATTGCTTTACAATATTAGAAAAGGGGGGAATTTAACACTAAATGGGACAATTACACAATGTTACAGGAACAATAGGTTGTCCATTGTACAGCGCTATGGAATTTGCTGGAGCTATATAAATAATAATAATAATAATAAGGTCTCTGCTCAGACAGAGATTAAAATAATAATAAAATAATAATAATAATGAGGTCTTTGCTCAGACAGTGATTAAAATAATAATAATAAAATAATAATAAGGTCTCTGCTCAGACAGAGATTAAAATAATAAAATAATAATAATAATAATAATGAGGTCTCTGCTCAGACAGTGATTAAAATAATATTAACAAAATAATAATAATGTGATCTCTGCTCAGAAAAATAATAATAATAATGAGGACGGTTCAGGACCGTCATCGGCTTTTTAGCGTTGCCGACCGGTGACGGTCCTGAACCGTCCTAACGGTCCAATGTACTTACCCGATCGCCGTCGTTTCCCCCGGCGGCGATCGGTGTTGCTTCCGTTGTGGGGAGACTGCCTGCAGCCCAGACAGTCTCCCCATGGCAGATTAGGACCCCTGTGGCCATGTGATCGCTCAACAGAGGTCACAATAGGTGTCCATGTGTCTGCCTGCAGGGGGACTGCTAGTGTAAAATCATAAAAAAAAGTTAATTAAAAAAAAAAAATTATATATATATGTATGTCTATATATCATATATATAATGTCATACTAAGTGTATTTTTATATTAATATGTACATATATTAATATAAAAATACACTTATAATTAAATTACACACGTATATATATATATATATATATAATAATAACTATGTATATTGTATATAAATATTATTATAAAATACAAATAAGTAATTTAAATTAAATAAACACATAAAAATAAATATATCTATATGAAATTTTATTCTAACTGTATTTTGATAGTAATATATATATATATATATATATTTATATAAAAATACACTTAGAATGAAATTGTATATATATCTATGTATATATAAATAAATACAAATAATACGAAATATACATATGTCCATATACAAAATTACATAAATAATGATATAAATATACACGTAGACTTCAAATATATAAATATGCATATATATTTAAATTCTACGTGCGTATTTATGTAATATTTTTACACAATTAAGTAATTTTATTGATTGCAATTTGAGGGACCTGCCTGCCAACCCAGGCCGAAAGTCCAGAGAATTTAATTTGCTAGCACTATATTTTACCCTGTAACTTTCTATGACACCCTAAAACCTGTACATGGGGGGGAACTGTTTTACTTGGGAGACTTTGCTGAACACAAATATTAGTGATTCAAAACAGTAAAACATATCACAGCGATGATATTGTCAGTGAAAATTACTTTTTTTTGCATTTTTCACACACAAACAGCACTTTTACTGATGATATAATTGTTGTGATACGTTTTCCTGTTTTGAAACACTAATATTTGTGTCCAGCAAAGTCTCCCGAGTATAACAGTACCCCCCATGTACAGGTTTTATAGCGTTTTTGAAAGTTACAGGGTCAAATATTTTTACATTGAAAAAGGCCAGGTTGGTTACGTTGCCTTTGAGAGCGTATGGTAGCCCAGGAATGAGAATTACCCCTATGATGGCATACCATTTGCAAAAGAAGACAACCCAAAGTATTGCAAATGGGGTATGTCCAATCTTTTTTAGTAGCCACTTAGTCACAAACACTGGCCAAAATTAGCGTTCAATTCAGTTTTTTCAAACACAAACAAATATGAATGCTATTCAAAAGGGGTAACACCTTGATTTGGTGTAATATATCCAGGAGCATACAATACTTAATCTGCCTCTAGCAGATTTAAAGACATATACACCATACATATTGTTACATCACTCTTTTACAACATCTGAACTTCTTCTTCGCACCCTATTTGGCATAACTATATATATAACAGCTATTTGTGGGTGAAATAGCTCCTGGATATATTACACCAAATCAAGGTGTTACCCCTTTCGAATTACATTTTCTTAGACAGGTATTGGGTGAATTCCTGTCTTTGTCTAGTTTTTGAGCAACCCACCACAAGTCAGACTCCCTCAGCTCTGTGTGTTGCATTAGGCATACCTGGATCTACAAATATGAATGCTAACTTTAGCTAGTGTTTTCGACTAAGTGGCTACTAAAAAAGACTGGACAAACACCATGTTGAATACCCTGGGTTGTCCAGTTTAAAAAAAAATATGTACATGTGGGGTGTTATTCAGAGATTTATGACAGATAATAGTGTTACAATGTCACTATTGATAAATTTTAAAAATGTTTGTTTTGAAACCGCAATATCCTACTTGTACCTGCCCTATAACTTGCAAAAAAAAGCAAAAAGCTCGTAAACATTGGGTATTTTTAAACTCAGGACAAAATTTTGACTCTATTAAGCAGTTTTTTTTCATACGTTTTTGTAGATAAGTAAAAGATTTTTCAAGTAAAAGTAAAAAAAAAAACATGTATTTTTTTAAAATTTTTCATCAGATTTTTTAAATTAAAATACATGAGATTATATAAATAATGGTATGTAAAGAAAGCCCCTTTTTGTCCTGAAAAAACCCCAATACATAATTTTTATGGGAACAGTAAATGAGAGAGCGGAAAATTACAGCTAAACACAAACAGTGTAAAAATATGCCTGGTCGCAAATGTACAACATCACAAAAACAGTCCAGTCCTTAAGGGGTTAATGTAAGTCCCTGTAAGCCCCGCCCCCCTCCTGGCGTCACCCAGCAGCAGGAGATCTCTGCTCTCTCCAGAGCTGCCAGGTGTACAGTGACACATTTCTGGGTCAGCTGACTGGCTTGTCACGTGATCCAGCCTCGCGTTACGTCACGCACGAGAGCTCTAATACTAGAGACGCAAAACAAACAGCTCGCGGTGCATGGTGCTGGAACTCCTTCGGGACACACACACACCAGGCTTCTCGCTCAGCCCACTCCCCCCTTCATTCACTCCGTCCTCTTTGTATTCTGTATGAGGAGTGCGGCTTATTTTTGGGCGATCCGTGGGGGGCACTTTCTCTCCAGTGTTTAGAACTCGTTTCCGGGAAGTGACGTAGTGTGGCTGAGCCCGGCCGGCGTGACGTCACTAGCGCTGCGCCGGGAGCTGGTGCTGGGCGAGCGATGGCCGTGCGGAGCTGGGAGAGGCGCTGTGTGTGAGGCATGCTCGGCGGGGCGCAGTGGGCCCCCAGGCACACACTGTAACACCGTGTCACCCTCTGTGAGTGTGAGCATGGGAATCCTCTTCTCCAAGATATGGAGGCTGTTCAGCCATCAGGGTAAGAAGGCCCACACTGCGCTGCCCATCACCCTCAGCCAGCCCACTGTCTGCCAGAGAGTCCTGGGAGATGGAGTCCACTGCTGTCAAAATGTGCCCTGTATTCAGGGCCTATGTATTCAAAATGCAGCTTATAGGGCATCATGGGAATTGTAGTCCAGTGCAATAAAATGTAGCCTGGCAGAGCATCTAGGGAATTGTAGTCCAGTGCAATAAAATGTAGCCTGGCAGAGCATCATTGGAATTGTAGTTCACAGCAGCTGGAATGTGAAGGGTTGGCTATCATGCTCTTATTGAATAGGACCACTCAAACATAAACTGTGATGGCAGATAAGAACCGAAAGACCCTTAAAGGACCACTATAGTGCCAGGAAAACATACTCGTTTTCCTGGCACTATAGTGCCCTGAGGGTGCCCCCACCCTCAGGGTCCCCCTCCCGCCTGGCTCTGGAAGGGGGAAAGGGGTAAAAACGTACCTGGGCGGGGAGCTCTCCTCCTCCGATCCTCCTCTTCTCCTCCACGTCGGCTGAATGCGCACGCATGGCAAGAGCTGCGCGCGCATTCAGCCGGTCGCATAGGAAAGCATTATCAATGCTTTCCTATGGACGCTGGCGTGCTCTCACTGTGAAAATCACAGTGAGAAGCACGCAAGCGCCGCTAGCGGCTGTCAATGAGACAGCCGCTAGAGGGAATGGGGAAGGCTTAACCCATTCATAAACATAGCAGTTTCTCTGAAACTGCTATGTTTATAAAAAAAAATGGGTTAACCCTAGCTGGACCTGGCACCCAGACCACTTCATTAAGATATAATTAACCCTGCAAGTGTAATTATTGCAGTTTTTTTTTTTATAAACTTCAATAATTACCTTGCAGGGTTAACTCCACCTCTAGTGGCTGTCTAGTCCACTAGAGGGCACTTCCTGGTCCATAGCACAGAAAACCTGTGCCAGAGCGTTGCTTGACGTCCTCACGCTGTGTGAGGACCTCCAGCGTCGCTCAATTCCCCATAGGAAAGCATTGAAAAGCATTTTTAATGCTTTCCTATGGAGAGCTCTAATGCGCATGCGCAGCAGGTCTCCGTGGCAGAAGGGATCAGTCTCGCCCACCGGCCAACGTAATGAAGAGGAGGAGCGGCGGTGACCCCCTTCAGCAACCGGGGATTGGGAGGGAGAGGGGACCTGGAGAGTCCCTTTAAAGTCTGCCCATATTGCACGTGTATAATTAACTAATTAGTTCCTAGAATTGTCCATTAAAGACCTAGACATTCTTTAATTCCCTTACCAGCTTTGTCTTCACTGAGTGGTATTGCATCACAAAGCAGCAGTTCCACAGAAACAGGAAAACTATTTGATCTTGTAATCACATGTTTCAAATGAGCAAGACCTTCTATGACCGCACTCTTGTACCAACTTATTGGTATGCAAGCTGGGAAGTGTAATATGAATTGACAGGACTTCTAGCCATGGCCTTGAGCTCTGCTGTAAAGGGATAATCCACCCAACATGACCAAATTGTCATGGTGCAAAGACACTGTTATGTGCGGCATTTCAGTGAGTAGTGCTGCGCATGTTTGGATATTTTATATTTATGTCTAACTCCACCTTCCGCCAGCATTCATTAATGAGTTTGAAACGAGAATTCCAGGCTGTCTAATGTAAATTTTGTGCACAGAGGTTTATTCATTGGCTGATACTCTCTGCCAATAAACAAACAGCAGGACTAGCTGCAGAAACAACATGCTGGTTTAGTCAGCATGAGAGGTGGCCTGGCAGGACCCAGATAATATTCAAGCTGTTGCAAAATGGTTTGCCCAAAACTTGAGAACAGCGCCTTGGTAATCCTGGCTCTGTAAACACTAGAACAGGCTGTAGTGGATATGATGCAATATCTTAGAGCCTACATCATTTCAATAGACCAAGGTGCTTGTAGTGCCTAGAGTGTCCCTTTTTAATATATGTATTTTTGCATAGAAAGATGGTTATTATATACATTGTGTTAAATCCATATGCATTTGGGAAATATTGTATCTAGTTAGACCCATATCTACTTATCTACTACACTATCTCTATGAAGTGGTCTGGGTGCCATGTCCCTATAGTTTTAACTGTGCACCTAAAATCATTGCAGTTTTGCAGAAACTAGAGGTGTTTCTACAACTAGAGGTGCTTCTGCCAAAATATTCAGGCAAAACTTGACTATTTCAATCATATGGTCTTATAGGGCCTAGGTGTTCTCTTTGACTCCGACCTCTCCTTCAAGCCTCATGTTCAATCTATCGCCAAATCCTGTCATTTCCATTTCAAAAACATTGCGTGCATCCGCCCCTAGTTAACGCCTGATGCGACTAAGGTGTTGGTCCATTCCACTGTCCTTTCTCGCCTTAACTACTGTAATCCGCTTCTCAGTGGTCTTACGTGCTCCCAACTTGCGCCGTTACAGTCCATAATGAATGCGGCGGCAAGGCTCATCTTCCTGTCCGCCCGCACCTCCCATGCTTCACCCTTCTGTCAATCCCTACATTGGCTTCATATTAAATATAGAGCTCAATTTAAAATTCTGGTTCTTGCTTTCAAATCTCTACATAATGCTGTTCCCACCTATCTATCCTCCCTTATACACAAGTATGTCCCATCTAGGCCCTTACGATCTGCTGAAGACTTACGTCTATCTTCTGTCCGTACTCCCACCTCTGATGCTCGCCTTCAAGATTTCTCGAGGGCTGCACCGTTCCTGTGGAACTCGCTTCCCTCCTCCGTTAGATGCTCACCCAGTCTCCACTCCTTCAAAAAATCGTTAAAAACCCACTTCTTCATAAAAGCGTATCAATTAAACTGTTAATAGCTCCTGACTGATTCCTCTTCTGCAACTGTCACTAGTCTAATACTATCCTTACCTTTTTGTGTCATTTTACCCAACTCCCTCTAGCATGTAAGCTCATTGAGCAGGGCCCTCAACCCCTCTGTTCCTGTGTGTCCAACTTGTCTGGTTACAACTACATGTCTGTTCGTCCACTCATTGTAAAGCGCTGCGGAATTTGACGGCGCTCTATAAATATCATAATAATAAATAATAATTGGATTGGTGCAGTGTGGAATTTTGCCATGCACACACACTCTAGGTTCCAATGCTTTTCTATGGTAAAGAATTGGATTGGCAGAGATTGATAATTTCAGCCGAGGAGGCAGGGTCCTCTATGACCAGTGACTTGCATCCGGCTTCTACAGAGCCACAGAATCTGGATGCTGATCCGATCTGCCATTCACTGGCTGAGTGCGTCAGCTAAGCACTATTAGCCAATGAATGACATTCTTTGCATAGAAATATGCCCCAATGTCGCTGGTGGAGTTAGAGCTCTGGCAGCAAAGGGGGAGGTGTGAAACTCTAATGTGCAAGTTTCACTGCACATACAGACTCCAGGCACCATGGGAGTGCTTGAGGATGCCAACTGTATCTTAGAGTCACAGGTTTAATTCCTGTCATGGTCATTTCAGTATTTTACCCTTCCAAGGATGATAAAATTAATAACATTAAGGTGGGTAGTTATAACATCTGCACCTCATTACGTACTTGGAAACAGACAATCTTAGTATAATGTTCTTGGTTAAATTGTTAAATATTATTATTATTATTCATTGTTAATCCCCTAAATAATTTGTTTTCCTTTTTTCTTTTTTCTTTTTATGGTGTGTGCTTTCTAATAAAGATCATTATTGTTAACCAGTCATAGCCTTTTATAAATAAGAACATGATGGATAAAACAAATTGAATGTAACTTTCTTGTGTAACTGTGTCATATTACAGAGGCCACATTTTCACAGCTCTTGTGCAATTATTGTGTTAATATTAATGTTGCAGCATTGTGCCAGAGCAGTCCAACTGTACTTCCCTCGTTAGACTGTAAGTTATACCAGTGTCTAAAATATCTTCTGGAAACTTAATCTGTTACACATGCATAAAAGGAGAACTGTGTATGTGTTCATCTTAAAATACAACATTTCTATAGAATGTAGCTATCTCTATGAAGCAAGCAGTTTGTAAAAACAAAAACACACCTATATGACTCTTCCATAATCATTTGTTAGTTTAATAAGTAACTATTTAACTCTATGTTTCAGAGCACAAAGTAATCATTGTGGGATTGGATAATGCAGGGAAAACGACAATATTATATCAGTTGTGAGTATCTATTTTTATTTTTTGTAAGTTGTTATGTTTCTAGTATTTAATTGCATGCAGATTTTATTTTACTTTAACTGCTTTTTGATTTTGAATAGACCATGACAATTGGACTTAAACCGTTAAGGGCCAAGGCTCTTTGAGATGTAGTGTGCCTTTTTGGCAATTTTGCAATGAGTTAATTCTACCTTTCTCTTTAAGTGCACCCATACATATAAAATATTTTTTAGGGGAAATATGTATTTTCTTTTGATTGCCTTTGTGTATGGATAACACAACTCTAAATATTAAAAATGGGGAAAAATGTATTCAATGTAAATTTCAAATTTAAAGCTAAAATAGTCAAACTGTTAAAATTTCAATTCCTGAGCATTTTCACTTTAGTGAATAACATTGTTGATTTTATTTTTTTTTTCCACACGTTTAATTTTCATGGGGTATTTCAACAGGAAAAAATAGGAATTGGGGGGCGCACCCAGAACATGCATTTTAAAGCAGTGGTGCTGCTATAAAGACCAAAACATAAACAAAATATAATGGGGTGTTTCAAACCTCGTGTCCCACTACTGTATTGACACCGTATTTGTATTCTGCTACTGTTAGAGCACATTGATACATCACAAATACACCTTTGCAGGATGTTTGAGGGTCTTTATAAGTCACAGATATGCCCTAATTTTGACATGTCTACTTACTTACTTGGGATGTGTTTTGGTAAAGTGATACTATCTGTGTCACTGTACTGAACGGTCTCAAACAATAGTCTTATTTCTAAACCTAACATTAACCAGAACCCTACCTCAGACGGATTCGTTTTGCTAAGGTCAGTACTGACATCAACAGTGGGATTTCTGACCTTACACAGTACAGAGGGCTCTGTTTGATTGCCGCATGTGAGATATATCTTCCTTTTATGCTGCAACTCCTGCATATAGTCACTGCTGATCACACAATGATTGGTGCTGGAAGCTGGCATAGCCCAGCGCTGATCACTGCCAGCAGGGGGGGCATCACTTTAAATTCTGCAAACAGCGGATCAAACAGTCTGATGCCACTAATTGTGGCCCCCAGCTGACAGAAAGAACCCTCGGGTATCAATTGATAACTGGTGCTTCCCGGTACCCGAATGGGATCCATTCCTGCTGGCACCCTAGAGCAATGGCATTCTATGCTGTTCCTGGGTGTTTATGCCTTCATGCAGTGCAGGACTTTGACTGTCATGTGGTCCTTATGGATTTAAGGGTGAGGGCGTGTGTTTGTTTATCACACCATTTAAGTTGCAATTCACAATTTAATGGACTGCATACTTCCAGTAGGTTAATGAAAGTCTCACCGGTGTCTTAATGCACCCAGATTGGCAAAACCCTTTGCAGATGCAAATAGAAATTAATGGATCTGATCACTTTCAATGGAAATTGCAGATTTTAATAGGAAATCGAATAATGTTTTGACCACACAATGTTGTTTTATCTAGTGAGTGATATGGATCCCATAGAAAGATCGTGTAAGCACCTTAATTAATTTTTTACGACGATAGCGCCAATTGTTTAATGATTTTATTGATATCTGTATATATATTCTGTGTTGTAATGCTCACATTGTGTGGTGGAAACATTATTACTCTATTTCCTATTAACGTCTGCAGTTCCCATCTGATGTGCTCAGATCTATGACTTTCTATTTGCTATTTAAGTTGTAGTGGTATTAAAAAGTGATACATGATTTACTACTCTAAATAATCGATATCCTAACTAATATATTTAAAATATTACTGTGAAATATCATCTACATATTTAAAGGACCACTATAGTGCCCTGAGGGTGCCCCCACCCCCAGTGTCCCCCTCCCGCTGTGCTCTAGGAGGTGGAAGGGGTTAAACTTACCTCTTTCTCCAGCGCCGGGTGGGGAGCTCTCCTCCTCCTCTCATCCTCCTCGGCTGAATGTGCATGCGCGGCAAGAGCCGCGCGTGCATTCACCCAGTCTGATAGGAAAGCATTCACAATGCTTTCCTATGGACGCTGGCGTATCACAGTGAGAAGCGCGGAAGCGCCTCTAGTGGCTGTCAATGAGACAGCCACTAGAGGCTGGATTAACCCTAATATAAACATAGCAGTTTCTCTGAAACTGTTATGTGTATAGAAAAAAGGGTTACACCTAGCTGGACCAGGCACCCAGACCACTTCATTAAGCTGAAGTGGTCTGGGTGCCTATAGTGGTCCTTTAAGAGAAACTTGCTTGAAGACTCCAACAAAATACAGTTCAACACATGTAAATGAACATGGACGGCATTGTTCTTTCTATGATTTCTAAAGCCGCTATCTTCATTATGACTTGCTGCTTTAAAAAACAGCTTTTAAGTCCTAACACAGATTCATATCTCGGTGAACAAGTTTGCAGGAGTGGACAGCTCTCTTGCCAAATTGGGTTTTGTCAGCACTGCATTTAATATTGAGATCAGTTTCATGTCCGAAATAAAATGTAGAGGAGTCTAGCATTCTTTGCTTGTAATGCACTGGACTTCCTTTATAAATAGATAGTGGGATAACAGAAGACATTATAAAACCACAGTATGGGGTGTAAACCATTTATCTAGTCATCATATAGTCTGGTAATCCAATGAAAGCTATAGTTGTGTAATAAGAAATGACAATCTGTTTCCTGTCCTAGCTCAATGAATGAAGTTGTGCATACGTCACCTACAATAGGCAGCAATGTGGAAGAGATAGTTGTCAATAACACACGATTTCTGATGTGGGATATTGGTGGTCAAGAATCCTTACGTTCTTCATGGAATACCTATTATACAAACACAGAAGTAAGCATTTCTGATTTATAGTTCCATCTAACCCCTTTACTAAAGAATAGTTTTTATAAAAGGAAAAGTAACATTTATATGAAACCTGTGACGAATGGGTACCACAAACCTTTCCAAAAATTCTCCAAAAGTAACAGTTCAATTTTAATTGACTTAATGTTTTGTATTAATAAGACATTTTGTGTATTTACACACAATTCATAGTTGTTGTTTTTTTGTTTGTTTGTTTTGTTTCTGATTTTCAGTGGTCTTTGTGATTTTACAAAGAACCCTGAAACTGAAATTCTTTACTTAGGGTGCGGTGGCCATTGGGTGCAGTAGAAGGCTATTATTATTGCCTGCAGCAGTCCTTTAGAGCCACCACCATCATCTTCCTGGGGACCTTAATCAGCTCCTGATGCTTTGTCTTCTAGGAGCTGTGTCAGTGCTCCATTCCTGTGTATGAGCATGAGTTCAACACTAAGGTATATGGAGGATCCCATGAGGCGCAGGAGCCTCTGTAGATTACATCTTTCATTGTGACTCAATGACACACAGACATTTATTGGGACAGCTGCTGAGTTTTGACGAACATTGATGCATTTTTTTTTAACTATTGTCCCTGAACTTTTGAGTCATATCCTTCTTGCTCATAAGATAAAGTAGTCCCTTCTTTGTCTTATATTATCTCTTGACTATATTGGAATTTGATTGCAGTCAGTATGAGTACCATGATGGTATCTTCTTGAAATACTCAAAAGTGACAGCCGCTTTAAATACTCTTAATCAAAAACTACTGATTTCCCTTTTAGTTATTTTTGTTTCTCTACGCCAAAAAAGTGCAGTGTCACATAACTGTAAAGGGACACTATAGGCATCAAAACAAACTTAGCTTAATGAAGACGTTTTGGTGTATAGACCATGCCCCTGTAGTCTCACTTGTTGTTTCTATTTATGCAGCCCAGGCCACACCTCCCCTGACAGTGAGTCACACAGTCAGCATGAATAAAAATTATTTAATTTTCAATCAGACTTTAACTTGCTTTAAACGTTTTTATCTCCTTCTCTGTAAATTGAACTTTAATCACACACCGGAGACTTCTAAAGGCTATTAACAGAGCAGGAGATAGGAAATTCTAGAATTAAACAGACTCTACATTACAGGAACCTAAAATAACCAGGTTATTTTTCAGGAAGTGTTTAGGAAAGCTGTGCAAGTCACATGCAGGGAGTTTTGACTAGGGCTGTATAAACATAGTGAATTAATGCCAAAATGGCAGAGAATTAAGCAATGAGAATGCAGTGGCATGATCACTGCTCCAAAACTGCTTTATTAAGCTAACGTTGTTTTGGTGCTGTAGAGTCTCTTTAAATACAAAGTATATATGTTCTTTAAAAGTGAGAATTTAACTTTTTTTTTAATAGATGGCAATGCGTTTAAAGTGCCATTCCAGCCCCATAACTTAATTTAAGTGAAATTGTTACGGGGCCTAGAGTACCCGGGTTTTCAAATAATTTAACACCAAAGTTCTGTTTCTGGGTGTCTGTCATGACGCTTACTCTGCCTTCCCCTTGGCTGCTCTAATAATTGGGGAGCATGTGAGAGTATCAGTTAACTAAAATTGTTTAACACATTAAAATATGACAGAACCTAGGAACTTCGAGTCCAGTGACCTCTTTATTGAAAGCAAAAGTTGTTTTGAGGCAAGTGTTCCTTTCAAGGTCCAAATCAAATAAACTGATATAGTTGGTATGATGAACTAAGAGTTCCTTTTTAAAGGAACACTGTAGCATTAGGAATACATATCTGTATTCTTAATGCTACAGTACTAAACCCTTATTGGTTCACCACCCTCCCATCTGTAAATGTAAAATCATAAGATTGGTAGACCAAAATGAGCAGATACCAAGTTTGAGAGCCCAGCCCAGTTATAATTTGCATTCTATCTTTTTTTATTTCCATTTCTGAACAAGCTCTTATGGATTGTGTTTTCGTTTTCTTGTTATACAGTTTGTAATTGTCGTTGTGGATAGCACAGACAGAGAGAGGATTTCAGTAACTAGGGAAGAACTCTATAAAATGCTGTCACATGAGGTAATATTTTATTTTTTCCCCCTATACTGTTGATTAATTTTGCTAAAACATGTATGTGTGTAATATATTGATGCAAGCAATACACATTTATTTTATTCTTTTTGATTATACAAAATTCCTGTTGCTTTTACTATTACTTCGCAAACAATTATATATACTGTTCATATAGACTTCAGTTTCAATGAAGGGCAATCATGGGATAGTTATGAGAGTTTGCATTTCAGCATCTCTGCCAAATATCTCTGTACAATTTCAATTCACCCCTTGCAAAAAGGCAAGTGGAAATTCAGCCAGGACAAGCTAGTTTGGAATGAAATCAAGTGGTAAGTGGGCAGGTCTCTAGAAAGTCCAAAACCAGAGTCCCTGTCCATGTCATGAAGTACAGCATAGCCATTTGGAGCTGTGCCACCGTGTGTTCTAAACCCAGGTCCCAACTCTCTTTGAAAGAACTCTTCTCACACCGTTTAGAGAGCCTATCACCCTGTGCTAACTACCACAAGGTCTACATTTTTACTGATTTATGTTTTATATTTAAGGATTTGAAAAAAGCTGGTCTGCTAGTCTTCGCAAACAAGCAGGATGTAAAAGAGTGTATGACGGTAGCTGAAATCTCACAGTATTTGAAGCTTACGTCTGTGAAGGATCACCCATGGCATATACAGGCTTGCTGTGCGCTGACTGGAGAAGGGTGAGCATATATGATTATCTTGAATTAAAGAGCAGTAACCAGAGGATGTAAATATAAACTAAAGCTTTGGAATACAGGTTGGTATTCCTAATCATTTAGTGTCTCTGTCCCTAGCTATAGGGGTTTGCCATAAATTTCAACTTAAAAATAAAATACATTTTTACTTCCATTTTTCCAGCACAGTCTCCCAATGCACTGCTTACCTCTCCTCCTCCAGCAATGTCATGGAGAAGGCATGGTCTCCTCCAGTGTGGTCCAGTTCAATGCTACTCCTAGAGCAGCATTTGGAACCTAACTGGCATCAGTGGTGAGCGTCACACACATCCAAGCTTCCCTATTGGAATGCAGCAGCAATCACACTGGGCACACACTTATGTAAATAATTCTTTAGTGATTTTACTTCTTTACCATTTTACTTTCTATGCTGATGAGCAGTCAGTGGCCAAGTGCAAGCTGTCCATCCTTAATCGGATTACAACTCATTTGATCCTTTCCCATACTACCACTCTTAATTTTGGTGGCAAATTTTTATTTAGTTTTAGTCTGTCTTTTGACAAAAAAAAAAATCATATTTGTTTTAGTTGTAATTTAGTCATCTGAATTGATTTAGTTTAGTTATAGTCGACTAAATCTCCAGATGGGGTTTAGTTAATGCCTCTGTCTGTCTGTTTTGCCACTTCCCCAGCCATTCTGTGTCTCTTTGTGTCCTCCCAGCCTCTCTAGTTTAGTTAATGCCCCGCTCTGTCTCATTTGCACCTTCCACAGCCCCTCTATGCGGTGTTAATTTTGGCGACAAATTTCAATTTAGTTTTAGTCATAGTCTTTTGAATAAAAAGCCACTTTAGTTTTAGTTGCCTTTCAGTCATCTGAATCGTTTTGGATTTAGTCTACTAAAATTTAACTAAAGCCATAAGATTTTAGTCGTGTTGACTAAAATCTACTGGAGATTTAGTCGACTAAAACTAAACTAAAATTAAATCAGTTCAGATGACTAAAATACAACTAAAATAAATATGACTTTTTAGTCAAAAGACTATGACTAAAACTAAATAAAAATTTGCAGCCAAAATTAACAATGGAAGAATGGCAAAGTATCAAAGGAGTTGTAGTCCAATTTAAGGATGGACAGCTTGCACTTGACTAAAATTGTTAGTCGACATACACAGCCCATTGTAAGAGTTATTATTAGAATTGTAGTCTTTGAAACTGTCAGGCTTGGTTTTGGCTTTTAAGTTATGTGAAAGTGGATTGAAAAAGCAATTCATATCTTCTGTTTTTTATGTGATTTTGCTATTTATTTATTTTTTTGTGTTTCTGCTCCAGCTTGTGTCAAGGGCTCGAATGGATGATGTCACGGCTTAAGTCGAGATGACCACAGCTGCCTGTGTAAAGAGACATTGCATTCACAACATACTGTATTTATGGATCCCTGGTCTGCTGCAAACTAACCAATATGTATTTATAAACAAATCCCAGAGGTTTCACTGTCATGAGAAAAATGGCAAATTTCCCCAAAGGAAAATTGCTTTTACATGCACTTAATATTTCCCTTTTGAAGATTCCATTGCATTTTTCAAAAAAAAAAAAAGCTGTGATTGGCATAATTGTATGTTTTATTCATTAATGGCAGGAAGTCAAAGTAGAGTACCTTCTTTTTTTTTTATTTATTTTTTTAAGTTGTGTTTAGACAGGTCTGACTGTTAAGGAGTAAAATGTAACTTTTTGTCTGGTAACACCTAGCAGCTGAATTAAATTATGCAAATAAGGACTAATCATTATTTTTGTATTTTAATTTGATTTACAAGCAGAGCCTAGATTATGTACATATCTCTTTATTTCCTGTGTACTTGCATGCTCATATGTTTGTACTTCTGTATGTATAAAAAAAAAAAAATTGACTTGGTAACTATCAAATGGCACCGTGGTGACTGAACCCTTTTTTTATTCTGGAAAGCTGAACAATGCACTGCGGAGTGTGTACCACTGAAAGGGTTACGTGATGTAAATATTTTTTTCCTCATTTTGACTATTTGTTCATTTCAAGCAGATATGCATGGTCTTTTATTTATTTCATTATTTTAATTTTTTTTTTTTTTTTTTTAAATCTCAAGCGTGTTTTAACATTTTGACAGTTTGATTTCTGCCATGCTCTATCTAAACCACTTATACAGAAGAAACCTACATTTTTAATAATAAACTAGGGTGTCAAGATGTCTATTTAGTATTTGTTGATTCACTTTAAATAATCTGTAGACTATTTACTGTTTTTTTTTTATTTTCATGTGCGAACAGGCATTGATAAGTCTGAGATTTGTGCAATTTATATTGTTAGAGTTATAAGGTAAGCATAATGGGTTTTAATTTTAATTTTTTTTGTTAATTATAAAACTTGTTGATAATTAGCAGCAACATATACTTGATTGTTTTTGAAACCCTTATATCCGCTGTCTCTGCCGACCCTTACTCTCTTAAAGCAGAAAGCACCCAAATTTTCAGTACTTGTCCAACTCGGCTAGGTCAGTAACTGCACTATGCATGTTACCTTATCAAGCCTCCATTACGAAGTGGAAGTGTGTTGTGAACAGCTGAGATCATGTAGGTGTCACTACAAAGTTAGTCATTTCTAACTTTGTTTGCATAGCTTATTGATTATTTAAATCATGACAAAAAACTCAGCAAGTCTGTGAAAGCTTTTAGCAGCTGTAAAATGAGCATTAATTGCTCTAAATTTTGCTACCTCATAATGCTGAGCCACCAATCTTTGGCTCAGAATTCAATGCAGCATTTATTCTTGTAATTTATTCTACATACCTGTGTTGACTGGACTTTTGTAATAACCTGCAATAACAAATCATGGATTTTTCTCAAGTGCAGAGATGTGGCTTGGACATGGGCATAGAAGGTTTTGATAGCAACTGTTGCAGTCTTTGGTAATGCCAATCTGCTGCAGAAAATAGCTTCCAGTTTCATATACCAGTATATATAGCTGCTAGTGTTTAAAAATACTTATAAATAGCACTACACCGTTGATATGTGACACATTAGTCTACCACTAGATGGCAGTCTGTATCACTTTAAGGACAACAATTCATAGGTATTGTGTCACTCAAATATATGGCAACACACATGAGCAACATATGGCCTGTTTGCCTAGAAATTATGACTTATATATGCTTAATTCATTTTAGATTGGTCATTTTAGAATATTTATACGTTATATGACAGTTTTGTTCGCCAATAGTTTTTAAAGAGTTAAAAACTCTACATTCGTTTAAGTGAGGGGCGCCAGGCGCCGTTAAGTGGGCATGTGTACTGTGTGGCTGTCACATTCAAAATGACTGGGCAAGTAGTACATTTTGCGTTAAGCTTGAATATTCCTTCACGGAAGCTATTCAGATGATTCAGAAGGCTTTTGGGGACAATGCAACTGCAGTGCAAATAAAAGTGTGGCACAAAAGCTTCAAAGATGGTTGAGACTCTGTTGAAAGATTTTGCACCCTGTGATTTTTGGCTTTTTCCCAAAACTAAAATCACTTCTTGAAAGGGAAAAGATTTCAGACCATGGATGAGATTCAGGTAAATACGATGAGACAGCTGAAGGCGATTCCAACAAAAGATTTTGCAGTGTTTTGAACAGTGGAAGAGACCTGTGAGGTGCCTACTTTAAAGGGAACTGAGGTGTCATTGTCCAATGTATCTTGTATCTTCAAAAAATTTCTCTATTTTTCATATTACATGGTTGGATACTTTCCGGACAGACCTTGTATACCCAGAAATATTCATGTTGCATGGATCCACAGAATGTATTTCCTACATAAAAAGTAGGAAAGGTTTTCAGAGTAAATCCTCACTAATACATACTGAAGTTAATACCATAGTCTATGTAACGAGACCGTTGAGTTCCAGCATTTTGTCTAAGCTTTGAAAGTTAGAGTTTGATATTGTGAGGTTCAGACAAATGAATATATGGTGCATGCAGGAAAAAGAAAGCCTACTAATAAGGATGACTTTATTGAAGATTAAAATAGGAAAGGTTGAAGGTATGAGTGAGAAAATATTAAAAGATGAAGTTTGACTAAAGTCGCATGAATGTACACTGCAGTTTGGAAAGGTAGTGATTAGACGCTAAAGAACATTCTTTAAAATGTGGATGAGCGGAGGAGGAAAAGAATGAATATTTGGAGAACACAATTCTTTGTAGGACTTGCATGTGACAGGATGTATAGATTAGTAGCCTAGCAGAGAAGCTAAGGACCAACAAGAAGTGATTTAGTGCCATTTCTGAAGGAGTCTAATGGTGGCTCAAATGAGTGTATAGTTGTGGTCCTCAGAACATTTATTAGTTGCCTGCCAATTATCCAGCATGTATGTATTTAACCATTTAAGATGGGAAAAAAAGGAGTAATCCGTATCAATGGTGAGGTTTGTGAGAAACATGTTTCAGTCATCGTCCAAAAAGCAGCAGAATGATCAGATGTCTCTTGTTTTTATGAATGATCGCCATCCGACACAAAACCCCCTGTATCATATTGTTTAAAGTGTTTTTCTCCCTACAAGGGCTTTTGAATAGTGTGGCGTTTGATAGAATAGTTGGCCAACATGCCTTTAGATCATGCCACCAAGAGGTCAGGTGCTGGGTTTTCAACTAGAAATTTACCGTACTTCAATACAAACAATCCCACTGAATTCTAATGGAACAATGCTATTCAAGGTGGTGAATTAACCTCTCTTGTTAAAGAATATTTAGATATCACTGGTTTGGAAACGTTTATCAGTTTCTTGATCATTTTCAGTCCAAATCTCGAGTACTATAAGATACCGTGTGTCTTCTGATCTTGACCTGGTAAGTCCTGAACACAAATTTGAAGATTGCTTCATGCGACTCACAGATGGGAATGTAGCAAGAGAGAGCAAGAAGTAAAATTGTAAGTTTCATTGCTGCACACAACTTGTTTTACAGCACGTTTTTAGCATGTAAGACAGTGGTGCTATATATAAAATACAGCCAGTCTTGCTCTTAGCTGATTGGTTGCCTTTCCTTTGCTGCTTATGTCATGTTTTCCAGAGAGACACATTCTACAGCTGTTGCTGTCATTTAAGGGTCATAAATGTAGTTAAAAGCAGAGGCCCTGCTATTAACCTCTGTCAAGCACTGCAATATCTTCTCTTTATCATTTTATTATGTACAATAAAGCAAAATCAATGTATGATTAAGTGTATGTAGAATTTCATACAAATGCAGATCTCTGTTCACTAATCACCAAGTTGAAGTAAATTGAAAACCAAATTGCAAAAGTTAGGATAAAATTGCTCCCTGTTGTGCAATTGGATAATTTTGCGACAAGCTATAATTGCTTATGTTTTGCCATTTGATTTTAATTTTGCTGCACTTTGGAGTTCAGTGAGAGGGGGAAACAAAAGTAGTTTGTATAGACGAATAAGACCATTAGAACTGAATGTGCAATACTTTGAGTACAAAATGTTAATGGGGGAAATATACAAGAGTTTTTCACAAAGTAAGTGGTTACTCCCCACTGATCAATCTCTGTATGACAATATGTCAAACTTTTCACCTGTTATTCTGCTGTGATGCTACACTTACTGAAAACACATTTATCATAGAATATATTTTTCACCAATTTCTATCCCTTGCAGCTAAACAGATTGGGGAAAAAACAACCCATTTCTCTTAATTTTCACTAGTATTACCATGATTTAAGGGAATATATAATTTCTAATTTCAGGATATTTTACTTGGGGTGTAAAATTGACAAAAGATGATGGCCATCAGCGTTGACAGTGGAGGGGTTAATAAATAATAACAGCATTTTACACAGGCAGATCCCCACTGTGATTTAGTTTTCATAAGTGGGAATCCCTTAGCTCTGATCATATGACAGGCAGTGTCACATAACGTGCGTACATGATTGAAAATTAAGACTCCGCTCTCAGGAAGCAGTGCTTTGCGACTTTAAAAAAAAAGTATCTTGCTACGCTCATTTAGACCATAGCAGATATACACTAAACCACAGTTAGAGAAAAATCTGATAAAATGGGAATAAAACCTCTCATAGCATTGCATATCTGTGCCTATTTTCATTTACATCATATACACCGTTTTGTACATATATTGCACTACACTGGTTTTTTCTTTTTTTTGTAGAATAGATGAAGCAACTTGTGTATATATGTTAATACAGCTGATGTTTATATTGTGCCATTTGTTGAGATTTTGTATGGAGTCATCTACAGGCAGGACACTCATGAAACACCTGAAGCCATGGAACACTGGTCCCAAATTGGGACTGTACTGCCAGCTCATGGCACTTGGTGAGTATGAGTAAAGTTACTAATATACAAAAATAATTGTTTTGCGAACTGTTGGCAGAGGGAATGGTGGGGTTAGCACTGATGATGAGGATGTGCTAGAATTAAAACCTGATAACAGTTTGGCAATGAGTGTAAAGCCAGAGACTGGTTGCAACCAGATATCTGCTTGCAAATGCCAAAGGTTTGACAAGCTAAAGTTATTGGCATGGGGTGAACAATATCATTCCATTGTATCATACTCATGACTGGACAGTTAATTTAAATGGTTATATACATATTTTTGGAGGGATAGGAAGGAAGGTTGAATTCCCATACATTTGACTTTATGAGGAGGTTCAGATTAAAAAAAAAAGTCTGGGTTGTGTTTCAAACCAGCACCAATAACTGCTAAGCACTAAAACAACTTTAGCTTAATAAAGTGGTTTTGGCATATAGATCATGCTTCTGCAGTCTAATTACTTTGTTTCTGCAGTCCTTAACACACTTCTCCTGGTTGTTACTTACATGGCTACTTTACACACTTCCTGTAAGGAGAGATCTAATGTTTAAACTTCCTTTATTGCACAATCTGTGTAATTCCAAAGTTCTTATGTCCTGCTCTGGTAATTGTGTGTGATTAACGTGTAATTAATAGAGACATAGATAACTTCTAAAGTAAACACAATGTGCTGTAAAATTAGATTAAAACTAAAACCAGTACTCTCATGTTTAAAAATGTTTTAATCACACCCAGTGGAGGTATGGCTAGGGCTGCATAAAGAGAAACACAAGTGAATTCACTCCTAAATTCAAGAGTATGGAGCAGTGAGACTGCAGGGGCATGATCTATACACCAAAAATGTTTTGTGAACCTAACATCTTTTTGTTGCTTGGACTGCATGTATAATTTATGAAGATGGACATGAGATCTGCAACTTTTTCATGCTGTATCTATCTCTATCTATCTAAATATCTATGTAATAAAAAAAAAATAATACTAATTACAAAGTAATTTTAGACAATGAAAAATAGAGCCAAAGCAATACAAAATACACAGGAAGCCTTTACAAAAAAACAGAATAGTTGTTGAAGAAGTAAATATTGGTCCAAATACTACACTGAATGAGTTCTGAAATGAGAACAAGAAGATGGCAATTTTTTAAATATTTGTTCACAGTGGTGTATCCTGGTTTTGTGCTGCCCTAGGCAGGACAAAACTCAGGCTCCCCCCGCGCCACCCCCACCCAACCCTTCCCCCCGCCCCACCTTCTAAATACACACACACACACATACAGACAGACACACACACACAGTCAGACACACACACAAACAGACACACACATTAACACTTTTTAAAAATTATTATTTAACCCCCCCTCAGCCTCCTTACCTTTGGGAATGCTGGGGGGGGCGCGAGGGGTCCCTCTCTCCCATGGGGTGCAGTGGCTGGCGGGCGGGCGGCTGGCGAGGGAGCTCTTCCTCTGAGCACTCTGCTCAGCTCCCTCGCGCGCCGCAGAGTGAGGCTGGGAGCCGGAATGTGACATCATATTCCGGCTCCCAGCCTCACTCTGAGGCGCGCGAGGGAGCTGAGCAAAGTGCTCAGGGGAAAGTGCTCCCTTGCCAGCCGCCCAGCGCCCAGCATGTCAGTTAGCCGCGAGGCTAACTAGGCATTTGCCCTGGGCATTTGGGGGCGGCGTTTTTTGCCGCCCCCTGGAAAATGCCGCCAAAGGCAAATGCCTTGTTTGCCTCGCGGCTAATACGTCCCTGTTTGTTCATGATAAGAAATAATCCAGTTTGCTCTGAAAAATATCATTAACAGGAGTCATCATCTGTTTTGGAGAAAAGAACAATTAAAAAACAAACAAAAAAAAACACTTTTATAATTGTTCATGGGTCAGTGGAATCTGCTTTCTTAAGCCAGTTACTGTAGGATAGGTGTTTGAGCACAGGTTAGTCAGGTCAGTTTGATTTCCAAACATGTTTTGCTAAACTATTCCATATTACGAGAACTAATTAAAATAAAAGTGTAACTAAGGGACAGAGTGACGTGCCTTTCTTACTGTCTCACTTTGTTCTAGTGATTGAAAACGCTATATTATGCATGGTGCCTTCATTTATTCTATAAAAGAGGTTCTCCAAACAGTTTAAATGACCACCAATATTTCTGGTTTTATTGATAATTCTATGGAATAGAAATTGATCATCTCTAAGTCCTGGACAACGGCTTGTTCTTAAAGCCTTGTTCAAGATCTAGTGGTCTACACCTTTGCCGGCAAGGAAGCATTTCAAGTGATATTTTTCTCCTTCCAAATATTAGACCACCAGGATACATTGGTAATGTAGGGGTGACAGACGGGTGCCTGGTTGAAGTTGCACCTCCTGTTTTCTGTGTATCTACTCCATTAGTGGGATGTTTTGTCAACAATATGACCTTTACCAGCATCTACAGGTCTAGCTAGAAATAGCAGTAAATAAAGCTGAGGGGTCATCCCAAGTTTTGTGACCACAGGAGGATTACGGAACTGTTTTAAAAAGGATTAAATTGGTGCTCATGATCTAAATTAAACATGGAGCTAAGTTGTATGCGCTGAGCAAACTGATGAATTTTAGCTCAGCCTTACATATCAGCATGGTGTCTCCCATGACCTGTTTTCTATTAATGTCTTAGGAGTCATAGTCATCAGGACATAAAAAAGAAGGGGCTTGGGTATTGTCACATTGAGTACATTTTATTGTAAGTACAGAGCCAGTGAGTTGGAATTGTGCGAGATGGAAACACTGACCTACAGACGGAACAAAATGTCAAAATATTATAAGTCTTACCACCACGGACTGAGTATGTTCGCAGATGTTTACTGATACCTCTAATCTGACAACATTGAAATGTAAACAAAAACATTATATATAAAAATATTGTAATCAATGATTTTTTCCAAATTGTAGATTCTGTCTACTAAGCCCACATCCATTATACTCCCATTAAAAGAGTGATTCCAGATGCTGTAACCTGCTTATTATAGTGATTAAGGGGCGAGAAACTCAAGTCTGAAAATGTCCCTTTAAGTTTCTTTCTTTTCTATTTTTCAACTATCGGGGTCAAACTGCACACAACTAGTCACTGATGTCATGGGGATAGTTTAGCTCAGTGGTTTCCTGACCAATTCTTTAGACATGCCTATCAGTCGGGGATTTAGGAATTACCCAGTTGTGTCAAAGATGCTTTTAGAAATAAAAACCGGGTAATCCCCAAATCCTGGACTGGTAAACGTGCCTTGAGGACTGATTTGGAAACCACTGATCTAGCTTTTCTATTCAACCAGTTTGTTTGGTTTGAGTTGGTCAGGTACCTGTGCTATGTGAGTGTATGTTCACGTCGCCGGCAAGTGAAAAAGATTATCTCGAAGGCTGAATGAAGAAGCTTGGCTCCTGCGTATCACATTAGTGTTTAGTGGCCTGGAACTTAGGTGCCAGAGATCATAATTGAAATAAAGGAAATGTAAAAAAATGATAAGATGCTTCTGTAGAGACAGCTTGCTAGCACTAAATTCACTATATTTGAGTGTTCCTTAAGACTAGTCAGTGCAATTTTGTAGCTATACCCTCATCATGTTTTGAAATTATGTATTATGTAAAATTAGATTATTAATAACTCAGATAATCACTTGTATAAGATTGAATGTTTTATTTTTGGTTTTGAGGTAAGATGCATTAAAACACCATGCATCCCTGATATTATTCCACTGTATAGACTACGTTTATATGCACTATAGGTTTTACAAGCAACACAAATTCTAAACACTAAACTGTTTCAATGACTGGGATACAAAGAGGACAGAGAGAGGACCCAGATTCAAAAACAAACCATAAACTGTGAATAGGGCGAGGTATATTTTATTAATGGAATGAGCTTGACTCTTTGTTGGCCTTTGGGGACAAGCTAAAGGGCTTTTTACATTCTTTATGTTTGTCTGTCTTTGAATTCATAAATCTATTTATTTTTCACCAGGTCATGTTTGACAGTCCAAATCACTTCATCTGAAGGTAAGATGCCACACCATTCAGTTATCTCCAAACTAACCTTTCTGTCTGAAACTCCAAAATTTGTAAAAAAAAAAAAAAAAAACATAATTACTTCTGCTATTATAGTAAACACTCTGCAGAGTTGTATTGAATCACCATTGGACATTGAAATATGAATAATGACCATCAGATCACACTGGCCATGACATTATTCAATTGGTCTTGTTATTTGTGTTGTCTTAGCATTTTTTTTTTTTTTTTTAAAGACCTACTGGTGATATGTCCACAAAAGGAGATACATTTACCTCTCGTCCTCTACACTGCCACATTCTATCCATTTACCTTTCTCTTCATTTTTTGAGGATTCTTGTGTTTCACTGCTGTACTAGTGTAAAAGTACAAAATGAAGGTCTATGAAAGAATGAGCAAGACTGCTGTTTACAGTACAGGTGGAGGAGGCTATCTGAACATTTGCAATTTGCCACGTTTTGCCATTTTATCACTTAATTACAAACTCCACTTCTCTTCTGTGATTTTTCTTTATGACTGTGATGTTTTCCTACCAACCCTTCCTCCTCTGTCTTGTTGCCTCTTTTTTGCATATTCCTGTTTTCTACTCCATCACTGGGCATCTATTCTTTGATTTGCTGTGTCACTTTTTATACTTTATAGTTATTCTTTTCATGCTTTGCACTGTTTTATCCTTAATACCCACAATTACTTCTATTTACAGGGACACTCGGAGCGCAGTGTAGTGGTTATGTTGAGGTATATGAGTGCCACAAAGATCCTCATATATATGTTTAAAGTGTTTCTAAATGATTATGGAATGTGTATTAATCTACATTCCTTAGTGGCAGTTTGATTGACAGCCACTATAGGCATGCATGGGGTTGGATAAATAAAAGTACAGTTTCTCAGAAAATGCACTGTTTGTAACAGCAAGACTGCAAAGGTGCGATCCATGGACCAAAATCTCTCAAATGATTTTGATGCTTAGACTGGACCTTTAAACTATGCATTACTTGCTATGGGAAGCAACATACAAAAATACACTATTAAAGGGACACTATAGTCACCAAAACAACTTTAGCTTATTGAAGCAGTTTTGGTGTATATCATTTTCCTGCAGTGTCACTGCTCAATTCTCTGCCGATTAGGAGTTAAATAACTTTATGTATGCACCCTAGTG